TCATGAAACCTGTCACAATGTTAAAAGCTTAGATAACAGGGTCGTTTTCAGGGGTTTTCCCCTCTTAGTACAAATTAACGATTGAGTAAGAACCAGGGAAGGAACTGAACATTTAGAATTCATATTGTAATATTTTTAACAAAAGGGCAATTCTCCAGATAAGTTTTTCAAAAAATCATCCGGAGAATCAAATTTTCTCGGAAATTTTCCATTACCAAGCATAACTTTTACATTTAAATCGATGTAAAATGGCAAAAACTATTATATTTTATCTATTTAAGTCTTTGAAAGTAGCCAATAATTAAGTTTTTTCAATTTTTTTTGCAAATTACTGTCAGCAAAAAATGGAATAATCATCCGGAGAATCGAAAATTGAAGAAAAGTAAACACTCATTTTTTATTATGATTATGCAGAAATGTAGTTTTTGAGCTAATCTATCTAACCATAATCATATCCCACTCCAATTATTACTATTTAAAGAGAATTTTTGATTCTTTGGTGGATTTTTTTGCTGACAGTAAAAAAATTAAGCTTTTATTTTGCAAATCCATGAAAAAAATGCAAAGCAAATATTTCATAAAAATCAAATTTTAGTCTTAATTTAACACTTCATGGTTGAATTATTGTTGATTCAGTAAGAATCAATCGTAATTAACAGTTTAAAGTTGCTTTAAGCAATCAAAACAAAGAAATTGACAAGATATTTACAAAAAAAAAAATTGAAAGTAAACAGTAAATGACTTTGGATTATAAAAGCTCTTTTTTCAAAAACTCAACTCATCTGGAGAATTGCCCAAAAACCAGCAAGCCTTGAAGCTTTCTTTAATAATCTTAATTAATAGTGTAATGTATCATTTTACAACAGCCAATTCAGGCATACTCGCATGTGCTTCCTTTTTTTTATAATCCAACGGTTTTATATCCATGAAGAATACTTGAAGTCCATAAGACACTTGAAAGCTGTTCATTTTTCTTCTTCCTTCATTTCTCATTCCAATATTCATCATAAGCACTGACTCCTTGACTATTAATCAAAACATTTAACTGCTCACTCAATAGTAAATGAGAAAAAAAGCAGTTCTCATTAGGAATGCAAGTTCCATCACCATATAGCACACACACAATGTGAATCATAAATTTTATTGACTTTTTTTTCTTCTCTTTTCTTTTGCTCGCCGTCATGGTTGACGAGTAATTGCATAAAGTATAAAGGGGGTGAATATGCGAATAGCATGGCCAATGAAATGAAAAAAAAAACTGATCACTCATATACACAATAGTTGCTGTCCAATAAATTACAGCATATCTTTAATAATTAGTTCCATATTAATGTTATGCAGAATAAGTATATTGTGTATGAAACATATTCTGTGTATATTTCTGTTTTGTTGTTGAGCTTTAAGGATCATACAAAAACATAGCATACAAAAAAAATAAAATATACTGAGTAACAACGCATGCGTTCCACAGAATAATTTTTGTTTCTTTCGTTTAAATAGTAATTTTTAATATAGAAATACATAGGTACTAAAAAAGAACGAGAAAATTACACTTTCTCGGTTACTTTTTTCCATTTTCACATACAAATTTTTTTTTAAATCTCAAATCTTGACTCAAAAACAGAAAAGAAAACTTTTTTGTATTTTGGCATGTAATAAATGGCGAATGTGTCACAATATTATGATACATTTTCTTTCCTTTCCATTCATTCTCATTACGTTTCCCACTTTGGGGGTTGTATTTAAATGATGTCCTAGTTCTGGTAAAATCTTATCCAGTTTGAACTCTGTTAAACACGGTTAAATTTGATTTTGAACTTTAAAAACCTTTGAATTGGAATTTTTGAACTAAAAGAAACCGTTGAATTTAAAAACCGTTGAATTAGAAATTTTGAACTCGAAGAAACTGTTAAATTTGAATTTTTGAACTCTTACAAGTCTTTAATTTTAAAACTTTTAATATTTTGGTTCCTAAAACTTCAATTCAGTCTAATCAAGTCCAATTTTCCGTAAACGTCATTTGCAAACAGCCCCCTTTCCTATGCCTTCGTATTCCTGGATGTAAAATTTACTTTAATTTGTACATCGAAATGTAATGAAATCAAGGAAACAAATAAGAAGCAATTTATAGAGGAATAAAATAGAAATATGTATGCTAAACATTGGCACTAAATTAATTCCAACAACTGAAACTGAAAAGAGCACACTGAATAAAAAGTTTCAAGAGAACTTTTTATTTTAATTTATTTCCCGTATTTTTTAACTTGGAAGTGCATTTAAATGTAGGAAGAAAAAGAGGGAATTTTGAGTTTGTGTTGAATGGATTGGAATGGGATGATCTGGCGCATTTAATTAAGCACTCTGATAGTTAAAAAAAAATTGCACTTGATTCATAATTCAAAATACAAATTTATTATTGACAACATAATATGTGAATTAGATGAATGTAATGAAAATCTCTAGGAATAATGAACCTTTTATTATTATTTACTTTCAAAGTTCTTTAAGAATTTGAATTGTAATTCTTGAGTGTTAATTTGACAAATGCTCAATTCATTTTAAGATTCTTCAATTCTTTGACAATTGCTTTGTGCCTGGAAAATTATGTTAATTTTACATTTTGAAAAAGTCTCGAATTTTACAGCAATTTAATTAATATTTTAAAGACTTTAAAATGAGAGATGAATTTAGTTTATGAGGGAAAGTTAAAGTGGGGATAAGTCAGTTCATAAACTAGGTCAGGAAGCTTCTATAACTTAAGTAAGTCTTATATTTGAAAACGTTTCGAAATTACTAAAATTCTTATAGATCCTCATTGATATGAGCCTCACAAATCAGAATAAAAACAAAATTCACACAGAAACATTTAAAACCACTTCAAACTAAAAACCAATCCTACTATTTACAAGAACAATTTCCGAAAAGAAAGTGAATTTCAAACAAAATTGAATAAATAATTGAAAATATAAGAGCCTATATTGAACATCTCTTTCTAAATCATTCACCTTAGCCATGCATCATTTATCATATTCACATATTTTTTTTTTTTGAAAATAAGGAAGGAAAAACAATTTGAAGGAAGGAACATTTTTTTTCTTTCGTTCAACAGAAGCTTTTTTTTCATGATTCTTTCATGCTAGTTGATTTGCATTTTTTTCTTCAATTTTTATTGAGGTTTTTGGATAAGAAAGTTAGAACTTTGATCAAGTTATAGGAAAATATGTATGCTATTTTTTTTGACATACTGGGTGTCATTGATTTAAGTATGTAAGTTTGATCCTACAAAATCAAAAGTAATCAAATCGAATCTGTTCAAAAAGAATCTTTTCATAACGTTAATTTCATGTTTGAATAATATTTATATTAAGATAGTTGTTTGCCCCCCATTTCCTACAATTAAATATAGTCTGTTTACGAACTCCGAACAATAAACTTCATGTTATTATAATTTAAATCATAGTCTTAGTGGTAAGTACAAATACCAAAATCGACTTAAACCAATGTTATTCAGTATTAGAGTTTAGGAAAGCTTTCCTCGTGAAGTCCAGCTTGAGTTGTTTTGAATTTGAAAAGATTCGATTTGAACAGGATTTTTTTTCTGGACAAAACACCTTCTAATCGAGGACCTTATTTAGCTAAGCTGTCAAGTATAAGAAAAAGGATGGGGAGTTAAAATTGGAGATGAGGAGTTGCTCAATGTCAACTCCAAGTTTCATAGAACATTTTCCATGATATTAATACTTAAAAGAAAAAAAAATTATTTGCTTCATTGTTATTCAAATTGATAAAGGATTCAAACCGTCACTTTAACAGATTTAAATCTGCATTTTCAATCAAACTCTTTACATTTCTCCAAATTAATTCACAACATATTGAAAAATAAAATATTCTTAATTTCCTGTGATGTGCAATAGATTTCATGCATAAATTTCCCTTTACAAAAGATCCACATCATGTCTTATTCGCCCGATAACAAAAGAGCCAGGGTAAAAATTTAAATGGAACATGAAAAAGCTTCATTTAAAAATGTAAATTCCATACAACAAAAACATAGAAGTTTAAATTTCCATAATTTCCTCAAAAAATTGCACTCAACACATTAAAAACTTTCTCCTTTATAGCCACCATAGATGGCAGAAGCGGAAAGCAACAAATTGGCACTAAAAAGTGGGTCATAAAATCACTTAAACAGCTGCAATTTCTTTTTTTCGGACAAATGGACAGTGGGAATGCACTAGATGGGGATAAGTTCACTTTATTATGGGAAGTGGAAGAACTTGACAGTTCAGACCAGCTTTTTTGAGTTAAAATAGATTACAGAATTGCTTCTTAGACTTAAGAGGTCACGGAACCCAAGCTACAACTGTTGGCATATCTAAGACTATCTTGCGATACATTAAAGCTCCGAAGAGCATAGTTTAAGAATTGTTGGTGTGAAAACGTCATTTTAGAGTGACGTCATCAGTGGATGACCCCAAACAATTGTAGTAAGTGCGCTAAAAACTATGGCAGTAGTGAAAAGCTCATTTAAATAAAGTTTCTGCGCCACTATAGACACCAAATAATCATTTTTTAAAAACATGTTGCTGCATTAAGTTAACATAAATTTCTTCTTTATATCCAACATTATACATAGTTTTCATTTCTCCTTTAGTTCCTTTGCTATATTACACAGCGTTGTTTATAAAGTTATACCACTTTACACACTTATTTTTTTTGTACATTACATTTTTTTTCTCATTCTTTTTTATTGATTTAAAAAATGCTTAAAAGGCAAAAAAAAAATTATTTTTTTCACTCTTTAAAAGCTCCACATTTTTTATGGCATTTTATGTGTGTGTCCACCACGATAAGCACGTAAAAATACATTTTAATTGCGAGACATTTCCAAGAAACCTTTTTTTTTTTAAAAAATAATTTTTCCTCCACTTTTTTTTATATTTTTTTTTGCAAAATTAAGCTCATGAAAAATAGAAAAACTTTTTTTTTTCTTTTCATACACTAATAATTTTTTTTACTTCTGCTCCTTTGAACTTTTTTTTCGCCACAAACCAAAAAGAAATTGGAAAAATTAAAAAAGTTGACGAGAGAAAAAAAAAGCTTTAAAGTTGAATTATAATTATTTTAATTTAATATTATCACAATTTTCGTTTAAAAGTAAAACTATGTGTTAAATTGGATTTTTTTTTTTGCTTTATATATCACTGAAAAAATATGCGAAAAATCGAAAAAGGACCAAGTTTTTACGGAGATAGGTCGTTTGGTACTGACGAGAAAATTTCTATAATTTTCCTTTCTACGCTCCGAGCATGAAAATGCTTTTCATTTTCGTTCCTTTTTTGCTGTGAGAAAATTGAGAGCTTTTTCTCACGATTCTCTTTGCTCATTGCGGTCTGTGTATGTGTGTGAGTCGTGGAGTGTAAAATAATATGTGAGAAAGCATAAGTTTATTTTTGTGGCTGAGAGGAAGGCATGAAATTTATATAAACAAAAGTTTTGTTATTTTTTTTCATAGACAATAGATTTCCACTCTATTCATATCATCCTTCTGATTTCAATTCTTCTTGTGCCTCTTTTTTTTTCGTTTTGTATGATAAACATGGCACACAGATAATATTTTTCAGTGGTTGACGGAATTTTTTGGGATATTATTCTTGGTTGAATTTACAATCTATGCGTTGGCATCTAAATGATATGATTAGTTTTTGTCTATACGGACTGCATGCCTTAGGATATACTAATACAATGAACTTAGCCCAGTTGATGCGTCACAATTCACACAAACCAAGTTACCATGACTAGAACAGCTAGAAAGCAACCAAAGTTTAACTTAACTTTCCCTGGGATCGAACCAGGGTCGCTAGGGCTGGATAACCAACACTCTAATCATTACATGATTGCTGCCTTTTTCCCTGTTACTTAGTGAACGACTATAGACGTATAAAATTGAATTTTACATTTTATTGATGGTTGAAATCATTTTGGGGTCTTTTACTTACTTTTTTTCGCACAGAAAGGACAATGAGGGGCTTAGCTAGGATTTTCTTGCGTTACATAATTAGTGATCGATCCCTAAGCGATGGACACAACACTTTAAGGTAATAAATTCTCAATAGCATGTCCCCAAGTCCGCAGCAGGTCTACATGATTAAGTTTCCTCGAGTCAATAGAACAATGAACGTAAGGGAAGTTGGTAAAAAAATCCGTAACTTCCGGATTAGGCTAGGCTTTAAATCCCATTATTATTACAAGTTATTAATTATCAAGGGGCTTCTGAAGACTTAAACAGCATTCTTACTAGGTTTTTAAAAATGACTGATTATATCCGAACGTAATTAGTGCAGGGGCGTAGTCGGAATATTTTTAAGGGGGGGGGGGGGCATTTTCGGAAATTAAAAAACCGTTATTTTGTATCCTTAAATCTATATTCACTAGGCTATCCGAAGGCGCCCGTGGCGCCTCTTATCAGGGTTAAAATTTGATTACTATTATGTAAATAACTGTAAAACTTCACAGGGCTTCACAAACCCCCTCGAACTCGAACCCCCTTAATCCCACTAAAACTTTAATCCCCCCGAAACCCAATATGTCTTTTCACAAAGCTTCGCATGGCTTCACAAAACTTCACATGGCTTCACAAAATTTTATATGGCTTCACAAAATATTCCTGACACCAAACTTTTCCCACAAACCCCCTCAAATTCGGACCCAACCCCCCCCCCCACCTTATCACTGAGTCATACATCCTAAGAATTAGATTAATTACCTTCATGTCATGAACCAAATCGTTTGACTGTTGACATTTAGGATAAAGCGTCACTAAGAAACACAAAAGTTGCGTCGAATCCCTCTTTTTCCTATATTTTCTCAATGAAATTTTTTCGACGGAAATGGAAGGAAGGAAGAGAGGAGAGCAGAGATTCTAAATAAATATATAGATATCTATATAGACACAGTTTATGTTTATGTTAATTTTTTTTCTTCTTTTTTTATTAAACATTTCAAAAAACAGAAAATATTTGACAGCATGCTTTAGGGGCGATTATGATGGAGCAACAAAAAGATTATAAAAGTATTAATTTTCTCTCTCTCGTTCTCGGCTTTTTTTTTTGTTAAATACATTTCAGCACACAACAAATGCGCTATTCTGTTTACTTTGGCTGACCTTTATATCCATTTAAATTGTTGAGCAATTTTGGTTTCAGATTTCAAATCATTTTAATAATTGTTTAGTCAAGATATATTTAATTGTAAGGCTCGAGGGGTGTTTACTTTAAAGCATATTGAGCTTGTTTATTGTGTCGCATTCTCAGATTTATTTTATTTTCTTTCAATTCCGTCGAATTAAATACAAATTATGATAATGATTTCCTGGAACACTCAAGCTTATGTTGATTCTCTGTAGAGAATTATTTTGTGCGGTTGAAGGAACTTTTCTGTTTTTGTTCTTGAAAGTTCTAGAAATTCAGAGCTTTAAGATTTGCTTTTTATTGGATTGGGAATTGGGAATTTTTGGGAGTTGGGGTTATGGAGGGTACAGGAAGTCAAAATTAATCTCAATTGCTAAGCTTTAAAATCTATTACAGACTATTCAAATTTTACCCGAAGTCAATCAGACTCGATTGAATTGTCTAATTCTGTTACAGTTTAAAAAAGAAAAAATAACAGAAAATGAAAATTTGAAAAAAAAATCTGCTGAAAAAATTTTTGACTCTGATTTTTCAAATATTTTTAGACCGTTTGTATTCAACATTTTAAAAATAACTGAAATAAGCGTTCTTCAGAAGATCTTTATTTCCATCCAGTGCTAATCTCTAAATTTTCAAAATGATATTTTCCATAATTTTAAAAAGCCACTAAGGAACTAGAATTTCAATTTATTCACATACAAATTTCCAAATTTTACATTAAAAGACGTAACAAATTATCAAAATTTATGTTATTGAGTAATAATAGCTACATTGTTGTCATGCAAATCATGTCTATTTGTACTGTTTCGATGCATTCAAAAATCATTCCTTAATCTCTGACGTTGACAAAAATTGATGCAAAAAACGTTAGTTGTTGATGATAAAATTCGTTGCGTGTAAACTTCTATGTCTCCAAAAAAAGTTGTTTAAATATTGATTTGTAGTAAAAATGCGCTTTGGCAACTTCGTGTTGACAGTTTGTGACGTCCTTACACGTTTATAAAATTGAGTAAAGCTTGTTGCGGTTGGCATTTTGCTTTGGGAAGCAATGAAGTGAGCTTATTAAATAAAATTGATCGTTGATTTCTCATTTTACTTTGTCCACTGCTCGATTCACCTTGCTGTCCATCCGAATCTCCATCCGAATAATTCGTTAAAGATTTATTGCAGAAGAGTAGCGAGGCAAGTTTATGAAAGTCATTTACTTGATTTATATCATTCTTATCAATTGTTTCGGACAAATCATTACGTAGAAATGAAAGTGCACTTATGGGATTCTCTCGTGCTATTTCTTCATACTGCTGCCTCCTTATCAAGTACTTACAATAGTTTAAGATACTATCACGTGATGGCTTCCGTAATTGAATTATATATTCTGAATCTGACTTGAGCACATAAAGAGAATCGTTGGTATGGACGAAATAATTTACATCGCCGGCACGTGAATAATTTTCGGACGAATCTTTACAACTTTGTTGTGATCCATTATTATTGTTTGTGGATGAATGTTGATGGCTTTTGTGTATCGTAGAATATTCGTTTGTTGCCAATGAATACATCCATAAATTATCCTTTATGAGGATATAGATTTCGCCCTTGTTTAAATCTATTGTCGAGAAGCACGAGCCAGAAGGCTTTTCGCAATTCATTGCCGAGTCTAATGAGGCTGTTGATGAAGATGCAACATGTGATGATGTCGGTGTATTGGCAAATAAATTGGTCTCTATATCAAATTGGACGATATCATTAAATGATTCCTTTGCACGGTGCCCACATATCATATAAATCTTTTTTCGATTCTGTCGGAATTGGGAATGGAATGAAGGAAGAAATTAGATATAAATGGTGTTAAATTGAGCAAATATTTATCTATCCATTTATCATTAAGTGATAAATCCTTACATCATCAAACAGCATGCTGTGCGATACTCTCGCTTTAATAGAATTTATTTCAGGATTTGCTGCATTAATATGATTAATGTCTAAACATAATAAATTCCATGTATTTGTGTTTATATGATACGAATAAAATCCTGAAAATGAATCGTTGGCGCCCTCATCAGACCTATGTGAGAAAATGTGAAAAAAAAAATAAAAAGAGATATCATTTATCAAATCGGAAGGCACACATGTGTTCAGCTTAAGGTCTAAATTGAATTTACAAGATATTTTTTTGCATAAAAAATATATTTGAAAACCATACAAATGTTTGATATGAATTTGTATGGTTTTTAAAAATAACGGCGTTCATAAATTCAAATGTTTGAAAACCCTACAATTTTTAAAAGTTCCGAAAGAGCTTTTTTGAAATACATTGAAATTTCATGCCAATTGTACGGTTTTAAATAATAATTTTTTAAAAAAATAATAAAACAAATTATAACGAACTATTTCCAAATCGGAACTTAATTATGTACCAAACCAAAGAGGGCCAAAGTGAACACAAAATTCTGTTTTGTGAAAAAATAATGCGAAAAGTAATTAAATTCAATACAAAGTAAAATAAAATAAGATGAAGTTTTATGTCCTTACTTATTGACTAATTTTCCTCCGAACACATAAATTGTACGCTCTCTGGGATTTAGGCAGATTTGATGATCTTGTACTAAAGATGGTCCATTCATTTGTTTCGTATCTTCACATATTAACATCCACGTTTTTGTTTGGATGTCATACAAATAAAAATCATTCTGTGGGAAATGATATAAAAGCTCAATGTTAAAATTTTTTGATACTTATTATTCAAATATTTATAAACCGTTAATTTTTAAATGTTAAAATGGCATTTCTACAAGAAAACTCGTGAAAATGACACTCAGATTTTCTTTATTTTCATCCAGTGTCAAGTTTCACGATGCTTTAAATATAAAAATAATTTAATTTATTGTGTCATATCACGTTACCTTGTAAGTATCATTTACATTCTCAGTCCCTCTACTCGCCTTCCTTCCAAGCATGAAAATTTGTTTAGAAATTGGATCGAACACCATTTTCTGTCCAGATCTCGGCGATATAGAGCCACAACTTTCATTTATACATGTCCATTTATTATCCTTAATATCATACAGCCAAAAATCGTTTAAATCTTCCGAATCATCCTCACAATGGCCTCCAAACATATAAATTACGTTTGATTCATTATCAAATGCATAGCCAGCATCCACACGAGTCTTTGGTCTTAATACTTTCTCACTTTCTTTTGGTAATATTTCACAAAAGTGTGCTTTGTATTTCTGATTGGAAATATACTCGTCGACATCACCATCTGTCAGGATTGGACATAAAAGCTACATTTATTATGATATACACATGAGACGAATTTCTAGCAAACTTACATTCTATGAATTTGGCCATAATCTCCTCAGACTTCTCAAAATGTCCAGCCCCAACCAAGCACTGATATAGCTCCGTTATCTGATTGTCCTCTAAATGTATATTTGCCTCATTTTCCAAAGTTTTAAATGCAGCCATATAACCCTTATCACGTAAATGTTTTAAAACAAGACGTACTGCTTGCTTCTCTCTTTGGTCATTGAAATTCCTCATCATGTCGCTTACATAGGAATCATTTTCAACTCCCCGAAGCTCCACATACCAAATACTAAAATTGAACGAAGGCCCAAAACTCAACAAAGGTACAATTTGTACATATAAAATTGGAATTTCTCGTTCTCCTTCTTCAGTGTACATCTTATGCTTAAGATCAAATATCTCTGGCACATTGTCATTTTTTAAGCCCCTAAAAAATAAAATAAAAACTTTTTATTAGCAACAGTTTGCACATAAAGAATTATGACTGCTGTGGATATGTATATGATAAAGTTTGAGACTTACCCTTCAAAAATTTGAAACATATTGCTCTCCTGGAGCCCACCGTAAATTTTAAACTTCTTCAAGTTGCAAACATGACCAGTTTTGTGCCTAATGTGAAAATAAAATCGTCAAATTTATTGCTTTAACTTCAGTGAACTGCAGGGTGAACTGTGTCGATGTGTTGGGTATAAAACTTTAAGAGGGGAGCTATGACAGTTCAGGAATCTAGTTATGGGGTCTTAAATAAATTGAGTCCTGGATGTCACTTGAATTGGCAATTTAAGAGCTTCAAACAGCACAAAAGGATCGATTTCTGAAAAAAACATGTCTAACAGTCGACATCTAACCCAATCGAGTCAGCTACAAGATTATGTCAATTAACTCTCATGCGTTGAACTTTACGAGATTTATCAAACATTTGGTCACGCAAAAGCTACGTGTAGAAGATAAGGAACCGTAGCAGATTTTTATTTCTAGGACGATTTACGACTGAAATGATGCAGAGTTGGTCACTTGATTCTAAGAATTGACATAACTGGATGTTTTCATGATCCAGTAAATTACAGATAATCTAACAGATTTAAAGCTAAAGTAACTTTAAAAACCATAAGCTATGAGCAACTTACTTCCCAAAGAGTATCTTCTTGACTATAGCCGGTTTGTTAAGCCTCAAAGTGATGAACTGAGTTGGTACGCTAAAAATGGAAATTTTATTCAATCAAAAGTCCTTGACCTAGCTTATTGTATGCTCTAATTACTTAGTATCGCTAGACCATCGTGATATTTGATCGCTTGGATTATCGTCGCGAATATTTCTAAAATAAACAAGGAAATAAGTACAAAAACCGGTATTGAATTCAGAAATTGCGCAATTGATTTTTTAAGCAAAATTTAAGTATGACAACAAGTGTCAGACTTAATAAATAACAATAGAGTACAAGTGTCATTGCCAAAATCAAAAATAAAAGGCTTAATTTACTATTTATAAGTTTTTTTTTCTAGTAAATTCACTGAAAAATACTTACTCTGGCAAATAGGATGATGAGAAGCTGGAGAATGAATGAATCTCGTATTGAAGCTTCGTAATTCTGTCTAAATCCATCAAAAAATGTTATTTAATTACAGTATATCCTCGTTAAAAATTAATAATTCACACAAAAAAAGTTGAAAAAATGTTCGGCACTAATTTCTCAGAAGTTTAACGACTAATTGATAATGACTTTACAATCTTTAATTAATATAATCACACTAGATTGCTCAAAGAGCTATATTTATGTCCAATATAAATGAATTATAGTAAAATAATGGAAAAATTGTTTGATTAGAAAATTGAAAAAATTCTCAAATTTTTAATATTATAAAAATCTAGTACTTCAAATAAGTTTGAGAGATCCAGAGAGGATTTATCAGTTCCTACATGCTGCATTGTTGATTATAAAAAAATCACAAAAATGTGTGGAATGTCTATAAAACTGGAAAATAGTAAACAATAATTTTGGAGGTAAAAATATGGCTATCCTGCAAAGAAGTCATCAAACTTTCTATTCCACATTCCAATGCTTTATAATAAATAGACAATTTTAGTTCAATATTAAATTTAAATTTATTTTTTATGCTTCATTCTCTTTTCACACGTCTTCAATATCATAAATCTTCATGTATATGTGTATATATATATATATATATATTTATATAGATCTAATGCTTCTGTCTCTGTCTGATGTACAAGCATAAATCATGAAAATGCAATACAAAAAATTGTGAGCAAATTACTCGATCTTATCTTCATTTCTCGATAATAATTTTGATCCTTCATAGGTTTATCAATACTAAAGTGTGTGTATGTGTTGTTTGTGGATTTTTGTAACCAACCTCAATATATTCTCAATTACAATTTTTTGCATAAAATGTTTTAATAACTAAAATATATAATTAACGAATTATCATTTTTATATCTCTCATTCATAGTTTATGCTGATAATGCATCCGTTCCTGGTGTTCTCTCAAAAATAATTAATAAGATACGTTAATATTGTATGTGTGTGTGTGTGTGTGTTCGATGCAAGAGATTTTAGTGCTATATATTAAAAAGCTTAATCTTTTTTTTTTTGATTTTTTTTTATAAATAGCATAGAATTTCAGACGAAATTGAACGATTTTTTTTTAAGAAAAATTGAAGAAAAAGCATAGTTGGGGGGGTTCTGATGTTAGATCATAACTGCGCGAGCGATTAATGGTGATATTTCTTGTTCTTATTTTTTTTTTGTTACAATAAAACTTAATATTCTTCTTCGCCTTGATCTTCCATATCGGGCGGTGCAAAACCGTCCTAAAATTATTTATAAAAATATATTTGCGTTAATTTTTGGTTGATTAAGTTTTATTCATTGGTTTTAGTATCAGACAAGAATTATTTTTTTAAAGACTAGACATTTTACTTTCAATTTATATACTGTGTGGTGATAATTATCATTTTTTAAAGGTGCTTTCAGTGCTGTCGAGTTTAATTTTTTTAAATAATTTACAATTTAACGGTCCTTTGAGATTCAAAATTTATAACATGCTAGTACATTTTTCGAACCGTTACATTCAAATGTTTAAAATACGTTATTAATTATAATTTTACAAAATCCGACATCCAGCTTATTAATCAGCCACAAACTGTTTCTGTAAGTCGAATTTCGCATACTTTCCTTCTTTTCTGTCTTTTTAAAATCGCACATGAAAGCTTATATGCAAAACAAATTGATGTTTATGCTTTGAAATGTTTTAGTCTAGTCAAAAAATATCTTGTCCGATGGAATTTATTCTGAATTTACTTCTGTTGCATAAAGAATGTCCAAAATCTTCTGAATAATTGGTGTCGTTTCTCCTTCATCGGCTTCTTGACATCTAAAAAATAATAAAATAGACACAAAATAGTAACTTTCTAAGGGGATTTAAGGAGGGAGGTTAATAATGGCTACTTACAGAATCTCGATATCTCGTAATTTGCTAAAGTAAAAGTCACGTTCTTTCTCCAATCCCTCCAAATTCAATCGCATGTCGATAAGTTGATTTGAAAGCTCCTCGACTTGCTGATTCGAAACATTATTTGCCGACGATTTATTGGACGTAGTCACTGTCGTACGATTTGCTGGTGCTGGTGCTTTTGCTGGGGCAGCTTTTTGTACTAGTATTAAATGTGGATGAGGTAAAATAAATAAAAGCAATAACAATTAGAGTCATAATTATGAATCATTTTTAAGTACGATAAAGACGAAACAAATAATTATGGAATGGATTTAAGTTTATTTCCTTTAACAACCCGCTGCGTTATGTGTTATTGTTATGATCATTAATGAATGAAAAGCTGTTGTTAAGTGAGTGAATAAGTAAGAAATTATACAAATGAGTTAATAAAATAGTGCAAACAAATAAAAAACCATTTTTAAGTTAAGAGAAACTTCTACAAAAACAATAAAAAGAGATTCAGTATAAAAACATACGTGGACGACGAGCAGGCATTGATGTTGCCGCTACTATTGGTTTTTTTGCAATTCCATTGCTGCTGCTATTAAATGACTTGCCTGCGGGAGCTCCACTTCCAACGCCCAATCCCATTGGCAAACCATCGCGAGCTGCCACAGCATCATAATCTCTTCCATCATAATTTGCGTCAAAAAACTTTTTGAACCATTGCAAAAACTCAAAATTATCTTGAAAGCGTCCCTTTATCAACCTTAAATTAAAATCGTGTTAAGAAAATTTCATATTTTATAAAACAATCCTCTCTCTCGTTCCTGCAAATATCTTTTTCCATCCAATTTTCATTTAATAGCGCAATTTTGTTGGTCATAAATGCCCACATTTTACTGAGGCTATATTTGGTCACTCATAAAATTCAGATTAAAACTCTTTTTAGGCTTGTTATTATTATTAATTCAGTGCTGATCACCTTGCTGTGATCGCTGAATTCAGTTTAGTAGATTGAATCTCATAAAATTGAATGACGTCGATTGACATCAATTTAAACGGCCTTTTAACATTCAAAAATAATAATCTAGTACATTTTGACCAAATCATTTGAATTTTTGAAAACCGTTACTTTTTGAGTTTTTTTAAAGCCGTTATTATTTGAATTTTCAAAAACTAGTAAATATTCAAAAAATTTAAGAATCAGTTATATTTGGGGATTATTAAAGAGTTCCAAACAAAACTGCGCTGTATTGACACAGATCTACAAACATTCACATTCTCAGTGACATTGCATGAAACGAGTTTTTAAGTGCATTGAATTAAAACTAAAAAAGATGAAATAAAGAAGGAGAAACAATGTATTTTAATGTGTGCTTACCTGTCGATAGGAATAATCTATAAGGAATGAATGAATAATTATGTAATAAATGAAGAAATTAGTGTGTGGTAAATAATATTAGATTCATTAATATAGTAAATTTATTGATGATGGAGTACTGGTCATAATATCAAGCGAAAATAAAAATCATAATTAGAATTATGAGGAATGTATGGAAATATAAGTAAATAAATTATGTATGCATAATGCAGTATAAAGGTATAGGCATGGCTATGTAAATAATAAATTGTATTGTGACAAATCGTAATCAGCGAGTCATAAAACAGCAAGAAATAAAAAAGTTATCCTACACATTTACTAAAAAGTTGTGTGTAATTACAGAACAATAATGATTTAATACCAAAAAATGAAATTTTTTCCCTATACAGTCTAATAGCTTTTTTTAAAAAATCCATTCCATGATCATTTTTTATGTAAAATACAATACAATAAAAAAAAGTCATTTTATACCAGCCAGAACTCTCCTCGGCGCTGGTTGCTGCATTTGTCTTTTTGCAATGCCAGCATCTCCTACACCTATTTCATTCTGTATAGCTCCATGACCTAACTGTATTCCAAAACGAGATTCGATTGCATCGTACTCTCTGCCATCGTAATTGGCATCAAAAAACTTTTTAAACCATTGCAAGAATTCAAAATTATCTTGAAAACGACCTTTAATTAAGCGATCGACCGGCACGATCTATATTGGATTATAACAAAAAGAAAATGGAAAGCAGATTTTTTGGGTTTGTGCTGATTATTTCACTTTTTTTTTTCTCTCTTTTTAAATTATACTCTGTGTGTGTATTTAAATGCTAATCCTCTATATTGATTATTTACGAATATTTTTTATCATCACTTTGAAATTTTTTGACTCACATCTATTTCTGTTGACACATATATTATTCATGAGAAAAAGTTAAGTCTAGTAAGCGCATTTTCCTAAAACTCTTTGTCTACCTGTCTGTCTGATTTTTAATGATTTTTAACGTTATATTTTCAAATCTACTGTTAAAACATATTTACTCTTATTTTGAGTTTTTAGTCCTTTTAAAGGAAAATGCGCTCTGGTCAGTCTGTTCTATGTCGCTCCTCTTCTTCTCATGTCTTTTTGTCAAATATTTTTTTATCATCATTGCATATTTTGGGGTATGATTCAACTTACCTTATCAACGTTCATTTTTTTGAAAGCAGCTTGAAGGATCTTGAAATTTTGAATATATTCATGCTCCAAGTTTGTTCTAAATTTGACTCGTTTCATCGGAACTGATCCAGAAAATAACATATCCATATATTGACAGTAGGCAGCTCCTATAATGATTCATTAATTTATTGATTGTTCTTTTTTTCTTTCAAGGTAATGAGGAATAATTAAGAATTTTTCTGATTCGTCAAGCATAGCGGAATCATTTTTAATTTTTTTTCTTTTCTGAATGACAATATTATTTTTTTGTGTGTAAATGATCATGACATTGATTTTTTTCTGTCTAATGACACTGACACAGCATATGGTTATTTATTGACAAAGCTGTTGAGTTCACTTTCTACGCAAGATTAAGTATAAACTTAAAAAAAATGTTCGGTTAAGCAATACGTGACTGTCAGCATGCTATTGTCTATGGTTTAAAATTATGCTCATATGTCTGTCATTTAAGTTTTAAGATTAAAACTTTAGCGACTTTTTCAGATTCAAATAAAATAATCTAGTCCTTTTTTTGATCAAAATTATTTGAATTTTTGAAAGCCGGTAAAATTTGAATATTTAAAAACTGTTAAAATTTGATTTTTTTTGTTGAAACCTTTGGGGCCATTCACATATTACGTAACGCTTTTAGGGGGAGGGGGGGTCTAAGATTTTGTTACGGTTCAAACAAGGAAATTTTTTTTTCATACAAATTTTGTTACGAGGGGGGGGGGGGGGGGGTGGGTCTAAGAAGTCATTTTTTCGCGTTACGTAATAAGTGAACAGCCCCTTTCAGCCTTAATGAATTTTCATATAGTTCACTAGTTTCAAAATTAGAAACGGATAAAGAGAATGACAGACCAACAATGGCTCGTTGACAGACGACCAGAACGACGAATACAAAGGGGGTTAATGAAGAAATTTATTGTTCTTGACAATTGTTGACAACTTACCAGTACATAGTTCTTCAATTTTCGTAAACTGAGATCTTAAGCAATCATTGACCCATGAGAGCATGTCGTGACGGGACAAGTTATCCGTCGTAACATTAGTTGAATAGACATTTACTGCCATAATGACGTTGAATACAAATTAAATGCAATTAAAAAGACAACCTTTCTTCACTGGCTGGTTTACTCGGAAATACAAAATAATATTTGTTGAACAATCTCTCTGGAAGTAGAAACAGAAATGAAATGAAATGAGACAAAACAATACTACAGAAATAGCTGCGAGTGAGTTGGAGTGAATCAAAAAAAAACTATTTTTTTACTATCTCTTATTTTATCAGTATGCTCTCAGCATTGAACTTGAAACAGTGACATACACACAGCACACACAATAGATGGACAGACAATATGTGGAGTTTTAATGCCCAAATATAACAATACAAATGAAATATTTTTGATGATGTGCAACAACCAAAAAGGTATTTCTTTTTCTTCCTTCCTCCATTTCTTTTTCTTTTCACTTATTCGAGTATATATGCCAAAAAAAACAACAGTTTTCTCCCATTTCATAAATATTCAAAAACGCTTAACTTATAACTTATGTGAATATGAATAGAAGACATGACTTTAAAGAAATGTTAAGGCGCATTTTCAAGGTCCAGAGCAATGAACTGATTTTTTTTTGTAGAAATAAATTCAGTTCCAACCGGTTTCAGCCGGTCTTTTGTTACTCATGCTGGATCTTTAAACTGTAACTTCTATAGTTGGATTTATGTTTAATCCAGGGGCTTAAATTTTAATCCTGTAGACTTTGTGAAAATATTGCTCGATCAGAAACTTAGTCAGCCGTAATGCTCACTTAGAAAGACTCAAATTAGGTCAACGAAAGCCCAATATGATTTTTCGTGTGTCGGTTCCTCCCCAAATGTAACTGATTAAAGCAACATTGATCGTTAGCTGCTCTTTTTTGGGACTGTTAGTGGCCATAAAGAATGAAACGGTAAACACTTTAGCTTAATATATGTAGATATAAATTTATTCACCTAATAATAATGTATATGATATAGGCTTCTCGTGCACACACGAAAATAAAACTAAGTATTAAGAAAATTTCTTCTGTATTTGGATGGTAAGGCATAAGAGAGAAAATGTGAATTTTAGATGAACTTGGCTTTTCAGAAATAACGAAGAAACAAGAAGAAAATTAAGAGAAATGCATTTTCTTGAAATTCTCTTATTCTCATGTATTTCGACTGGATCTATAAATAGCTGTGCACATAATAGTATATTCTCTGGAAGAATCATTCGAATTTTAATCCCAATACAATCAATTCAAAGATATTGTTCGATAACGCTATTAGTCATTGCACTTTTTATGTCTTGAGTGCCTTAAAATACACATCCAGCGCACAGTCATAGTACATGAAGAAATTGAAGACATGATGGGAGAGGAAATTAAATATAGAAGGCGAAGTATGTAGTCGTAAACTATTGAATTATGTGACGCAATGTTAAAATTCATCCACAGATCGAAGCAATTGGAAGAATGAATGGAAAAAAATTGAATCATCAAAAATAACACTCCCAAAAAATAATTTTTTTTCTTTTCACTTAAATTTTCCCATTATAATGAGACAAAAGGGCAATTTAGATATGCTTTATAGGCATAATGCATGTAATAAATCGATAGTAACGTTACTGATTTAAGCACATCCAGTAGATATGCAAGATTTCGTGAAAAATTAATGAGGTCAACAACACTGAAATTTCACCAACTTTTCACTCGACATTTCCGCAAATTCCTTAAACTTACCTTCAACAAACTGTTTATCGGTATTATATTAAGACACAGATATGATTAATTGAGCCACTTTTAAGTATAGAACAGCAAATATAATTAAATTTTACAATCGTAGCAGTTTCTAACCTTCCGTTTTTAGGGGGAACATCACTACTGCAGAAATCAAAAATAACCGTCATTTTACTCGTAACCGTAACTTTTATTTTGAAAATTTCTCGAAAATTCTAATTTGAATTTTTTTATAACTGTAATTAAATGATTTTGATAAAATCTGTACATCTATAAGATAACTAGCTATGCAATTCTAGACACTTTACTATGTCCTGTTTTGCTAAAATAAACTAGACAAGCTGTCATTTCATTTAATGGTGGAAATCACAAAAAACATGATTAACGGAAAGTCGAAAACTAGTGTCGATCATGAATGATTTTATTAGATTCACAGCTTATTCTCATATTGTGAAGAAACAAAACCGAATACTTGAAAAGCTTTTACAAAATCCTAGACACCTCTCGCAAAAAAATCGAACATAATTAATAAATGTTCTCCAACGAATACGAGGATATGATAAGATTTAAGTTTAAATTTTTAATTGATCAATCTTTAAACTGCTTGAAACATTTGCCGGTTGAAGCTTGATGTGAACATAAACACATTGTGTGTCTATCCAATACTAGTTTTCATATAATTTCCGACAGTTATTCTTTCAACGAGTTGAAATCGTATAATACATTATTAGCAAGACATGCAGCATGACGATTTTTAATGATGACTAATATGTTAGTAATGCAAAAATCTAGTAAAATGAAATGTGTAAATCATTATCTTCTTCATGATAAGACCACAGGAATGTAGAATTCATCACAAGATATTTCTAGACATTGTCATAGCTAGTTCAAAAGCGTGATCAAGATCACCTACATAAAAAATGCAAAATATGTTATTAAACGTGATGAATAAAAATTGGAAAATGAGTCTTTAATGATGTAGAGGAATTAGAAGACGATTGTATTTTTAAATATCAATTCATTTTTAATTTTTATTACCATTCAATTTTAATAATTATACAAATCGTTTAATTCGAATAATCTATTTAATTGTTTTTTGTTTTCTCGACAAGCACATTCTATCTAAGTATATATGGAGAGTGAGAGAAGTAATATTACTTTTTTGAAAAGATATATCCTCAATTAATATTTTTTGTTTGCGAATTCTTAAAACTCGCACAAGATGATGTAATCTCAACTTTATATATATATATAATATTGTGTATAAAAGTACATTAATCAAAAAAGATTCAGGAGATCATTGAATGGATTCGCCATGTACTCATATCATCATACAATAACTCGAATCGCAAATTTTTATTTTTTATCTTCGTTTTTTTTTATTAAATAATTTAAATCGTTTTTTTTCTTCATTTAATATTATTAATTACTAATGAAATTCAATTTTAAAGAAATATTCTATCATCGACATCATCATCATCAGACATGAGCATGATTATTATAAATACAGTGTACGATCATAGTACTTATTCTTGTTTTTATGTGACTTCTTATGCCACATAACATCAAATATTCCTAAGTTTACACTTCGACTTCTCTCATGGACTTTCGAATTGGATGATGTCGATGAGTCGAGCGTATCATATTTCTTTAAATTTGTCGTTCCTGTACTTGAACTTTTCTTCAACTCATAATTTTTATCATGAGAATTAAAGTTTTTAAATGAATATGTATTATGTATGACATGTTGTGGTTTCGATGATGGTGCACGCTGCTGACTAGGTGAGTTAACAACTACGTCAGATGTGGTTTGCAAGTTACTAAGGCTACCAATTCCTTTATATCTACGAAATGAAAAATGATAAATTACAAATGAAAAGAACATGTTGAATATTAATTAAATGAGATATGAGATACAAGAAGGGAAGCTGAAAGAATGCAAGATTTATGTCCTCCCGAGTGATATCTTTTTGATTTCTATTTTATTTTTATTAAGATAGTCGCGGCGTAGTTTGATCCCAAAAGTTCAAGGAAATTAATGATTCTATTTAGAATTCAGCACATATTCGAGGTCATTTTTCATTTTTTGCGAAAATGTGCTTAGGGATCGTTGATAAATTACGTTGATCATCAAGTAATATTATTTTGGAGATCTTCAGGGTTCTAGGATTTTGTCTTTAAGTTAGGTTGTCAATCATAAATGGGAGGGGTTGACATTATAAAATGGGGTGGGGGATTGCCTTTATGACAAAATGGAATGAGGAGGGATCTTAAAAAGTTTTTTTTTTTATAAATGAACGACATCAAGTGGGGCAGTGTAACCGCAAGCATGATGATAAACTTAAAGAGTCACCAAACCACTGCCCTTCCAGACCTAAATTTTGATCGACCCCTAAGCACCATCAGTTACTAAAGAATTTCATGGCACATTCGGTCAACTTGCTACAAACTGGTCATTTTTCATGATCATGCATGCCTTCTTTATTATGTTCACACGTTGGTAAACAAACGGTCATCGACATTTATTTGTCTAAAGTCAAGGCTAATATCAAATCATAACAGAAAATGAGAAAGACCGACTATGTGCTGACCGTGGATTTAAATAAATGAAAAGTTATCAGGAAATGGATCGATATCATCGGGGAAAAATTTAATTCTGGGTTACCTAATGTGAAACAGTGGACTTTGTGGGCTCAAATCATTTGACTCTTTTTGTGGCGATGAGATTTTTGCACCATGTGAATTACTAGAACGTGAAAATATGAGTGTTGGTCGCTTTTGTGTAAGTTGCTTTTTTGATGGAATTGTTTTTAATGACGGCGGTATTGGCTTTTCGAATAGATCATGCTTAATCCAACTATCAGAATTAAATATATGATGATTTTCTCGTTTGTGAGAAGAGGCTACTTTACTACTACTGCTCGATTGACGTAACTCATTATTAGACTTTTGTGGCGAATGTGGCAGTTTCGGTGATGCTTCAGACAATGACTCAAAGTTATTTAAATTTTTTGGCAATGATGTTAAACCACGCACGTAATCATATATTTGATCGATTTCATCATATTCGTATGCTGTAACATGACTTGGTTGTATACTCTTTGTTTCCGCTATTACTTCTAGATTTGTTGATTTCTTGAGAACATATCCATTAGCAAGAAGACCTTTTTGTCGTGATGATGAAGAAAACACAATGAAAAAAAAAAATACGAAAAAAATAAAGTAAAAAATTATCGTCATTAAATTTAATGAAACAAGTCAGCACACAACATTGTATGCTGTATCATGCTAGGATGGTGGGGAAAATTAGGAAAATATTTTAGCAATAGCAATGTTGACTTGAAGGATGATTCAATAATCCAACTTATTGCTTGAATGTTGAATCTGCATCGACTCTCAACATAAATTAGCACATTTTAAGTAAGATGATACAGATGAAATATATCCTTAAGAGTTTAGGAAGCGGGGTGGAACTAAATTAAACGATTCCTTCAAACTTGACTCATAAGCTCAAAAGCTTTCACGAAATTGGATAAATACGTTGGTTAATGACGAGTTTTAAATTTTTGGCGGTGCCCATGAGAAAATCATCTCTCGTGTAATGCTCTTAAGTATGTGGCGCTTTAAATTAATTGAAATTAATTAATTAACTTACTTTCAGTTATTAGAACAGACTCTTTCTTATTATTTCCATCTTTATCGTATAATTTCAAATCGATCACCTGCAGACGACTCTTAACATCCTGTAAATGTCGCATGCTTCTCTCGACAAGTCTTTTAAATTCCGTAAAGTTCTCCAATTGCGCTATATTCTTAACACATTGCATCTTTAACTTCGTATTGAGTGGAATTGAGATCAATTCTATATCTTTTTGTAGTGGAAGAGCAAAAATATTATTTTCGACTTCTATGAAACCTAATAATCTAAATTCTGGCACAAATGACGATTTTAAACCTTTTGGGGGCATTCCATGTATCAATCGTACAATTAGTGGCATTCGCTTCTTCAATAAATTTTTTACCTATATCAAATAATGGCACCAAAGAGTCAGCACCACAAAAGAAAAAGAAAAGAGAAGAGAAGAAAAAAATTATGTTAAACGTAAATTGAGACACACACAGATCAGAATCATTCATATTTCTTATTACCGTATGTACGCCACTTATACTATCCTCTTTTTCTTTAGCTAACGGAGAAAATTTTGCTTTGCAATCGAGAGGCAACGAAATCAATTGATTTTTACTCGTTCTACATTGCAAAAATTTTCCATCATCGCTTATTGGAGTTAAAATTTCACCAGCATTTAAAGTTTTATTTGTATTGTTCAATCTGATTACGAAAGTTTCGCGTACAATTACTTTCTCGTGTATATTGCGACGTCGCGAAAGCTCAAGAACACTCTCAAATGGCTTTGTTGATCGACCTTCTTCGCTAAGTAACTCGAAAAATCCATTGTATGAGTCAGGAATTAGAATGATCTTTGAACCCACACTCGATGACTTTTTTCCTTCTTTCATTTTTATTGGCTGCGCTACAATTTGAAAATTCTTGCCGGCATTTAGGAAGAGTGCTGTATTACAAAGGTTTGGACTCGATAATGATGGAACACCAAGAACACCTGAGTGCTGTCCTTTTGTTATTTTCGCTACCATCGGCATTTCAACTTTTGAAAAGTCTCTGTTTTTCATGAATATTAAGAAAGGAAGAAGAACGTAAAGAAATTACTGTATATTGAATTTATTTGCATAATTAAAATAATATTATGAAAATTGGTATTGTGAGAGCTGTCACCATAGGTGGAATTTTAAGTGAGCGCATTTTTGCAACGATTCTAATAGCTGGCATTTAATGCAGTCGTTTGCATTAGAATTTTAATCTGATTTCAAGTTTTTTTGCATAGTTAATTAAAGAGATAATTTAATTAGAGGGATGTCAATTTTAATGGAAATAATTTAAAAAACATGATGGGGTAGGGTCTGAGATTTTGTAAAAGTAGTTGTGCTTAAGTTCACACACAAATTTTACCAACATTGGCTTATTCAGCTTTGTTTTATTCAGGGGAGTATCAAAGAGTTCCAGACCCTCTTCTTACCATTAAAAATTTTAATCATTTAAAATCCACTTAATTTAAACACAAAACTTAACCCGTCAACCAACCCTTTTCATTTTCTAAACTATGCAAGTCGGCTGAGACCCTCAAAGTGACTAGCAAGAAAAAAAACTTCAATTCCGTTGCAAAAATACGCGTATTAAAAAATTATGTGCATTGACTTAATAAAGTAAGAATTAAAAAAAATTTACTTGAAATGCAAATTATAAGAAGAGGATCTGCATAGGTTCATAAGCCTAAAAGGGGTACTCCACCAAAAGTAGTAAGCAGTAAGTAAGTAAAAAAGCAAAGCAAAAAAATTCGTTTATAAGCAAATAAATGTCGGCAATTATTAATAAATTATTTTTATATTACAATATTGTATAAGGCAGAGAATAGCGAGTAAGAGAGAGGGAGATAAATATTCGGGAAGAAGAATAGAATAGATTTCGTCATCCAATCATCCACCTCGATCGAAAAAAAATAAAGAATTTAATATATGGAAATGTGATGTGATTACCTTAAATGCATGGCTGTTTCCTCAAATCTTGATGCTGCTAAAACAATTTGCGAATCGCTGGCCATATTGAGTTTATTTTAAGTATCTTATTTCATAGCATTACTTCAAAAATTAGAATCCTTCGTTCATAAAGAATCAAGAATGTAAAAATAAAATAAATGAAAACATCAGTGATGGTGTAAGAAGAGGGCATGCATGCATGTATGTATGTTTTATAACAACATGATGAAGATGAAGCCATATGAAAATGTTAAAAAATAATATATGAAAGAAGAGACATTAGTTAACTTATGTCGTTGTTGTTGTTGTTGCAAAGAATAATTGTGAAAGGAAATTCTTCATTTCTCGAATCATCTTATGAATTTTAATTTATTTATTTATTTTATTTTACTTTTTTTTTCCTTCAATTTACTTTTTACTTTACTTTATATATACTCATTCAATACTCATACGAATCACATAAAAGTTAAATATTCAATAGCGTCTATGAAATAAATAAAAGAATTAAACGTTAGAAAAATTTCACACTTTGGTGATAATCGCGCATTTTTTTATGAGACTCTTCGGAAGGAAGGGAAATGACCTTAAAATACATAATTGTGGATAACAAATATATGTAGCCTGATATGCTCGAGTGATTCTGTGGTTAAGTAATTCACCTTCGAGTCTTCGGTCACTAAGTTGAGAGGTAATGGTTGAATCTTGAGGTCAGAAGTTTAATAGAGATCTTTTCATGGTACTTTATGTACATAATTCTAAATTATGAACGGAAAATGTTATCTAGCTGAATAATTAAAGTGTACTCAAATTACATCCAATAAACTCGCCTTCTTCATTCTTTACGGAATGTTTATGGGAAGACTCTTATATTGATGTAATGTGGGCTTTTCTTTTGGCCAATAATCAAATCGTTGCTATTATTTTCTACCAAGTATGGAATCATTTAATTATGACGTCTATCAAAAAATCGGAATTTTAAGAAAAAGTCTCAGACTGAGCTATTAATTATGTCCCCTAAATTATAGACCTCATAACTTAATGACTTCTAAGATGTATCTAATTGAAATCTGTGATTATAACAGAGTTTTATCTCTCCAAATCAAGAGATGAATGCAATGAGATTAAGATTCACACTTCACATAAAAGGACTTGATCAGAGCTTTTATTTCCCACAAAGCTTATTCAGCCATACACTTGCTAATTTCACAGATTAGTCAGACAGATCACTGCCAGTAACACTTAACTCTTAAGCAATTGTGCTAGCAGAAAATCTAATGTTCATTAAAATGATGTGATTATTGTTCATGATTGAAAGCTCTAAACGGGCAATTTTGTAAGTTTGTTGTATAGTTTATTGTTATAACTATTTATTTCTTTAAATGTCGTATGTGTCTTTTTTTTCTCATCACTGCCTTATTGTCATCTCACGGAATTATATTTTAATATTTTATCATATGTCGATTCTTAATGACACGACATTCCAGCATGTGAATGTGAAAAAAAAATATTGAGGCACAAAAAATCGGATGATATAAAAAATATTGAAAATCCAAAATCGGAAGTATGTTATCATACTCGTCTATCATACATAAATTTAATTTTTACGACTTCAGAACAGCTCGTTTGTAAAAATGTTTTCTATTTTTGCGCTTCCACGGTTCTTTTTATGTTATTTTATTTTAGTTTACGCCACATTTTAATACAAAGAAGAATAAAAGAGCATAAAAGAGAGTCTCTTTTTGCACAAACATGCCATTTAACGCCAAAATAAAAACAAAATAGTTTTTACCTTCATTCACCCAAAATTATGAATCAATTGCTCATATAAATCAATAAAAGTGTTTATTCTTTTTTTTCGCCTGTTTTCTTGACATCATCACTTTCTGAACACATTTCTTTTGAAACACAGAAAGAGTATAACGTGTTGGAATAAACTATTTCTTCTCTGGAATTGCATGTTTAAGAATACTTTGTTCTTGAACTTTTTCCACTTTTGTTGCAAATAAATTGTTTGGAAAATAAGTTCAAGCTTTTTAGCGCTTTTCAGCACGACAAATTATGTCTGTTGGATTCACTTTTACTTGGAGGAAAAGTTTTTGGTGATTTTAATAGACTCATAATTTTGAGTGGTCTCGTTAATGTGAGACTTTAATGACTGAAAATGAAAATTCGTGTTTTGAGAGCGGATAAATCACGAAAATTTCTCAATTGTTGTTTTTTATTATATTGAAATCAAAGATTACGAATCGATTAACTAGAAATCAATGGAATTAATTAAGCTTTTAATCGCTTCCTCATGAAAACTTGATTCGAGTTTGGTGCAGTGAATTTTTATTGTTTACAAACATTTGGGAAAATTTCGGAACTTAAAAGTTTATGCTTTTCCTTGTCTTGTACTTTCGTGACAATTTTCCTTTTACAATTATTAAACTTATGTTAAACAGCTATAAAAATCATTCTAATAATTAAATTGAAGTTCTTTAATATGATGTTTATTGTTTGAGATTCAAAACAAAAATTAAAACTTTTCATACTTTCAAAGGAGTTTACAACTAGCATATTTAGGTTTCAACTTCTAATTGTCGTTGGTTAGTTCTTAATGAGAATCAATTTGAATGTTTTCAATTGCAGAACAAAGTCTACTTTAAAGCACTGAATTAGAAAGCACATACAACTTCTAATAAAAATGCGTCTGAGTCACTAATTCATACACAACAGGAATGAATTTTCAACTAGTTCTTGCCATGTTTCGTACATCAGCTCAGATATATACACAACATATTAAGCGAGTAAGAAAGAGTAAATAAGCTAGTAAGAGAGAAGGAAGAGAACATGATGAAAAGAAGGTGCGAACTTAAAAACTTCAGTGCCATGTTGTAATGTAACGAAATAAAAGCAGGCACAAAATTATAGAAGCACTATTTTAAGTTCTTTATTATTTTTTTTTTCCATTTCATTGAAACTTTTGCAATTATACTTATTTTGAATTGTTCTGCCTTTGAGTGTGCTATTTGCGATTTAAAACTGTTAATTAGACACTCACATTCATATCCACTTAAAAAATTGAACAGAACAATTTTGTGCAAAAGCAGCAGAAACAAAAAAAGCTCAAATTTGATCGATATTCTAATAGTGATTTGCCTATACAATTTCGGAAACTGTGTGTATAGATTTTCGATGGATAGATACAGTACATAGAAATTTTTTTATTTCCATTTGTACTCGTCTGTCTATTGAACTAAAAGTAAAGGCTAAAGTGAATTGTAATCAGAATTGAATTTTTTTTCCTCTCTGTGCTTTTGTGTGTTAATTCTATACACTCTATATATTTTTTTTCTTTCGTCCGAAGTATGTTGTGGAGTTCAGCTCATATACTCTATACTCACACATTAATACTATCAACATAAAAACCAGTTTGATTCTTATTTCATTATTTCAGATAAATGCTTTATGGTATTATGTCTTGCGAATTGCAAATTTACTTCTTATTACAAGTCTCTTCTGAGCTCATCTCTTCTTCTGCTTGCTCTTTCTTACATTACAGTATATGCATATTATCGACAACTCGTCGCACCATACTCTTCTTATTTTTGTTCTTTTCTTTTCCTTTTCTTCATTTCTTTCTTGCAAAAAAAAAAAGTCGACGACGATTGAAGAGAAGAAAAAAATCTTCTTCTTTATTGTATGTTGTGTATGACTTGGCTATATGTATATCTCCATACATACAAGTTGTGTGTATGAATGATGGGATCTTCTCTAATGATCGGTGTTCTATTAAAGTTAAAAGTTCTCTTTTTCTTCAAATTATCCTGTCTAAATGTCTGAAGCGATTAGAGGTATTTCGCGAAATTGTCTTAATTTAGAAAAGAGGAAAACTTGAAGGCTATGAGATATATAGACACAAAATATAAAAATTATGAACAGCCAACAGAAAAAGGAGGGTTCTTGTAGTCAGCATAAAATATGATTTTTTTTGCACACACAAAAAAATTTATATATACGATATATCTTTTACCAATATGAAATGGAACTGGTATGAAAAGCTATCGAGAGTGAATGACAACAGTGCATGTTGGAGCATGAGTTGATCTGTATATGAGTGTTGCACATTCAAATGACTAATAAACTCATTTTGAAATTCTTTTGCAGACCTGTCAAAGGTTTCCAATGCGATGTATGTAAATAAACATTAATTGACTGTTTGAGACTAGTTAAAATAGGTATTTGAGAAAAAATTACATGCTAAGGTTTAAAAGTTTGGATCAAGATCACCACTCGTTTAATCAAACTCTTAAAATTAGAAATTCTAAAAATTCTACTCAAAATATTCAAAAAAAAAAACAAGCTAGTGTTATAAAATAAATGTCCAAAGGACATGTTTTCGCATGTACTATCCACATAAAACGATTATTCTATGTATCATTAACTTATTAAACAATCCAGAAAAGAATATTCGATCATTTCATTTTATCGTGAACTCAAAGTTTCAACAGGATATTGCAATGATCCCAAATCAAAAGCTCTAATACACAAAATTTGAGTTTAATATTTGTCAGCTGAGTATTGAATGAGTCAATCAAATTAATATTCAATTTTCCACCATGACGATCACATGTCTAATAAATTCATAGAAAAGAAGGATGAATGGATTTTCATGCAAAGTGAATTCAACAAATTGCATTTTTCAGGCTAAAAAAGTGCACCAGCAGAAGAAGAAGAAGAAAAATAAGCCTGGCAATGAAAAACGCAAATATAAAAATTTATTGTACAAGAAATCTCCACAGATTAAATCCACATTTTCGTATTCGTATACTCTCATAAGTAAATAAGTAAATAGAAAGTAGAACATGTGTGAATAGCGAAAAGAAATTAATGAAAAACGTCAATCAAATCTCTTTCGTTCGACACGATTTCTTAAATAATTCTTATTCATTTACATCCAACTTACAAATTTTTCTTTTTCTTCATATAAAATTTAATTCACTTTTGTTGAAAAATATATTTATTTTTTAGTAGTTGAGAGTAAGAGAGAGAGAGATATTATTTTCCATTAAAATCTCATTTTGTAACAAATTATTTCTTCTTATTTTTTATTTTTTTTTAGATATATAAGGTATTTCTTTCTTTAATAATGAAAAAAAGCAGCAAAAATTTCTTTTTAAACTAAAAAAATCTTTTCTTTACTTCAATAATCTATAGAAATGAGAAATATTATATTCATCACAGACAACAACGAAACGTGGAACGAATGAACTTTACAACGCGACAACTCAACACCGACTGCTTGTTGTTGAATTGAAACAAGCAAAAATGTTAAAACTTTTTTTTACGCTCAATTCTATTCTCTTTTTTATTATGTTCGTATACATGTACATGTTATTATTATTATTTCTTCGATGGATGAAGAACGACGACGATGAAGAAAAAAAAAATAAATGAATTGAAAAGAAACAGAAACAAGAAGAAATAAAAAGCTTAGCACTATTGCTGAAAAGCTCATTGCTCGCTTACTCACTTTACTTACTCATTTGCGATGATGATTGAAAGAATGTAAGTTGCTGCTGTCTGAGTTGGATATGCTGTTGCATGTGACCTATAGATTTGTTTAATAAATTGATGCGAACAGGCCTTTGCTGCTTAACCCTTGGTAGATTGACTTACGGATAGGTTTATGATGCTTCAAAAAACTTAAAAATGTTTTATTTTTATCTGCTTTGAAGCTTTGTATGATCATTCACGATTGAGATTGTGTACTTAAATAAATTGTTGAAAATAATCAAATAAGGAGCTTCTGAACTTACAAAAAAAAATTAACACCTCAATCAAACTGTTATCATTAGAACTGTTAGGATCTAGAAATTCAACTTCCAACTCTGTCAGCTGCTGCTCGATATGAATCGCTAAATACTTGTTAAGTCGTCGTTGTGATTATTGGATTAAAAATCATTTTGAGATGCGAGCTTCTCTCTTACTACCCAACACACACCTCTTTTGAATTATTAGTTATTACTATTTCCCTATAATTAATTAAAGAAAGAAGAAGTATCCACATAATGTGTATGAATATAGATGAGGCTTTAATTCAAAAGCATTCTACATTATTACTTAGTTCTCAATTCATATACGCACATACACATATGAATGCATGAATGGTGTACGAATCTGGAGAGCCCAGACAGTAAATATATTTTGCTGCATATGATGTTACGCTCGCTGTAATTACTTTAAACATCCACATAACATGACAAAAAGCATTGACCTTAAAAAAGTAACAACATATAAGTTGAAGAATATTTTTTCTCTTCGTCTCTCTTGCTTTACTTCTTATTACTGCTTACTCAAATTATTAAGCGATCCGGATGATGCCAAAAAAAATGGAAATTTTATCACCAAACATAAAGATGTAATGTGCTGTGAAAGCTTAAATTAAAGTTAATTAATATCAAAGTGTTTTATTTTATGCTCAAGAATATTTTGTATTTCCATTTTTCATCTTTTAAAGGTTTATTTGTTAAAGCAGTGACTCTTTTTTTGCGCAACATTTCCTGAAATAAACATGCCTTTTGTTTTTATATGTTTTGGGTGATTCCGTGGATTGGAAAATTGTTTTGAATGTGATTCTTTTGTTATTCTGATTGTGAAGATGTAAGATTTATAATAATTGAATTGTTACTTCGAGCCAAACTAGTGCGACATAGTGTAAAAGTGAATTATAACAGATATATGTTAAATTGATCAAGTACAAATCTTTATGCTGATTAGAATCTAGAAACCAGTTTTTTGATTGGTTTTATATGTTCAATCTTGAAAGGTATGAGTTTTAAGTTATTTTAAGGAGAACCTAGTCTAATATTAGCTATCAAAGCTTTTAATTGAGGTTTACCGACTAAACTACTGATTAGAATCTACTTAGCTTTTAACCTTAATCTTTTCAAATCAAATAATAAGATTTTAAGCAAAACGTTTCATTCTACTACCCAAAAATTGAAGAGGAAGTTCTGATAAGCCTTGAAAAAAATTTCTCTGCGGAAGCACCAACAGCCCGTAGATTCAGCCTATTCACATTGACATTGAAAAAAACAATTTTGTTTGTTTTTTTTTTTTATTTTTAATCATTTTTATTTACTATATTTATTTCAAACATAAATTATTATTTTTTTGAAACATTGAAACATATTCATTCACATATCACAAAAAATATGCCTGAATTTACAATTACAATTTTTTATATTAGAAAAAGTTTGATTTGATTTCCACTCTTATGTCGCTATTTTCCATTCTTTTACCTTCAAATTTTAGAAAAAAAAACAAACAAAAGTTCATTCTTTGTCAATAAAATGCAATTAAAATCCAATAATGTCTCTTCGATTTCGGAAAACAAATCCTTTTCATCGTCATGGATAAATCCATGAGCATCTCCTGTGTTTTTTTTTTTAATTTTATTAAATTCAATTAACTATAGTAATTTACTTACTTACTTCATCTTCTTTTTCTTCTGAATAAGTGGACAATTTATTTTTCTTCTTCCTGGTTAATATTATTTTATTTTTAGTTTCTTTTGTTCGTCAAACATGTATTTTAATTTTTTTCTTTAACTATATTTTTTATTACTTAAAATTTTTTTTTTCATCGACAAATAATATTATTAATAATAATAAATCAATAATTCTTTAAAAAATGTTCATTTTAAAAATACTTTATGGCAGATAAAATGTTATGAATGTGAGTGTAATTTTTCTTCCTTTAATTATGGTTCATTAAATTCATTAAATGCTTTTCATTTCTTTTTGGTTGGAAAAACAAAAATAATTTTCCAATAAATTTCCTTCAATATTTGACAACATGTTTCGTTCAATTGGCACATTATAACTTAAGGAAAACGAAATTTTCATTCTTTTTTTTTCTTTTTAAGAAGACTTTTTTAAACTTTAATACTAAATTTTTCCCATTCTCTTCTATCCGAGTGCTGTAAAATTTTCGAGGGATATAACATTAATTGAAATGATTGCAAAAGTTTTAATTAATGACAAGGGTTTCGTGTAGAATTACACGATCGCTTATCATTGATATTATTTCGACTGTTTTGTAAAAGTTTGCAGCCACAAATTTTGTATTTACTTTTGTGGAGTTTAAGCAGAGTGGAATTAAGGGTATGAAACTTCTTTAATAAAGAAACCAAAGACTGGAATCCCACTAATTTCAAAAAATATTGTCAAAATGACAAGGATTCGAGATATGATTGCGACATTGAAGCTGTGCTGTTTCTGTTAAAACTTTCGTAAACACAATAATAAGATTGAAACTCATCCATGTGGACAAAATTGAATTACTTTTGCAATCTCTTATGATTGAGGATGAGAATTATATTATTCAACCTCTGTTCCTAATTTAAGCATGTTAAATGCAAAACTTCTTGAATTTTTCATTAAATCGAATTCCCGTCCAATTTTACGACACTTGGATCTACATTTTAAGAGCAAATTATCTTCCCGTGAGACATAAAAGTTATAAAAGCAGATTATTGATTCTTAAAGACCAGTTGATGATATTTAAGTAGACTAATTCTTCTCAAATGCTGTAGATATGTAAGAAACACATCAGTGCAATAAAATTGACATTTAATGTCATTTAATTTTATATGATATAGAAAGGGGTTGGTGAATCCAAAACTTTTTCATTTTTCGAGCATTTCCGAATTTGGAAAAAGGTTGGCATGTTTCCAAAACTGTTGACAGCAACAGCAGACGCTTTTTAAATCGATACTGAGTCTCTTTTTTTCTTCGGTTGTCATTTAGATCAGCTGCCGTGTGACTTCATGAATTTTTTATTCAGTTGGAATGTGGAACCAACTATAAATGGATACATCAAGTTCATCAAAAATTGAAACTTTATAACCAAAAATCGTCCTTTTAGCTTCTATAATGAAAACTACTAGTGTGTATAAATGGAAGATGTTAAACATTCTTTTGGTTATGTGGAAGCATTAATGAACTTGTGCTCACTCAACAGTCCATCAACAAGACTACTTAACTTTATGTCTCCAGGGAATAATAACCATCATAATCGTCCTTATCATGATTCATTATAATATAAGGTGATACGGGAGGAATCACTCACTGTCATTAGTTTTATGCTAAAGAAGGTTTTTTTTTTTATTCTTAGTTTGAAGAGATTTTATTCTTTACAGTATTTAGGTTTCTTTCTTATTATTTCAGTTTAAAATATGTTCTGTGTTGTGTATTTGTGTGTATGAATTAGAATTAAAAATGCCTCGATCATCTTCATCATAAACTTTAATCCTTAATCACTAAACTTCCTAATGAATAGAATAGTAGTTTTGAAAAATTCCTTGCAACCTTACTTATTTATATATTTAAAGACGTTGATGGTTTTTTTTTTCGATAACAAAATGTTTGATCATTTTTTTAATTTATATAAGGAAAAAGACATAAATGGATTTTTTTTCTTCTCATTCATCATTAAATTGTATACGATTATCATTGTGTAAAGATTATGAAACAATAATTCAACCAAAAATAGGATGAAAACTAGTTTTTTTTACCATCTAGTTACTTTACTGCCTAAAATTAATGTCAAAAAGAGCTTTTTGAAAGATTCTCTTATATTATTTTCATTTCTTTTTTTATAAGAAGAAAAAAATGAATCGTTTTGACAGCTTTTCAATGTCAAATGTGTGTACATATTATTTATGGGAGTGGTGCAACTTACTGACGGTTTTTGCGATCTGAAAATGTGAAAATAAAGAGAAAACAGAAGGAAAAGTTGTTAATGTAATTATTGTGAACAAAAGCATAACATTAATAGCTAATAGAGTTCCATTGTGACACACATTCACACACATCAAAGAATAATCAACAGCTACTCACCGTTTTGCTTCTTTTCTTTGGAATTACGATTTTTCATTTGCTTTTCCTGCTTTGATTTATTACATTTCTTATTCATGGTTCGGGTTGGTGGGCAAGTAGCACTATCACTAGTTGCTTTAAGCTTGTCAATTCTTGTCATTTCACCATTTGGTTGACATTCACCCCAATTTCCTTTGTCGTATCGACATGCTACAATGAAAGAATAATAAAAAATTGAAATTTATTGGTTGATAATGGCTTTTTATTAGATGATTTATTAGATGACGCCTGGGTAATTTTTTTGATATTATTCAAGGACTTAATCTGACAAACTGTTGCGAATTTCTATGGAAAATAATGAAACTATTATTTTTAATAAAGTTCTTCACAATCTATAAATATTGATAATCATGCAACTAAACAGATTGAGTCACGCTAGTAGAAGGATCAATCAAATGAAATGGAAATTTCAAGGAAAAATATTGTATCATATTTCTTGTAATAGAATCATTGTTTTATCAATAATGCTTGACATTGTCTTACTTAATGTTGATGCAACATGTGTCTATTAAGCACACAATCTATTTCAGTCAATTCGTTTGAATCAATAAGCTTTTTGATTGTCTTAATCTTTAAGCGATTTGTGGGGTAGCTTACAATTGCCGTCAATCACGATGAAATAAGATTCCAGAAGTCTTAACAAATCTCTATCAAGTCCACAAGCTAAAAACGCTAGTCATCATTCTTAATCGACCCTTATTGTCTTAATCTATAAATAATCTATGCAAAATCCACACATGATTTGCATATTTTTTGTGAGATGTTTCCATAAAAGAATCATTTTAAGAATCCAACAACGCAAAATCTAAATTTTTATTGACTTCAATAAAAAAGTCATCATAATAGGATTTGATATGTCAAAAACATGCTCAAACATAGTCATAAAGTCGGATTTTAATGGGCTTACAACTGTTAATTGATGTTTCAAAAAAAAAAAGATTTTATTTGCCTGGCAAAATCATTTGATTTTGTTTGAGAAATCCATCAAATAAAAAATTGGGGCATCCTGCATCAAACTTAAAAATAAATTTCACTGAGAACTACAAGGTCAGTTCTCCCTACAGTGCTCTCGGATTTCAAAAATAAAGAAAAATTCAATAAAAATCCAATTCATTTTCAATTCAGACACGAACCAATCAGAGGATTGAAATAAATCATGCAACTGTATGTGCTCTGCATTATTCATGATTAATTACGTTCCTTCTTCTATTCATTATTTTATCATTAGTGCAAAAATTAATTTAACTTTATCATGCGAATCGCGAAAAAAATTTAAATAAACCGTTATTAAGTTCTTTCATTCACTCTCACGTCTCTCACATTCTTTTTTTTTCCCGTGTAGGTAGCACACGTGTTTATATGAATCATTGTAAAATTAATACGTATATAAATTGAGAGCGATAAAAATTTGCAATTAAGATCAAATGTTTATAACTTTGCAATAAAATGTCTTCAAGTTAATGTTACATAAGCAATTTTGATCTTAAATTTACGATGAATATACACAAGTAAATGAGACGAAGAATGTTTTTTATGCATTACTTTTATGAGATTGTCATCAAATATTTCTTTTTTTTTGTCTTCTTTTTAAAACATGACAAATTAAACGTTTTGTTTTCGTTTCTTCTTGCGCTCATTGGACATGTCTTGTTTATCTTTTATACATTTCTCATCAAGTGAGTTGCTTATTAATTTGTTTTGACAACATTTAGTGGTGCTTCCGAATTGTAACTTAATTAATCGTTTTGTAAGGGGAGATTAAAATGAAATCCAGACGCCTTATCATGTGTGATTTTAATTGACTTAGATAAAGAAGAAGTTCAAAACTATAATAAACATTAAACTGAGGCTTCCTCATGTTGATTATAAGTGGCTTTAAAAATGATCGTAAAATTTTTCATGTCGTTCTAGATTTTAATGCCATAAAAATGTCTTGCCTATCAAAATATTTCTACAATGACTCAGATCGCGACATAAATGCATGCATTTAAATTTTAAGATCAGGATCAGTGTCATGGGCAGGGGTGAAGGCTGATCAGGGGACAGTTTTTAGAAATTGATTGGAAATCATGACCAGGAATTTAAAAAAAGCTTAAAATTACTTGAAAAAGTTCAGATTTAGAAATTGAAAATAAATTCATCAACTAATCAAAAACTTCTAAATACGCCCCTGGGTACGAACAGTTTTTTTTCTGATACAATTTATTCAGCAACAGTTTGTAGATAGATAAGAGATTTATTGAACAAAATAAATTTATTTTTTATGATCTCGTTTCGTTTAATAAATAAATAAGAAAATTTCCTTTCTCATTTCATACATTTATGATTAATCTTATGCTTACCCTTTTCGCTCTTTCCCTTTTTACATTTCTTCTGAATTGTTCTGGTTTGTACACAAGAACCTTCGCCTTTCTTCAAAGTCAATGTTCTCGAGCGAGTATTAGTTTTTGGATCACATTCAGTCCAAGTGCCTTTTGTATAACGGCATGAGTCTGTGCGAATATCATGATAATGATGATATTGGGGAGGAGAGGTGGGAAAAGAATGGATGGATAGATTGAAATGGAAAAAAGGAATACGAAAAAAATATATATATAACATAAGTAAGTAAGTATCTTAGAATTAATAGTTTAGAAGTTTTGTGTATATATGTGTGTTTCTTGAGATTGCAAAGTCAATTCTTTTCTCATTTTTCGCTTACTTTCGTCTTTATGTTTCTGTTTGTCTGTGCTTGCATGCTTCTTGTTGCTATTGCTATTCATTTTATTCTCATGTTTTTCATGTTTTTGTTGATGTTTTCTGACAGTTTCTTGTGTCGTACTTGGTATATTTTCAGATTTAGAGTTTGTGTCAGAGGTTTTGTTTAAGTGTTGTTGTTTATGTGCATTCTTTGTGTTGTTTGGATTTTTATTATCTTTTTTATTTTGCTTCTTACCAGTTGTTGATCCTGAACCATTCTCTTTTGCACCTCTCTCATTTCGAATTAATACCTCACCTTCACTCTCCTGCCATACTTCCCGCTTATATGGAGTTTTTTCTTCAGGTTTTGATGATAGTGCCATCATTACGGGCTCTTCAAGTTCCGTATTTTCTGTTGTAGTTCCATTCGTGTTGTACGGGCATATTGTTATGGCTAACAAAATGCCAACCGCGACTAACGATATTGAATGCATTTTTTTCTTCTGTGAATATTTAAAAGATATTTATTTTATTATCTATTTTGGATATAGAAATCAACGAGATAGATTGGGGAAAAAAATGAAAAGATAAATAACAGAGCTAAGCGCATGTGTAATTTGAATTTTTTTTCCTTTTTCTTTTGTTTAAATTGGAGAGAAGTGAAAAATTTCTTTACAATGAGTTTTTTCCGTTTTTCATTTCTCAACTAGAATGGAAATATATGAAAAATACAGAACTTATTGATTCCTCCCCACGCTTAATAAAAACTTATGACTTATGCTATTAGAGGAAATAACACGACACTATAAGCAAAAATTATTGATAATGAATGTCACAATTGCGTATTACCATTCATTTTAAATGGAAAGACAGATAAGGCGATGGAAGTGAAAAATTGCTCGTTGCAAACACGAAAAATACGAAAAAAAAAAATACACAAAGACTTATTCATTAAATTATTTAATATGCATAAAAATAATAAAATATGATAGTTCTTTTAACATAGATTAATGTCAATGAACTCAAATAAATCTGTTTATGATTGTGATTTTTATGCTCAATCTGAGAACATCTTCAGAATTTCACAGATTGTACTCTACGTATATATATATCTAGTATCTATCAGACACACATATATCTTTTTTTCACATCCATAAAATAACATATTTTTTCATATAAATCAATCCTCACCAATAATTCTAATGACTATTATTTCAATGTAATGTATTAGAACAAGTGAATCTTTCAAAAACTTTACTAACTTTATTTAGAATTAACAAATTTGTTCCTTCCTTTTCTACAATCTTTCACTGACCAAATACGACTGGAGGCTGATGAGAGAGAAAATCAATAAAAATTTGATCGCTGAATTCGAAAATGGAGTTTCAGCTTGAATGGTATGCATTCTAGTATTTTTATGCTTCTGTATACAATGTTCTTAAACATTACACCTACACTCTCTAAGATTATTCAATTCTTTTCATGTTTTCACATAAAATTTTATATTTATGGATAATTTTAGCATTAAATTACCTTCCTGTGCTAGATTTTATTCGGTTCTAGATGTTTTACTCTATTAACTTAATTCTTTCTTTTAAAATATCAAATTTTCTTGCAAAATATCTTTAGATGAATATACCTCCTATCAAGTGACGATACGAACTGCTCTCTTACATTCCGAAAAACAAACTTGGTCAATTCAACGTACCAGATTTCGTATGTCTTGATTTATATTTTTAAAATACATAATCGTTGCACATAATTACGTGCTGATCTTAACGAATAAACTTTAAAAACTTTAAGTCATCCAAATAATTTTTCAGCAGCACATGTCACATGCTAATTGAATATTTTCACTTCCGTTAGATTGTTCCCTATAAGTCAATTAAAATTCAAAATATATACTCAAATACTGCAGGAACTAAAGAGAGTGTGGTGTAGAATACAAATTAAAAAGCTCAGCACGCAGTAAGTTGACTTAAAACAGAGAGAATGAGAGAATCTAATGCTAAACGTTAGCTCATTTTTATTATAAACGAAACAAGTCGGAGTTAATTTTTAAGGTGGGAAATTTAATTAATTTTTTAATCCTTAAATCATTATAATATCATGGATCATGTATTGTCACAATTTAGATAGGATGTTTGTTCATTGATTGACAATAATTTTAACTTAAAAATTATTCAAAAAGTGACAGATTTGTCAGTTAAAAGTTTAGGCCACACCTTAATTAAAAATACAGCTTAATAAACAAATATTTTCAATCAAAATTTCAAATTATTCAGGGATCCTTTGGTGATGTAAAGAAGCTGCAAGGATTTTTTGTAGCTGTGAATATTTAATATGTCAACAATCGAGGAACGTTCTGAATATTTACAGAATCCGTTTTTAACTAAGCCAATCTACGGTGATTTTACATCGTTTTATATTACAATCGGAATTTGCACAGTATTTGGCATCTTTCTGTTCGCCATAAATCTCATCTGTGGCTGCTGCTCACAGCACAAATCATATTGGAACGACAGATTTACAGGTAAGCAAGTGTCTAGGAATTCAAAATATTTGTACAAGTGAAACCTGTTAAAAACGTATAATATTGACAGGTATATGGACTGAGAGGAATTGGCGGAAAATTATTATGCCAATTATCCCGTTGAAATATTTACTGTACCCTGTCTAGACACAAAAGAGATTTAGAAATTTAAAATTAACGATGCATAACAATTATTAATTCTTTTATTGTAGGAAATCGTTGGATAGTAGCACTGTGGACTGCGACAGCACATAAACAACCCCCAATTGACTTGTCAGAACTTCAGGATATTCAGATTGATTACCCAAACACATATCCAGTAAGTGTTGTGGTCAATATACGTTGATTAATGTCAACCCTTATTTTTGTGTAACATTAAATGCATTAATGCTAATAGGGTTGCTATAGAATCCATACTTATGCCATAGAAATTTTGTGTTTGCATAGTAACCTACTTAATGATTCTTAATGTGTTGTCTCGATTTAAAAAACTTCAGTCTGAATTAGTTGGAAGACATTAAGTTATTTAAATCTAGAACTTAAAAATTAACTCATTAATGACATTTACAGGGAGAAGTTGAAGTAGAAACACCAAGAAGCACACCAAAAGCAAGAAGAGCATTTGGTCATCAACAAGAACAACAAGTATATCAATACTCAGCAGTTCATAGGCCAGCTAGAGGAACTCATCAAGAAGAGTTTGTTGAATTGCACAAACGCGAAAGTGAAATTTAAAGAAAAAGCCATCCAAAATGTCAGTATTTCTGCTATACCCATTCGTTGCCTTCTTGGCAATGTTTGTGGTACTTGTCATCATGTTGATTCTCAAATATGGCCCAGAGTATTTGAATTTGAGGAACTATACGTTGTCTCATAGAAATCGTCAAGCAGGAGCGTATTCGCAACCTGTGCAGATTGCTTAGCTTAAGTATTGAGTACATTCCAATAGATTATATATTTTATAGAATCTCTGACAATCTCAACAATGTAGTTTGTGTCTTAATTTTTTTTTATATACAATAACAATTTTTGTAAGGATTTATACAATACATTATTTTGTACAACCGAATTCCGTCCTAAAAGAAATGCACTAATAATAAAGCTATGAATAATTTTCATCATTTTTAAAACATTTATTGTTTTCATCACTTTTTTGCGATTTTACAGAATCCTCTACAATCTTCAATTGATAATTTTTTTTCAACTTGTTTTCTTTACATTCTTGAATGAAAATTGTATAGAATTGTTTTCTTGTTTTTTTCTCCTTACTTCTTATTGTATGTATTTTAATATATTCTTCCAAAAATATTATTTTACTTATTAATTTATTCTTTAATTTTTTTCATCTTGCATTTTTTCCTTTTATATTTTTTTTTGTTGAGAAGTGTAGTGTGTGTAATATGAACATAAAATACTACAATCGGTTTTGAAATTAAAAAATGAAAGATTGTCAACGGTAATGATGGTGAATAGTTTTATATTTTAAGTTCGGAGTTGTTTTGAAATTTTGTCTTTGTTTACATTATTTCTGTGTTACATCTGTTGTTGTGTGACATGATCGGCATGTCATGTTTATCTCACCCAAAAAAATATGTTCTAAACTAATAGTGATTAGGTAGATTTGAAAACATTGATTAGTCCAATTTTGTCTTACAACTGTTTCGCAACCGTTGCGATACATTAATACTAAAACTACAACACGATAAAAACGCGTTGCACTGTCAATCAAGAAAAGTTTGAAGTCGCTTCTACACACAAACGTTATGTGATAAGATTGCGAAAATTCAGTTAACTGTCATGTCCTCTTTAAATTGATTCAATTTAATTAAAAAATTATCTAGATGAAAGTTAACATGTGTCATTCCAACAATACCTCTTCTCTTATCATTATTATGATGTTCGAAATGTTAAATGTATATATACAGAAATAATAAACAAAGACAACTTCAAGAACAGCTCCATTTTAAGTACAATTCATTCCGAAAAATTAATACCAAATTGTTTTGTTTCACAAAATAAATTTTTTCATCTTAACATAAGAAAACAAAATTAACGAAATCTCGTAATTCTGTACGTCTACTAATTTGTGCATTATGAACTTATGTCGAAAAATAATATAGTAATAATAATAATAATAATATTATTAAAAATGTATAACTAAAGTCTTCAGAAATTTCTTTCAATTCACAATATTCATCTTGTTTGAAACCAATATCTTATCTTTTTCGTTGAAAATAATTTAATATTTCTTTTCTTTAATGATTTAATTTAAATTTTGTATTGTGTCTTTTCATCTCTCAAAATGAACTTAGTCTTTAAAAAATGAAAATAATCAAAACCTGCCGATAGAATTTAATTTAATATAATAATGTATGTATACGCCAAATCTTACATAAATTTCAATTTAATATAGTAATAGAGCAAAAAAAATCACTTCAGAAATCATCATTAACTATTAAAAACTTAATCTAATTAGATGCCTCATTTTCTATCATTTTCATCCTTTTCATCTGTTTTTTTTTATATATAAAGTTTTTTTTTTATTAAAGAATTTATCATCTAGTCCTGAACTTTGAATAAGCTCAAAACTACATGCATGTGTGTAAGTTTTTTCATTTTTCATTTGTAACTTTTAATAGTATCAATGCACTACCTGAAATTGAAAGTCAATGTAAGCTCATGTTAATAATTTGGGGTTTTAAGTGAGCAGAACATGATTTAAGCTCAAAACTTGAGTCAAGAAGTTAACTTTGAATATTTTAAAACGCAAATACTTCACTATGTTCAATTAAGACTTTAGATTCACAACTTTTAGTCATCAGAAATCATGTTCTGCCAAGATTGCCACGAAATTTCTCACCTTGAGTTTAATGAATGAGACAGAGATCTGCTGAGAAATAAAAAATAGTTTTTTTTCCTTAAAAGAACTTATGTTCTAGAAGTAGTTTCATCATGGACAATCCCTTATTTTGTATAAGTTATTCTCTTTTATATCCTACACGTTAAAAGATGTCAGCTCATTAAATGCTTGATCCAAACAATGCTTCAATTCGGCATAAGTAACGACTAAAACTGATTGCTCATCTCTACTCATTAATTGTACCTAAAATGTAGAAAAGAATTCATGAATAAATAAAAGAAAAAAATTCTACGGAACAATAAATTTAAATTTACTTTTTCCATAGTACCAGCATCTAACTTATTAAGTGTGGAAACGATATGTGACATATCAAGCCATGGATTACCATCTTCCGTGACTGTGTGGAACCTTATTTCATAAATAATAAAATTGGATAATAAGTAAATTCAAGTTACAGTTATAAAGAAAATTTCACTCAGGAAATAGTTCAACCTTGTCAAGCAGTATTCATCATCAAGTAAGCTACTTACAAATAGTCACGAAATAGTTTGAGCATATATCGATTGCCTAAAGGATGAAACGAGTTAAAATTAGTACTTTTGTATATTTACTTTTATTCATCAAGCAACAAACCTGTTTCAGACCATGTTACATCCATGTGTAAGCTGTAAATTAATGGAAGAAAAAGGTCGAGAATTGAATAAATGGGTCATTGTAGGTGTAATGATGAGAATGTAATTATTTGATCAATACTTTGATTTTCTGAGATAATATGGGAAATGTTTTTATAAAATTATTTTTTGTTCCTTTGGATTCTGATCTGACATGTTAAATTTCGGTAAAGATAGGGGCCTTATTACGTTCACTTATTACGTTCGCACTTTAGGGGGGAGGGGGGGGGGGGGGTTTGAAAAATTGTAACAAAATGTAACATAGGGGGGGGGGGGGTCAAGAAGTATGAAAGAAGTCACGAAAAAAATTTGTTTACAAATTCACACCAAAAACATTTATGAATGTCCAGATCACTTTTGATAGCTAAGCAATACATAGTTTTTGTTATATAAAGTAACAAATCAATAGAAAACTGGTTTACAAGACTTTAAACTACAATCATAATTTGTGGAAAGTTTCAAAATTAAATCAATCATAAGTTTAAGAGTAAATCTCTCTTAATCTGTCATTCATATGATGATTAATATGATCCCATCATTGTGATATTTACATTCAAAGTTGATTGAATTTTCCAAAATTCGATCGGGCATAATATTTTTTCATGACATTTTTGAATTTTCTTCAAAAAAAAAAAATTTTTGCTTTATATCACAATCCAATAATTCATGAGAATACTAATAGTATCAATCAAAACATGACCTATTTGTTGGTAAATCAATCATTGTAGTTGCTGTACAGTATTTTGATGTTTAAGAAAAAAATACAAAAGAAATTTAACCGTCTTTTTAGAATAAAAAATTATCAAAATAAAATAAATTATGAACGTTCAAGGGGGGGTTGTGAGTTGTAACATATTGTAACAAGGGGGGACGGGGGGTGAAAAAAGTCATTTTTTTGCGTAACGTAATTAGTGAACGGCCCCATAGCAGATTGGTGTCAAGAAGTCTAAGAATTTTTTAATGCGTGAAGCAATTTGGCAATTTTCTAGATTTTTTTCAAATGCATTAAAGTAAAATTCAAACTCACTCTCTTTCGTTAATTGTTCCTAACTTAACCAGCAACCTATACAATCGTCCATTCTCCATCTCTTTCAGCAGTTCATTCTCCTGCATGTCACAGTGATTTTCCAGAAGCTCAAGATGCGTGTAGAATCGTGCGCCGATTTTAGGCATCACCTCTACAATTGATTTCACTTTATTAGGAGATAATAAGTATGTTATTAAATTTTTTAAATCGGATGAATAATGTCTTGAGATGAGATCTATGCTGTGTTGTATTTGATTGCTATGAACCGATTGCAAGCATCTGCAACACAAAGCGATAATCAGCTTTCCAAGTGCCGTTAAGTCATCCTGAAGGACAGCATAGATTAAAATTAATGAATGTCAATTAATCAGCAAAATACAATCTTACTTGTTGATAATGATTAACTAGTTGAAATGGGTTCTGTTGATTTGAATCGAAAGTTATTATATCCGTTATTCCTACAAAACTAAATCGAAGTCGTTTGTCGTCTGTTATAATTTTTGTTGGATCTAATGTTCTGTAGATAATCATGAAAAAAATCCGTGAGATTTCTTTCAACTGTAAAATCTGTGTGAAAGCAAAATAAATTACCTGCATGCTAGATTGGCTTGATGAATTGCTCTTAATCCACAAGTAAGTTGAATAATAATGTTCCAAATTTCACTTTCCTGAAGTATCGGTCCATTTGCTAGAGATATACAATAATTAGCTATTTTGGAGCTGGATGTCTTTTGCTTTAAAACCAGCACTTACCAGTTCGTTGCAACGTATTCTTATGACTAAATGGTCTTGCATCACCTGAAAATGCCGATCCAACTGACGGTGTGTAGCCATTACTCGTTGGCGTAAAGTATTTCGATAATAGCGTCTGCGATCCGGCATGATAGTCATAAACTAAGATTAGTGAATTATCGCCAAAGGCTTTTGTTGTGAATACTTCACGAAGAGCAACGCAATTTGGATGCGAGAATTTTTTCCATATATCTATAACTTGCATCATTAATTTCACAGACTGAATCCTGAAGCCTACAAGTATTAAATTAGATTTATGAGAACATTATTCAATGAAAAACAATCTTTAAATTGATGTCTTCACATACTATGTAATCTCCTTAAACAATATTTAATTCCTGTTGAACTATGTATTGCCTTATATGTAGAAGAAGGTACTGGTAAATTTGAAGAAGCCTCCAATAAAGATAATGAATGATAATTATCAACTTCTATTGGTAAGTTGGAAGAGTCCTCTACGCTATTTGCAATTTCATTTTTTAATAGTAAACTGTTGCGTAAATCTTCTGACATAAAGTATGTTGTTGATAGGAAGGACTTTGTTGTTTGTTGTACATGTGAATTAGTTGTTGTGGAAGAAATTGGCGATGGAGTGTACATATAACCGTCAGTCATTGATGTCATTGAATATGGAAGTGGCAATGTCTCTTCATTTTGATATGAAGTTGGTTGCTCTTGTGGATAAAAATACGTTGTGCCTCCGACATTTTCCTAAACGGATGAGCAAGCAGAAAAAGAATATGAAAGAAAAATTACTTTTTTTTGCAAGCTTAAATTTCCTTCAAGCGAAGGTGTGTGTGTTTATGTGCGTGGGAGTTGACATAAACTGCTATGTAAGTAGGGCTAATAAGTTACATATTTCAAAAATGAGAATGTAGGCCGATGACGGTGTGTACTCAGCTGTCTAATTTATAAATCTCTAAGGATTTAGATAATACAAATTCTGATTTTATTTATAGGCATGTATAAGCCATGGACTAATTGACAATTTAAGAGACTCTCATTGCTTGGGATTATTTACTAGATTCTCATTACTGTAAATGAGTAGAAGATGTGATGTGGCAGATTTGTAACTATTTCTTTTTGACTAACGTCTATAAAGCCACGTTAAAAAGTGTAAAAAAATCAGAAAATGGAACAAAAGTTGATAGACAGCCAAACTTTTTGCTCAGAATTAAAAACAAATGTTTACACACTTGGTTGAAATTTATGGCACTAAATGCAATATTGACTCTTTACTAAGTAACGTGCACAAATTTACACAGAGATTATCAACAAAGCTCATATAAACAATATTTGATAATAAGCAAGTATTGTTAGCCACTGGCTATGGACTTTGATAGGCATTTATTACTTTTTTGACACAATCAGCTGATTTAAGCTAAAGTTATCGTAGTCGATGCACACATTTATGGTTTTTAATACACGTTTCGTTAAGGGTTTACAGATAGCTACATAATATAGGTCAATACCCTCAGATTATTAGTCCATGACCCAATATCATTAAAAATTAATGTAACTGTATAGAAATCAGATGTTTTTTTGCCACACACACACACACACACACACACAATCATTTTTAGTTGTTCTTGGATTAAATCTGACCAAAAATCTGTATAATGCTCACCTGATGGATATTAGTAGCTGAATAAATTGTCGGTGGCGATCCGTCTTGAGGTGCAATTTTCTGTGGGGAATCACGCAAGTAATTTCGATCTAGAATATAGAATTTAAGAAGGAAGAAGAAGACAAGATGTTATTGTAAAAAATTACACAATCACGGTTTGCGATATTATTAAAATTAATTAATGAATTAATATTAATTACGATTTGAGTTGTTTTTAATAGGGGTTATTGAGTAGGAAGTTGATGCGTAGTTCTTAGTCGGGGTAGCATTTTGTCCATTAACAATTGATGTGTTATTGTAAGTAGTATTGTAGAAACTAGGTGACGATGTTGAGTTAAGCCGAGAAGGAGGAATAAATTCAGACACCTAGAATTGATTTTTTTTTTGTCCCACATAAGTCACAAATCTTGTTCACTTCAATTATTTTGTATACAAACCTGTGCTTTCTTATTGAAAGAAATTGGCGATTCAATACTGCTTTGCTGTAAACTACTATAAGTGTTTGTCGCTAGATTAGGATTTCCCTAGAATGAAATAAAAAGGTAGAAAAAATTTCCATTTAAAATTAAAAAAAAAAGTTCAAGAAACTTTTTTTTGGCCTCTCATTTAATTTACGCACAGAAAAAGAAAATTTTCATTTTTGGTTAAAAGACGCAGGAAATGTTCAGGAAAGAGAAAAAGATTTTTTTTTGTGTATATGCTAACAAAAGAATATATAACTGTGAATTTTCACTCGCACTTACCATATACCCGATATCATTAGAAATTCCATTCGCATAAAACTCCATCCTTTTATAATTTTATAATTTTTCCTTGCTGATTATATCATTGCTATAAGTACCAATTAACAGTTTTTGAGTCCAATATTGCCAATAAAAATATTAAAAAATTGAAAATAATTTTATATTTTGTTTGCATGAACTTCAATTTTTCTTAACAAGGTCAAAAACAATTTTAATTTAATCTTTTCACCTTTTTACTTATAAAAAGTTTCTTCTTCTTCAACTTCTTAATCCGATTACTTGCAAGATACTTTAATATATGCGCCTCAATTTGTTTAATTTTACGTTTAAAACCTTAATTTCTAAAAAATAAAGGATGAAAAAGAAATAATATATATACAACTGTTTTCATATATCTGTATTAGTCAGCCCTTGAAGCAATGCGTACTAGCAGTATTAAGCTTTAGTGGTTTGGATAAATCTTGTTGAATTTTATTTTAATCTGATGATTTTTAAAAAAAATGTTTGTTTGAATATTGAAATTCACACTTACATTTTTAATTGATTTGTTGCTAAGACGTAGTTTATGATTGATTATGATTTTTTTGACTCTAGGTTTTTAATTGTCTAATACAATTTTAGTCAATTTTAAAAAGTTTTCTTAACTCTCAGATCATATAAGCGTTGTCTTCGTAGAAGCATGACACTTTGTGGTAATGGCAATTTATACAGTAAAACAAATCTGTTTATCAAGAACGACATAAATGAATAATAATTTGCAATCCTAGTTGATTTGGAAGTCTTGAAATCATGAGTTTACCGCTGTGTCAGTATTGCAGTTTTGAGTTAACATATTGGGGGTCCTCGATTTGAGTAGATTCGATTTGAACAGAAAATTTTTTACCCACCAAAATATTCGATTTGAGTAGATTTCTTCCTGTTTTTTTTCGATTTGAATTATTAAACAAATATTTTTGATAAAAACATTTCAGCAAATATTTTTAAAACATAAATATTACTGCAATAAGCGTGATCTTATCATATTGATAGAAAAATCAAATCAATATTAAAGTTACAAAATTCAAGTAAAAACTTGAACTTACAAAATCGATATAAAATTTACGATTTTAAAAAGTTCAAATTCAAAAACCTTATAAATTGTTCGGTGAAATAACATTTGCAAGGTTCTCATATTTTTGTTTTGTTTCAAAAACATATTTTTTTGTGAATTTCTATTAAAAAACAATATGAACATGCGTTGAAATAAATTAAGTTATCTAAAACTGTTGAATTATTATGTCACATTGATATTGATCGTAGAAATCTGAATATTATTATTGAAAAGTTATTATTGAGAAAAAGGATTATTTCAAGTTAAATTACATTTTTGTTATTTGAGAGGATTAAAAATAAAGTATACTATTTTTACATTATCTAAGAGGTTATGGGCCTTAACGCAATCAAATTATCGTGTTTGGGCGTTTCGAATGAAGATGATTTTGATCAGGGAAGATCTTTGGGATGTCATCGAACCAGTAGCTCAAAACCAGAGGTATTGATGATTGATAATGATCAACTGGTCCATGTTTCGGAAGCAAAAGATGGCAAAGAAGTATGGGATTCATTGAAGAGTTTTCACCATAATGATTCAGTTGGACATAAGGTGAGGCTTTACAAGCAATTATTCAAGACTGAATTATCAATTGGCGGTGACATGCAGAAACATATGCAAAAATTGTTTGAGATTTTTCAAAAAATCAAGGATTGTGGTGATGAGCTTGAAGACACAATAGTTGTGCATGCAATTCTGTCAAGTCTACATGCTGAATATGATAATTTAGTGACTGGATTAGAATCATGGAAAGAGAAGGAGCTAACTGTGCATAATGCTAAGCTTAAACTTATGATGAATGGGAAAGGCGAAGTGAATATGCAATCAAAAGATCTGATTTTTATTGTGTCAATAGTACTGAAATTGATATGAAAAAATACATCATGTGCTTTAAATGCAAGCAAGAAGGACATATCAAGCGAAATTGTCCAATGTTGAATATTGAAGAAAAGGAAGAAGGCAAGAATGAAACTGTCAAAATGGCAAAATTTAGAGAAGGGCACAGAAGTTCTTATGATCCGAGAGACTCTCAGTGGTGTATCGACTCAGGGGCTTCGTCTCACATGACATACAGTAAGTCGTTTTTCATTACTTTTGATGAAAGTGTTAAGGGAACAGTTACTGTTGCTAATGGTGATAATAATAATAATAGTAATCCTTTATTTGAATGCATGAAATATGTCGGAACAAAAATGTAGATTTTTTGATATTAACCTCGTCGGTTTTAAATCAAATTTTAAACTGAGATATGATTAGTGATATGACATGATTTAAGCTTTGAAAATTTGAGTTTCGGTCAAAAAAATTTTTTAAAAAGACCAATTAAAACAAAAAAAAAATAGGGAGAGGAAATGTCCGTTTGAACGTATTTGTACGAAACGAAAGTTTTAGTGTAGATTTGACTGACGTACTTCTGGTGCCATGCATTGACAGTAATTTGATTTCTGTCTCCAAAGCTCTGTAATAAGGGCTATAAAAGTGTTTTTGATTCAGCTGGTTGTTACCTTAAAGTAGAAGGTGTGGAACAATTATGTGATGAATAGTATGAAATGCAATTGCAGATTGCTGATGAATACGTATGTTGTAAGAGCTGAAGTCGAAAGATCATGTTTGGTTAATGACAGAGTGGATATATGCTGTGTACATGAATAGCATCGAAAACTAGTTCATAGAAATTTGCATGATATACTCGCGATGAGGGATAAAGGTTTGAAGATTGCCGATTGTGATTGCTCAAATGTGTGTGAATCGTGAAACACACGATTTTTAAAAACTGGAAAAAGTAATAAGCAGTTTACTTAAAAGCAGAATAAAAACACCTTAAAAACATTTTATCTTAAAAATAATTTTGAAAATGTATTGTTTTACAATTTTTAACTAATTTTTGATTTATATATAAACCTTATGAACATTAAAAATGAATTAATAAGTAAATCATTTGTGCCAACAAGTGACATATTCAAGTATGTTGAGATTGAGAGATGTACAAATTAATTTTAAATTTTACAAAAAGAATTGTTCTATAAATTAAAATAGAGAGAGATCATACAAATTGATATTGATTGACCAATTACTAAGGTCCTTAAAAAAATAATATTTAAATTTAAATTAATTGATGCATATTTTATATATCTCGGATAGGATTGAATTTTACATCATTTTTTATTTCTTTATTGGTAGGCCTTGCGGAAAGAAATGTATCGTCAAATCGAGTCGACGGTACGAAAAACTTATGAAAAAACTTGAAGAATCGCTAAATTTTCACTTTTCATTATCATATTTTGTTTTTATAGAATACATCATTAAGTAGTAATTTGACTTCAAAAAATTAATTTTACAACCTAATTTACTTTGTTTTCGAACCATTTATAACGCTATTTACAACTATTTAATAATTTTTTTTGTCTCATTTTTTTCACTTATTTTCATCAAAATTCAACGATAATAATTTTTCATTTTGAAGTACTACAATGTGATCCTGTTTTTTCATCATTTAAAATTTCAAAAATGGTATTATGATGCTCTAAATTTACTAATAGATTGTTTTTTTATTGGAAACTTAAACTGACTCTCTCGACTTTGTTTTTATATCATTAAAACTTTCTCAAAAGCTTGTCTCGTAATAAATATGATTTTCTATATAAATTGCAATGTGCTTTAAAAGTTAATATTATTAAAAGCATCCCAATTAGAGTTAAAAGATTGAAAAAAAAATCTCAAATTTTCTTTAAAGATATTTAAATTGCTTCATAATTAATTAATTAATTTGAAAGAGTCAGCTTAACTTTATCAATACGTTGTATCATCAATAACCGAGGCAGTATTTTGTATCTATTGTAGAAGACTTATGCCTGAACATTACTAACATCATTCATGTTTTTATGTGATTAGGTGAACGAGTTGATTTAAACATTTATATTTAGTAGAGACTACGCAAGCAAATTTTTTTTTACTTTCTTAATACTTTTGATTGCTCATGTTGCATGTTTTCTAATTATTAAAGTTTTAGTATATATTTCTTATAAGTTCTCACTCATTTAAGAGATTTTTTTTGTCATGACTTTTTAAAATAGTTTCGACGGTAATTTTATTTTTCACTTTAAATTCCCTTTTTTGAAATTTTTTCTTAGAGTTTTTGAGCATAAAAATAAATGTCTAAAAATTATTTGATCGACCTCACTGGAGCAGATATTAATGAACTTATTTTAAACTCCTTATTTGATTGGCCTTAATAACTGGATCGATCATAAATGACGTCTAACGTGTGAGGAATGGGGGTGTGAGGCTGAGTGACACTTCATACATATAATTATTATTTTTGTATGAAACAGAAAGGAGGGGAATTGACGTCATTTATGATAGATCCTGATAACTATCTCGTTGAAATCACCTGAATTGCATAATATTCAAGAAATTTTGTTAATTTACACTTTTCGGCAGTTCTAGCTGTTTAAAATCTCCAAACATTATTGCAAGCTCGTTTGACTTTTATTATTAAGCTATCCGCAAGCTTTCTAACTAGATTGGTTATTCTAATGCTCACTATAATATAGGCCTGCAAGTGCTTTGACTATAATTCCTTCATTAGATACGTCTCCATTTTGATTATTTTTTAATTGAGATTTGAAGAACTATTAGGAATGTTTACTGACGACACTGGCTCAATAATTAAAAATTAACTCATTTTTTATCATAAAACGATAAAATCTGAAAGTTTTTGGGCAGTTCCCAATGAGATGTTTTGAATTTAGAGCTTTTATCACAAAGAAACATCCCTAAAAAGCTTCATAATCTAATCCTGAATGAGAATGACAGTAATCCACTCGAATGAGATCGTCAAAATTATGTTATTGTTGCTGCTGTTGCTGTATATTCATAATATGCATGAAGAGTGATGCTTTTTGTGATTTTTTTTGCTTTGTGTTATTTGCATTTTTTAAATCAATTTTTATAGTGTAGAATAGTGGAATTAATCATCTGGATCTAATCCTAATATTTCAGCTTGTAATCTACCCTGTGTTCTACAGCAAATTGTTAGGAAAAATATACGAAGTGCCAATCGGAATTGCGGCGACATTAAGGACATAATTATTATCTTCCAGAATGAATTAAATACTCCTATCCAAACAGCTCCGAATAGGATTATAGAATCATCGATATTAACACCTGTAATTTCCTGATAGATTCGTATTCTAAAATGGAAAAGTAGACATTGACCCAATTAAATACAGCCTTGAACATTTCTTAATCCAGCTTACCCAACGTATGGACTCCAACTTAATGCAAAAAGAAATACTAAAATGAAAGACATCACATGACTTGGATTAGCTAGATTTTCTGCGAGTGCTGTTGCATACCTAAAATAAATAAATAAGCATAAATTACTAAGCCATAAGAGAATAGAATAAATAATTCGAGGACATTCTCATGACTCGCATGATCCCAAAAATAAACAACACGCGTTAAAATGACCTAATCTAATTTTTCACCACTTACTCTTTATCATGAATCGGCACTCCACTCTTAATTTTACGCATCATTGAAAAAATATATCCATAATTATATACGATCGATATTATACTCGGACCAAGCACAAGAATCGCTGCAATTGCAGTTGAAAGAAGAAGAAAAGTTTCATCATAAAAAATGCAATAAATTCTCACAGACGTATAGACTACCTAAAGTGACAGAATATGCTGCCATATCATGCCAATTCGGTGTACAAATGTATGCATTTTTATCGAAATTAGGATGTGCCTCAGTCCAAAGACTCGGACAACAAAGCATTGCTGCTGATATCCATGTGAAACACATCCAACATTGACATCTCGTTTTCGTCTGAACGGTGTCATATCTTAAAGGCTTACGTACAGCTGTAAATGAAAAAAAAATAGGAAATGTTATTAAAATATTTAAGAAGTCATTCTATCCATCTCTGTTACTCATAATAGAGAAAAACATGCTTTACTGACCTAAGTATCTGTCGACAGAAATCCACATGAAGGTAAACATCTGTGGGAATTATATATGTAATTTATGTGGCCTATTAATGTCATTTCGAATATAAATATGAAATGTGAAGAACTTACGGATATTGAAAAGAGTGTGATTTCTACATATCCTGTGATTCGACATGCTAAATGTCCGTACACCCATGTGTCTTGCTCTTTAAAACCTGGTTCAGCTATGTTGAAAGGGGTTGAAGAAAATAGATGGATTTATGTGATTAATAATTCACGTTATGGATTGGTGTTGTGCTGCTGAAACTTGTGTTGACTGTTGAATGCTTGGATGTGCTTTTGGGACTCAAAGGGAATTTTCTAGGGAGAACATGATGAATATTTCTTGCGGTATCTTTAGGTTGCTTAAAGCAAGTTTTTCGTCCTTGAGCCAATCATCAACCCAGAAATAGATCATTAACAGCCAATGCCAATGATTTTATGAAGCTTCATTCTTTTTATACTCAAAGACAAGTTTCATGTTTGAGCAGCACTAGCTTTAGCATGATTAAGTTTGAATGATAAAGAATCAAGTAGATATCCAATTAAGCTGTAATACCTGATTGAATAGCTGGATAGATGGAAAGAGGAACAATCACAAGACCACAAATCAAGTCCGCAAATGCTAGCGATAGAAGATAAATGTTAATAACCTCTTGAGGTCCTGTGAGCATAAATATAATGAAGGATATTAATTTATGATATAATTATGATCAGTATGTGGATATTGATTACTCACCCCTAAAGTTGATAAATGTAGCAATCACGATTAGATTCGATAATATGATAATGACACCCAAGATGAAAATCAAAGAAGCCTGAGTGAGTGCCTCTAAGTTTTCATTAAATAAGTGTTGCATGTTATCCAAAGAGGGCTTTATAATATGTTTCTTGTTTTCCTATTTCATTTTTATTTGAAAACTAAAAGCAGCATGAAGAAAAAAGAAATGTTTATGAGAGTCGGGGGAGAAGGAAGGGAAGAAAAAAAAATCGAATTAAATTTACATCGAAATGATATTTGAAAAAAAAATATGTCTCTATGTAGGTATGTATATAAAAAAAACAGACAACACGCTTTATATTTTTTATGTGGCAAGTGTCCAAAATCATTGCAAAATCATGTAAATTTTTGTCATTCAAATATTCGATCATGCAAATTATTATAAAAATTCGAAGAGATTTAAAAGTAATTAAAATAAATCAAGTTCATTGGAAATGATTCTCGCAAGGCGACTTCTGCATTTATTATTTCATTTTGGGACAAAAATGAGAAATTTTTTTTTTATGAATCTAAGAGGAATGATGGCTCATACCGATTTTTAAATCTGAATGTACATAAACTGAACTTTCGAGCCTTGAAAAATTGTTCCTAGAGAAAAATCGATAAAGCTACGTACATATTATATTCTTTTTTCTTTCCTTTTTACAAATTAAAAACAAAGTCATATCATTCCTTCGTCATTGAAGTTGAAATCATACACAACATGAAATTTATGTATTGACTTAGAAGTTGACAGTGCCTGTCAGAAAATAAAAGAAACTGTGCACATATATTTATTGACATTTATTTTATTCATGATGGGAGGTGTAAACATTAATCCTTGCTTAACATTAAACCTTGATTTTATGTCCATTCTCAAACACAAATTTTCACACTGATATATTCCAGAAATTCATCAAATCATTCAGTTCTTGTTTATGCAAATTGCAAAGAAATCTTTTGTATATTTACATTTTTATCACTCATTTATTCCACTCAATTTTCATTTCTTTTTTTTTCTTAATCACAACAAAAAATGAAAGAAGAAAAATTGAATTTTTTTCCTTCTCTTTTTCCATCTTCACCTTGTTTTAAATTATTTATGGCAATCCACAACATTTGCGAGAGATACTTTAATGATTACGAGCAGGAAAAGGAAGACTTTATAACTTTTTACAACAATCACTGATCATCAAAAACGCTTGTAACTCATTTAACAAAAATTAATTCGTTTTTAACAAAAGCTGTTGATGAAAACTATATTTTCTTTCGAAAAATATAGTAGTTCTTGTGCGCATGATCCTTTGCTGATAGAAAAAAGAAACGTTTATATGAATTCAAAATTTTCGACTTTTACTTATCACAACGGGATTTGCCATGAATTTTATTGAATAGGAATTTTTATTAGAAGCAAATTCTAATGGCAAATATTAAAATGAACACCTATTTCTTGGGATATATCTCTACTCAATAGTCTTTTTTTTTTTCATACAATGAATACACAAGAAATGAGAAGTTCTCACTCAATTTTTAGCGCATTTTCGCTTTGTCACATGGGGCTTTTTGTTCATTTTTACTGACTGGATGTTTTTAGTGACTCAATCAGCTTAATCATAGTATGGATGACTAGTTTGTGTGTCTAATCTTTGTTTACGACGATTATCAATCAAAATATTTCTCAATTTTCTAATTCTTTTGTTTCAAACAGTGTTGCATTCTGGCTATTTGTCTCGATCAGATAAATTCTGAGACAGAAATTTCTTCATAAAGATCGATTCTATATGAAGATAGAAAATCTAATCTACACAAAGATTATTTCTACATAAAGAATCTGTCTACATAAAGATTCGATGTAGATGTCTATAATTCTACATTCTTCTCTGATGTAGACCTGGAAAAAATGTAGAATTGTAGACATCTACATCGAATCTTCATGTAGACAGAATCTTTATGTACAAATAATCTTTGTGTAGATTAGATTTTCTATCTTCATGTAGAATCGATCTTTATGAAGAAAGTTTCTTAGCTAGACAAAAACTATTGAAGAATCTACATTCTTCATCTAGTGTAGACATCTACATTTGCAACACTGGTTTCAAATGTATTAATGTACAGGCTTAAGACTTATTTTCGTCGAGTTTATAATCTTCAAAACTAAATTTTCACGACAGATGTATTGAAGATTGAAGATTTAGAAATGAAGTTATAAACACGCGAAAATAATCTGAGATCTTTGCTCTGTTTGCTTTTATGTGATCTCTTCAAAAGTCAATTTGCAAAAGAACTAAAAATAGCAAATTCGCGGGTTTTTAAGAGAATTAAAAGAGACGCAAAGGCGAATTCAGGAGATGCAAAAATAGATTTTTAAAATTTTAATTTGTCGTTTTGAGAGCTTAACGATTTAATGCCAAAACAATTGAGCAATAAATTACTCACGATTTATAGTGTAAGATATCAAGTTCTGTTAAGAAATGCGCACAGAAATCAAGATCAAAAAAACGAAATGAGCGGTTCTCACTGATTTTGACAAAAAAAAAAAAAAGAGTAGAGAATCGTTATGACTTAGTGTACGTTAGCCATGTGTGAGAATAATATTTTACTTATAAAATTGTTGTGCAAAAAATAATTCCATTCATTTATTAGCAGCGTCTGTGTGATGAAAGATAATATTTGAGAGAGGGCCTACACTCTTTAACTAAAAATAATTGTATTACTTTGTGTTGTGTTGTTATCAAGTGAATTTTTTTTTTGATTTACTGCGAGCCAAAAGTAGATCAACTGATATAGGAAATTTTGTTTTCTTTTCGGACGGGAAAAATGGAAAAAGAAGTGTTGATAAAATATGAAAGTGGAAATGAGGATGATGAAATCAAGGGACTTTGCAAGTTGTGGTTGAAAAATTTACACAATTTTGACGAGCGTAAATTAGGGCAGCATGTAGTCACACTGGTCAATGACATTTCTAAATATATCTTCGACTCCTCTTCAGATTCCCAGAAATATTCAAATTATGGCGCAAAATTCATTGAACTTATGAAATCAAATAATAATCAGACTGATGCAATAATTGATGTTTATTGGATTCACAAACATACATTCTCAAATCTCAAGTTAAACGATGACATCGGAATGTACGAGAAATATTTTTATGAGTTAATTTTAGATACATCAACAAAATCAGCTGATGAGAAATGTTCACATGATGATGTAAAAATTATAGATGCCGGCTTAATAGGAGATGTTTTGACTCAGGAATATTTAGCTACACGTTATGTGATGAAAAATTTACAAAATACAGCCGGCGTATTAAATTACATTCTGGTTGATGGGAAGTATAGAAATATAAGAAACTTTTTGGATTCCATTTTGAAACATGAAGACATTCCCGTTGATGAATTTGATGAGCTAATTGAAGAGTTTGGGAAGTCAGCAATAAGTCTGCATAATTGTATTTCTGAAAATCAAATATTCCTTCTCTCATTCCTTCTTACGAATGTCATCAACAGATTAGATCCAAAAACTCTAAAGCACATACTTAACTCAAAAGATTCCAATGGCAACACTCTTTTTCAAATAGCATGCGAGAAGAGAATTAAGTTTGTGATTGAAGAGTTGTGGATTTTAATACAAAAGGCATATGAGACGGATGAGAAGCTAATTGAGAAGTATTTACTTAATAAAAATAACAACGATAAAAATGCTTTCATGCAGGCATTTGAAATGCCCACAAAATATACAAATATTGACTATGCGAATGAGATTAAGAGCCGTACAAGTTTACAGCATTATTATAAAAATCCCGGACTATTGGAACTTGAGATGTACAACTTTGAAAGTTCATTAAATCTGCTGTTGGATATAGCTAGGAAGAATATTTCAGATAAATGTAAGAAGTCATTAATTGTGAGTTTTAGCCGTAAAGCTGAAAGATGTCATGATACATATTCATACAGCAAAAACTTCCAAGAGTTTCGTTATGATTTCTTGCAACTTCGATTCTATTGCATTACAAGAATCAGCTCAATTAATACCGGAAACATTAGTGCAGTCACACAAATTTATCAATTTTTGAGCCGATATATTGATCAATTCATGTATGATCAAGGTGATAATGAGGAAGTCATCATCACTTTGTACCAAAAATTATCATTCGACACATTCCTTGGTGATTTCTTTAAAGTTTTCATTCTTAACAATTTTTCACAAGCACTGGCTAAAATTAAGACTGTTGAAAGTCTCGAAAAGCTCATTGACATTGCCAAGAAAACTCTTGGAACTAAAGATTATCATAAGATTATTACAAAATCTGGTGGTGATGGAAATAACGCATTACAGACTGTAATTTTTGGAAGAAATGTTGACATGTTTAGAGTCATCTGGTCCTCATTTGATTATGGTCATAAAGCTATTGCTAATTGGATTATTGGAATGAATCTTGACAAAGTAAATTCACTGTACATTGTGATCTATAGCCACCAAATTGAGATGCTACAAATAATGCTAGAATACTTTTCAATAAGCTTAGAAGAAGAGCAGATCTTGTTTATTTTTGACAACACTCGAAAGACAAACTACAAATTCATAGACATTGCTGTTCTTTTCTATGATCAAAAGATCTTCGATTTGATCATGGATTTCCTTCAGCGTCATTTATCAGCTTCCAATTTAAAGGAATTAGTTGGTAATGGTATCATCTCACAAGCAGTTACCAAATGGCAGGAGAGTGCATTGCCTAAGGTTCTTAACTTCATTGAAAGTATTTTTGATGAGAATGAGATCAAGGATATGCTTTTTAATAAGAATTGGGAGGGTCAGACAGCTTTTCATGTGGCATCAAAGAATCGAAACTTGACTCAACTTCAGCAGCTCTGCAAATTCGCTCATTACTATTTATCTAAGAAAGACTTTATTGATGTTATTAAGGCTAAGGATAATAGCGAATATTCATTGTAAGTTTTATTTTGGTTTTGGACCATCAAACTTATATAAGCTAGGTATATGTAAAGCTAATAATATTATATCATCCTACAGACTCGCAAGCGATCTAATTCCTGACGATGTCATCTTCAATGAACTTCCAAAGCTGTCTAATTTCCATTCAACATATCCTGTCTACGAATGGGTTCCGATACTTAATCTTGAATTTCCTCAAAATGCCGTATCTATCGGAAATGATAACGACGGTAATGGATTATTTATCGCAAAAGTGTATGAAAACAATGAAGATAGCAATGAGTTTGAAGTTGTGGCGCTATCAAAAAGTTCGCAAATAAATTTTGATAACACGTTTGTTGATGTAAGTGATGGAATTATTTTACAAGCATTTGTTAAAGTATATTTCAATACTAGGTATTAAATGGAAGAGGATTAGCGTGGCTCTCAAAAAGTAGTGACAGCATAACAGCAATTAAAATCGAGTCTAATGAACCTTCATATATTGCAAAACTTGACAACGAAATTAAATTAATCAGCATCCACACCACAGAAGATTATAAAATTTTATGCACAAATGATCAAAAACTCTTAGATATTGATGATAATCAGTACATATTTACAAAAGTTAATTAAAATCAAAAACAAACATGTGCTTGAGAAAAAAACGGTCACAAAACAATTTCAAAAAATAAACGATCAAAATAATTTTGAAAAAATCATCAAAAATCTAGATGTGTTTTTAAAAATTCTATTTCGGTTGTGATGAGTGCGTTTAGTAGTTCCTTTTTCACAAACTCAGTTGAGCCATAGACATCGCTTGTGTCGAAAATTTATTAATTTACCTAACAAGATGAGGATTTACAAGGATATTTTTACTGGTAAGTTATTAATTATAGCATAAGGAATCGGGGTAATATGAAGTTCAGTGAGATTTTATGGAATGTATAGTAAGAAAAATGAGTTAAAGTTTCGTGCCACATCCTTCCAGATTATTCTATTTTCTGCTTCCACGAATGCATTCTAGGTTATTGCATTTCATTAAAGATACTCAACATGTGGCAATTATCGTGAAAATTGCTTTTTAAAGCTTATTCTAATGTATTTAACTCATTTTTGAGGATGTGCAGCATAAAAAATACATGTAAAACCTAACCTCAAAAATTTTCTATTTAAAAAACTGAAATAAATGAGTCATTGAGGTGTCATTGCACTTTCCAAAGCAAAAAAGAAGCTAATAATAGCAAAAATGATTCATAAAATTGACATCCAGTGAGTTTTCATAGAATTTTTCAGAAAAAAATGTATTTTAAGATCCAGCTGAGATGCAAAAATTGACTAAAATTAAACATTTTTTTCTTTGTATGATATCCAGGTGACGAAATGTTCTCGGACACTTACAAGATCAAGCTCGAAAAGGAAGTCCTCTACGAGGTTTATGGTAAATTGGAGACACGAAGGCTGGGAGATGTTCAAATTGATGGAGCCAATCCAAGCGCTGAAGAAGCTGATGAAGGAACTGACGAAGCCGTTGAATCTGGTGTCGATATTGTCTTAAATCACCGTCTTTGTGAAACCGGATTCGGCGATAAGAAACAATTCACTGTCTACCTTAAAGATTATATGAAGAAGTAAGTACCGTTATGACTATTCTGCATACCTATAGCATTTCTAGGCATGAGTGGATATTTAAAGTATGAATATTGGCTCTCCAAAGATGATGCTAGATAAATGATGTTCTTTAAACCATGGTTATTATCCTTAATTAATGATAGAATCATGACCTGTCTTTTCACACATTATCAGCGCTTACTTTTGCGCATTATAAACTGATTACGTGACATGAACTTTTCACTAATCGAATAATTACTTTGTTTCCAGAGTCGTAGCAAAGTTAGAGGAAAAATCACCAGACCAAGTTGATATCTTCAAAAAGAACATAAATGATGTTATGAAAGATATTCTCGGACGATTCAAAGATCTTCAATTCTTCACAGGCGAGTCTATGGATGCTGATGGTATGATCGCTATGATGGAATATCGTGATATCGATGGAGTTTCAACACCTATTTTGATGTGCTTTAAACATGGCTTGGATGAAGAGAAATTCTAAATAAATCAAAATCTTACCAAAATTTCTGAATTTTGCTTCCAGCATTCACATTCAAGCTCATCATCCATCATTCATAATTTATTCATATTTTTTATGCTTCTTGATTTATCTCTCTTTCTTGAAATGTATGTTAGCTTCTTTCCTTTTTCCTCTAACGGACACTAGATAATCGAAAAAAAAACTATTGTTTTATTACGTTATGATTATTTACTTTATATTATTGTAAAAGTTATTAAAAAGATGTTTTATACTCATATAATCATGAATTAATAATTTTGGAGAGAACAGCGTTGTTGCTTATATGCAAAAAAAAAGATATTGTTTCTTGAGAAAAGGACATACTGCAAGACATGGACAGAAAAGTTAAATCAATTTTTATTATTCAATGAAACAATAAAATTTGTAAGAAACGGTAAACAACTTTTTGAGCCTGTTTCATTTTACACAAAAAAGATTTTTATCTGTTCCTTTATTCTTTTAGTTTTAAATTGTTCCTTATTACAGATTAAATTTTGACTCAAAAATATATAATTTAATTATTATTGCTACGCTTTTTATTCTTCGATCGCTCTGACTGCTGAACTTGTTGCTTTGGTGCTGAAGTTCCTCCTCCTAAGAACTTTGAAAGCATCTCGCTCATGTCTGGCATTTCACTTCCTAATCCAGGCAATTGCATATTTTCGAGTTCCTTTTTAGCCTCTGGATCATTCATAATCTTTGGTAATAAAACGAGTAAGACTAAAGGCAGGATCATCATTAAGACCATTGGTGAGAATAAGAAGTCTGTGATTTTCCATTGTTCTCGCTGTTGGAAATATCTAAATGTTGTCATTGCCTTCAACTTTAATGGATATGGAAGCTGAATTACTTGAGATGGTTGAATGCTAGAAATTATGAAATTTGTAAGGATTAGAATCTGTTCAGCCACGTGACTAATGTCTAATATTTCAACGGCTTTTTATATTTTGAATTTTTTGTCGAATAAAACATAAAATTCAAATATTTTTAAACCGTTGAAAAGCAAGATCTTAATTAGACATCCATAAATGTACTTACTGTGACACTTTTCTTGCTCGGAATTTTCCTTTATTATTGATTTCTACTCGAACTTGTTCATAGACATAATCTGGATTATGAACTTCCAATATAAAGCTTCCGGATGGCACTTTATTGATCACAAAGCTTCCATCACTTTTAAGGAATCCTTTAAATATACCTGAATTGCCTGTATGGAGCAGAATGTCTGTATTCTGAACCCAATTTTTGTAATTTTCATCACTTGCTAATTCCGGTGCAAAAACCTTTCCTTCGACTTGATATTCATTTGTGCTGCTTTCCTCGATATCTGTGTCTTGTGAAAATGTCTTGCTGACGCAAACTAATGAGATCAAAAGGATTATTAAAAAGTTTTTCATTTTTTACTAATTTTTTCAAGTCAGTCACAATTTAATGTTGATAATAGACACAATTTAAATTTTCAAAAACCGTTAGACTTAAAACTAAGTTCCAACAAAGTTCGAAATGACATAAAGCCCCTGTTAATAATGTGCCAGTGATGTGTAATAAAATATGCCTTAATGTTTATGTTGAACACCGTCTCAAATATGATAAAGTGAACGCAGGTCTGTAAAGTTTTAACAGCTGCAGATCAGCAGTGGATAATCTGTGAATGTTGATGTTGGGACAAGGGCTGTTGTTGTCTATTGATATTAATTTATGTACATGTCTATAATAGTTTCTATAGATAACGCTTTTTTGCTCAACTATAAACAGCTCAGATCAGCAGTGAATCAATTCAACAACATTAGACATTCTGTCAAATAAAAATTAATAACATGTTTATTTTTTTGACAGTTGGAAGTTCGAATTTTCGAACAAGGCTGATATTTTCCAAGAAAATTAAATAGTTTTCAATTTTTACGCATGCAGACAGATCCAGACAATTGGATAGTATTAAAATAATTAATTATAGACATTAAGGAACAAGAATAAACTATAGACGGAAATTAAATCGCATACAATTCGAAGATAATTAAATAAAATACATAGAGCGACTCGAATTTAGCAGAATCGACTAGTAATTGTCCTAGTTCTTCAAAAATTAAAATAAATATGAATAAATGTAGTAAAATATGTGTTTAAAGTGCTTATCAGTATAAAATAGTGCCAAGTATTAATTATATTATTGAAAACTTATCGAGTTCTAAGCAAAAAACTTGAAAAAGGTGTGAAAAATTTGAAAAAATCATGGCTGCTTTGAAAAATTTTATTAAGATTACTCATAAATAATAATTATCACTTTTGTAGTGATAAAAAGTCATTGAAATCCTTCAAAAAGTGTGTATTGAGAGTGAATTAAATAAAATATAAACATACAGTTCAATTATTAGTGGTGCAAAAGTCAAAAATTTCATGTTTTCTTCTTGATACTGGAAGTTATTATTTTAGTTTAATATTAATTTTATAAGCCAGAAAAGAAAAAAGAGAAAATATACATATAATTTTTGTAAGAAAACGAAAGATATATAAAGAAGTGTAATCATCTGCAGACATATAAAAATCTGGCCAGATCCAGATAAGACATCGACGATTCTAGTATGAGGAATTGATTTTTTTGCTTGCCAGACTGGACATATATATACGTATAACATACATGGAAGTAGATTAGTTGTGATGAATATTTGAAGTTAATTGAGAGAAAGAGAAGTAATTGCGTTTCATGGATAAGAAAACAAGCAGAGAGAAACAGTGAGTAAAGCTGAACGGGAATAAATATCTAAGATTTTTAATGTAAAACAAACAAAAGCGGAAAGAGATTTTAAAACAGAAAAAAATGATGAAGAACGGAGGAAGTAAGACAAGTGCTGCAAATAATGCATTACGCTAGACTCGATTATTTTTAATAATAATACTGCAATTTATTTTCTCCTAGTTTTACTACTTTGAATATATTTTCATTTTTTGATGAGTTTTTAAACACTCCATACACAATATACAGCCATGATCGTGCTACTCATTTTTTTTTTTTTTGGAATTATGGAATCAGCATTTTTGTTCATTAATAATCATTTTCAAGTTGTATAATTGATTGAAGGCCCTCACAGAATGTAGAGGAATGACTGTTGCACGATAAGGCTAAGGAATTTGGGTTTATCTTGGTAACATATAACAAATGCGGCTGAAAATGACATTACAACTAACTTAATTATTTCTTATCTCTCATGTACAATACACCTCTATCCGCTATCATGTATTAATATAAAACATTAGGTAAAGACAATTACTCAGACTAGACCAACAAAAAAAAATTTATGATATCATCACAGAACATGCCATTCATATTACAGATATTAGTTGATACATGTTAATTGATGGGTTCATTAAAATTTATATTCAAAATATCTATCGAAAAAGAAATGAGAGAGAACGTTGCGCTAATTCTGACTTACTTATATGGATGTTTAAATGATTTTTCGTCTGGAGTGTCTCGAAGAAGAAAAAAATCTCATTTGCCAGATTTGTTCAACGTTTACAAAAATACAACTATTATTTAGGAGACTTTAAATTGTTTGTTTGCCAAAAATGAGAAATATACAGCATACAGAATATGATAGTTCTTCAAGTAAAAATAAAAAAAATATCGTGGGGCGAAGATAATTTGTCTCGAGCATTGGAATTCTTTGTAAATTCCGTTACGTTTGGCCCTCCTTTTAGAAGTGTTAATTAAATCAAAGATGTGAGAAAGCTTGCTTCATTCCATTTGTTCAATAATAATGTATTGAATGCGGGTGTGATTTTTTTTCTTCTTCATCTTCTTATTTCCTATAGCTCACATTAAGTAGTCGCGTTACTAGTTAATTGCGACGTTTCCACAAAAAAATACAGAAAGAAAAACGTGGTTACGATGCAGAAATATCACATAAAAAGTTTTGGTATTATAGGAAATAAGGCACGTTTTCTATACTTCATTTATGGAAGAAACTCATAAATGGCATTTTCCAACAACAACAGCAGTGAAAATCAATGCAAAAAAATAATATTTTCATCATCATTTCCATTTTTGAGTGGAAATTGTCTCATATTCCAATTCGCTGTTTTCATTTCCTTTTCATCGATATACGTAATCTTATTATAATTTTCCAAGTACTACAATGAAAGCTAGTGTAAGTGTTTGTCATTTGTGAGGTTGGCTGATGGCGCATTACTATTGACTATGTACTAATGATGTTATGTTATTAAGTTTGTTGAAAATCTTATATTCTGCCAGACCTTATTAATGAACGTGGTTCCAATAGAGTCTATCTTTAAAATTCAAAGACAGTTTGAAAATTCTGAGATACGCTAAAGTATCATAACACACAGTTTGAGAATCACTGAAGTAGACAGACAAATCGCAAACCTAGTCAACTTTTTCATTCAAAAAGATTCAAATTAAAAAAACATGCCATAAGTTTTAATGTCAATTCCTTTGAGTGCATACTATTGAATTTTTCAGAAACTATAATATTTACTATTTTCCCAGCTAGATTATTTATTTTCAGAATCGATACATTAGTGTCAGTTGTCGGGAAAAATTGATAACGTTTTGCTGATATTTCCATTTTCATAATAATAATAATACACGAAAAAATAAACAAAAAAAAATGCCTTTTGATAAACTGAACCGTAACGAAATGTGCGAAATAGACAGTGACATAAAAGCTATTTTAAAGGCAAACAAGGCATGATACATAACATGTCTTCAACCTGTTAAAGAAAGAGCATAAAACATAAGACATGTGACTGTTGCCAATTTCATTAATGAGCATCGACATTAGTTAGCAAATCAGTTTCTTTCATTTCCAATCAATATATTAAGTTTCAAGTTGAGGAGAAAGCGGTAGCTGAGCTCAGCACTTGCTTAATGTTTTTCCTTTTTCTTCAGTGAGAAAAATATTGTAATAAAAAAAAAACAAAGATGATCAATTCAGTTGGAACTGTCAGTGAGACACAGACTCGTTGTCACCTGAAGCGCACTCACGAGTATTGCTTTAATGATTCGTTCCATTAAGTGCATAAGATAATTAATTAGAAATTTTCATTACTTTGATGTTGGCTTTATGTAAATCATATGCGACTAATGCAATGAAATCAACTTCACTGTTGTGCTTGTTGGGAGCTCTTGAGGTAGAAGATAGGCAGCAAAGGGAAAGACTTAGTAATTGTTTTTGATTCAATAACTCAACGTGAACTTCTCTTTTCATTCTTGTAGGTTAATGGTGCTTGATTTTGATGTTAAATTTGTAGTTGAGTCTTCAGTCAGTTTGGGATACTGACTTTAGCTTGAAAGCAGTTTTGTATGAAGTATAGTCGATTCAAATCTATGTAAAATCTGTTCTTTGGGTTAGTGACTTTTGTAAAGTTTATTAGCAGGTTCTTTATTGTTATAGTTTACTCTTCAGTACAATCCCTCTCAAAACTTGTTTGACTTCAAGTTTATGGAATGTTGTAAGCATTTAGAAGAATTTTTAAGATACAATTGAGTTGACCTTGACGAAATTTATCACACAGACTAAATAAAATTTTGTCTAGACCAAAGCAAGTCACTTGGACAAAAAACTTTATTTTTCACAAACTTGTTTCTTAAATAATTTACCGTTTTTCTCTTAGTTTTGCATTTGCTAATAGATAATCTTGGTCTCAAGTACGATACAAAAATTGTTCATCAGTTTCATATAAGAGACCGATAAAATGAGAAATTCAGCAGCAAACCACACAAAAAACATCAAATTCACCTTAAAATCAAACAATTTGTATCAAAAAAAAAAAATTAACAACAAAGTTAAATTATGTGTAAAATTCTCAATTCATACCTGTCAAAAAGTAAGACAAGACAACCTTAATTATCAAAACTTCAAAGCTTATTGATAAAGAGCGTGTGATATCATACATTTTTGAAGTTCAGTGTTCATTTAATGATTGATGAAGAAGAGAACTGTGGGAAATGAGTTGTCTGAGGGAAAGAAAAATTGAGGAATGGGAGAAAATTTGGCAACAGTATCGTTTTGGTAGAAGATTCTTATGGTAGGAATGTAAATTAGATATACTTAACATATTGGATCTAGGTTGCATCATTTTGATTCTATAGTTCATATCAAAGAATCTAGGCTTATACTCAGGAATTAAATTTCAAATTAGCATCAAGTAGTTTTATCAAATCACAGTTTAATCAAGTTTACTACACTACAACACAATTCAATCATTTAAAAACTGCTAATGAGACAAATATGCGCCTTAGTCATTTTGCTAATTTCTTCTCTATTGAAAATCTAAGATGGAATTTCAATTGTTCTTCTGTTTATACACATCACCATTCTTTAGACATCATCTTGTATCTATTAAAGATTTATATTCTCTGAGTTTTATTTGATGGCAAAAGTGCGATATGTACTATACATTGACACCTTTTTCAGCACTTACTCCGTCAGCATTTAGACTTTTTTTTTTCTTCTCTTCGTTTTAATAAACTTAGCGGCAATTGACATCAGCTAGTTGGTAGTCTTGTGAAAATGTATATATAAGCAAAATCATTCAAATTTGTAGGAAATGATGAAGCAATGTTGCCAATCTTACTTACTTACACCTTATTTTTTGATGATTGTGCATCATAAATCATACTTTTTTCAAATATTCACTTCCCCGCAAGCTTAAAATTCATTCACAAAAAGCCTTATTGTTCATCTATTGTGAATATAATTTTTTTCTTCATCCATTGCTTTTTTGCTTGCTTGTTTCTAGTCAATATTGTTGAGCACCCGATTAAGTTCAGTAATAAACGCCGCAGATGATAATTGTTATACCATCAATGAATAATAAAAATTGTAAACTTTTCATTTTCTTTTTCTTCTCTCTTTATTTTACCTTTTTTTTTTTCTTTTATTATTTATGAAGTATGTGCGCGAGAAAAATGTGAATATCTATGCATTAATTGGCTTCAGTTAGAAAGTGAAAATTGTTTTGAACCAAGTCCAGTCAAGTACTTACTATGATGTGTGCTGTGTGTTGTGTTTGTGTTTATGATGAAACAATTGGAGTAAAAAATTGTTGTTTTTGTGTATTTTCTTGGATAATGTATTTATAGTTTGATAGGCTCAATTTGACTTAGTAGAAAGGCAGGTTGACATTAAAACCCTATAAATGCGACATAATTTGTAAGGTTTTTTGATTTTTCTACATTTTTTTAGTTTTGAAAATATCTATAAAATTTACAAAGGAGTTTTCTCACAACCTCCGAATGAGGAGGTTGTGGAATTGTGCAATACTTCAAAATTAATTAATATGCGTAGGAATAAGTCAAAAACCTACGGGAACTGTCTTCAAAGTAACAAAGAACAAAGATACCAAGGAGAAAACACAGCAAAGTCGCGATTTAATTAAATTTTGGATATAAATTGAAATTGAAAAAAAAAATGGGTTAATTTTGCACATAATCTGTGTTTTACCAACAATCGTGGACAAGAAGGTTCTATCATAAACATAACCTAGACATTAATTATTATTTAAATACAACGGATTATCGTCAATTGTGAGGAGAATTTGTCTCGCGATGGGTTTTGTGTGTTTTCCCATATATTCTTACCTATTTCCAAAAATTTTACAAATCAAAGCTACAAAAATGCGCCATAATCGCATTCGAAAGAAAGCAAAAAAAAACACATTAAATAACTAAGAAGGTTTTCCTCTTGTTACATACTCGGCGTGTCATTACTCTTTATATATACTTATTTTTTCGGATGCGTTTAAAATAAGTTCCGAGAATAACCAGAAAAAAAAAATCGGAAACATTTTTCAAGTGAAAACAACGGAGTCGCATGAAAAGAGTGACTAGTTATTGGGAAATTGCTTGAGTCGCATATAGCAAGTCAACATAAAACGATTTTTACTGTTATGTTTAATAGAAGAACCTCTTCAGCACCACAATTTTGGGTAAATGAAGGAGGTTCTTCTTTTTATAAAATTTTATTTTCGTTTGTCCACTTTTGAATAATTTTTTTAAACATCTCTATTAGTTAATGCTTGATTCCATTGAACCGTACATGATGAAGAAATTGAAGTTTAGTAGACTTGATTTCAATATACATATATTTATTAAATATTGTTCCGCATTGCCAGCATAGATTTGTCGTGTCTCTTTTTTTGTGAGTAGTTGAAAGGTATGAAATAGCAAGTTTTGTACATTTTTGCACCTTGATATGTGAATTTTTTAGAGCATTTCAGCCTGTCAAAAAGTGACTTTCATGTGAATTTATTATGTGAGCATATTTTATTTTGTTTTTAATGTGAATTATTAGCTTTTGATTGATTCCGAATATCTGAAAGAATTACAAAAATGTTTCAAATTTACAATGGAATTTCGTTTAATTACCTTATTGGCTTAGTTATTCAAGGATATCCAAAAATACCGTATTAAAACTATCATCAGTGAATAATCGAGAACATGTGTTTACTCATTCCTTATAAGGAGTTAATTAAGAACTTTCTAGATTATCTTGGCACTAAGACAATGGATTACGTTTATCACTTTCCATAACAGTCTTATCAATGTTATACAGATAAGTCATTTACGTGAGAGTTTTAAAATAAAACGTGAGCCTAGCTTTTGCTGTTATCAAATTGGATATTCCAGAATATCGTCATTCTTTGTATAGCTAACAACAAAGCCGGTAGAGTGTTTTCCATATTGCCCGTTCAAATCAGTTGTTTCTTCCCTGACGCCAGTCACTGACTTCTGCTTGCCACTTACAAGTATCAAGTGAGACAAAATCTTTGTCGACAGCTTCCTATCTAAGTCGCTTACATTATAAGTATTGAATCTTATTAAACCTGCAATTGACAATTAATTTTATGCTAATGGATCTTAAAAGAATGATTAGTGCCAACAATTCTTTATTTTTCATCAGAAACAAATGAAAAGTTTACTTTTACTAAACGATTCTTTCTAAAACCTTGGAATTCCATGAATTAAATATTTGGAATTATTATAAATTTAATTAAAAACAAACGTGTTAAACAGCATTTTTCACATGAAATTAATCACAAAAAAATCCATTTAAAATTCACGTCTGCATTAAATCACAAAAGATCAAAAAAGCATTGTTTGCACAAAACAGATTTTCTTAAGAAAAAAAAAAGCGAGGAAGTAAAATGACTCAAAATTGACATCATGTGATGATCATGATCATTGCCGTCATGATTGTTGCATCACATCGAAATTCTCTAATTTGTCCTTCAGCTTGCTTTACCTTCCTACATGAAAATTCTTTGCAATATCAGAAAGTGATCTTCTAGAAAATGTGCTAAAAACATTTGTGAATTGGCGGTAAATTTTCCATTAAATAGTAAATAATTGAAGGATATTGAAGCGTCGCAAATAGAGACGTAAATACGCCACAGCGTCTATCATATGTTCAAGTACACTTTGCACATCACGACTTAAAAGACTTAAATAGTTGAGCTTGGAATGACTGGGCTGACTAGATGCTTTGGTGGATTAGAACATCCTAAACTATTTTTAGTGATTATCTGAATTAAAATTGACTAAAGTTCCACAGATTATGTTGAGTTTCGAATCTAGTTTGTACAACAAAAATCAAAACATATCATTGCGATTTTCAATGCATCAAATCAATAATTATAATCAACAAATTGTGTTTGACTTCTGATGTGGAATTGAAAAGTTATTATAATAAAATCCAGACCTCCAAAATCCAACTTCATAGTCAACCTAGTAAATATACTCAATACTAAGCTGACAATCGAAACAAAGTGTGGTAAAACTCTCAATTGAATATTCCACATCAAAGATTATAGCCAAAGCCTGCATGCTCATTGCATTTTTTTTTAAAAAATCAACACATAAAAAATTTGTAATTTTACAATTCCTTTAATTTTTATGGGATATGAAAAATTGATATGCAGCCAATAATTACACTTGATGTCATTGGTGTCTCAATGTTTTGTGCATAGGAATTCAAAATTATTACGTAATACAAAATAGAGAGAAACAAGTTGTTGATCAGATGTGAGTTTTAAGCGATCCAGTTTACTCACTGACTGTAGATTTCGTAAATAAATAAAAAAACTAAAACTGTATTAAATGCACGATAAAAGTTTTATGAACTTACGACCACCATCAATGAATTTGTGAGAAGAGTTTAACATGAACTGAGAAAAAACATACACGAAGAATTGTTAATAATTATTAATAACTTAAACATCTTATCCGAACTCATTCTTTTAATTTTCTGTTCCTCAAACAATGCTCAATGCCTATGTCAGTACGGTATGAAATCTGACTATGACCTTGGACCATCTTATATTTTACATATATTCATCGTTACGTCTCACTCTGCTCTGTCATAATAATATACATATACACATACTCGATATGTGTTATTGCTTTCTTGCTTGTGGCTGCTTCTGCTTCACTCATGATTTTTTTTATTTCATTTCTATCAAAGGAACAAAAAAAAATCTTCAAAAACTCGTTTTTTGTGTATACACAAACTCTCGGATGATTCGTCATCTTTACTTCCATCTCTCATCTCTCACACACAACTTATTAGCACGTTTTTTTTATTCATTTTGTTAGATAATGCTTTTTAATCGTTCAATTAGGCCCGGCGTTAATGAGACTTAATGTACGTGGGGGATTGGTAAATGTTGAATCCTATGTTTAAGAGGGGAGGAGGGTTGGTTAATAAACAAAAATCCGAGCAATTTGAAGAAAATTTTTAAAATAGGGGGTTCCTCGCTAAATTAGTCCTTGGTTTTGATTGAACAATCAACGAATCTAGTACATTATGAACAATTCTGGTACATTAAGTGCCAAATTCTAGTATTTAACTTACATCTAGTACCAAGACATATAATCTAGTACCTTCAATTAAAATGTTTTAAGTATCTTCTAAAATAAATAAGCAATACTAGATTTATTCTATGAAACACGATCTTAATCTATTACATGTAACATATTTTTGTAATGTACTAGATTCTTACTTTTCTATTTATTTTCAACAATTTATCGATAATGTTATAAATAAATTATGTTTAAACAACTGTTCTTGTCGCTCTAAATGTGCAAAATCCAAAAAGAAAATTCTCGAAATTCATCATTTAATTCCTTATCCAACTTTAGACGCTTTAACTTGCCAATAAACTATGCACCATTTACTCAACTTGCTCAATCATAATACATAAGAATTCAGATGACTCATTAAAAAATATGCGCCTCTTACTTCCAGTTGAAAGCAAAATAACAAAAAAAAAGAGTTCTATACGTACGTGCCTCATTCACTCATTTATACATACACACATGAATGTATGAGGGATCTCAATGAAATGACGTGATGATGACAAATATTCGCCAATGAATTATTCACGATTAAAATATTTATATTGTGGATCGTAAAAGGCAATAGTAAATTTAATTAATAACCATTTTCTATTTGTTATTTACAGATAACTATTAGATATCAAAAAAGTGAGAATATATATTTTGTACAACGAAGAAAAAGTGGCATTAAGGATAAAAAGTTTTTCACACAAATAAACTTAACAATGGATTACAATGATGGCTAAGGAATTGCAACCTAAACATTGATGACTGAAGCAAGATAAAGGCCAAATTAAATTTTTAATTATTTCTGGGAATTAAGCAAGCTACAAGGCATAACTAAAGTTTAATATCAAAAAATTTAAACAAGGATATTTTCGGACGGAAGGAAGCAGACAGTAAAAGAAAACAAAATAATATTTTCTTAAATTCAATTATTTTTTATGAATTAGTCAATTAAGGATATAAAGATGTCATTCTTAAATAATTTAAAGAAAGTGTTCCACTTGGGTGGTGGAGAGGCAAAAAAGAAGCGCCTTTATAATAATATTCGTATGGATACAAATCCAAATGATTTTTGGGATATGATTGGTGAGCTTGGCGATGGAGCATTTGGGAAGGTCTATAAAGCTCGTAATAAAGAGACTGGACAATATGCAGCTGCCAAAATGTGTACACTTGAGGATGAGGAGAATCTGAGTGATCACATGGTCGAGATTGATATTCTCTCGGAAATACGTCATTTAAATATTGTTGAGTTATATGAAGCGTATTCCATAGATGATAAATTATGGGTAAGTCAGCAAGACATTAATATTGACATTGATTAGCACGTACCAATTTTATTTTCGTCCATTATGTAGATGCTAATTGAGTATTGCGACGGCGGTGCCTTAGATAGTATTATGGTAGAATTGGAAAAGCCTTTAACCGAGCTACAGATTGCTTATGTATGTAAGCACATGGTTGCTGGACTGAACCATTTACATAAAAGTAAAATTATACATCGAGATTTAAAAGCGGGAAATGTGCTGCTAACGATGGATGGCGGTGTTAAATTAGCGGATTTTGGTGTGTCAGCAAAAAATAAGCATACGCTTCAAAAGCACGACACATTTATTGGGTAAATTATTGCCATTTTTCTTCCATTTAATAGTTCAATATCGCTTGTATTTAATCGCTTCGCATTAATCGCACTCATTATGCGATTCATTTATAATACGTTCAATTTGTCATTATTATGTGAAGTTTGCATTTTATGCGAAAGTCGTGTGCCATAAACGATTATGAAATTTTTCATTGCTTCTAAGTTTTGTGTTTTGAATAATTCGAGTGTGTTTTGGAGAAATTCCAATCATGTCGTAAATCGTTCGTTCTTAATTGCACACGAACTTAATGTGTCTGGAAATTGCCTAATTGTAATATTTTCGTTCAGTAGTTCTGTACTTTATTTCAGTTTAGTTCAGTTTGAATCTTATGAAACCGTTAAAATTTGAATTTTTAAAAAACCGTTGAATAAAACTTTAGTCAAATAACCCAGATTTTAAAATTAATTCATATTAAGAAATGCCGATAAATTCCACCAGTTACCATATTAATGACTTTTTGATTGGAATCTTTATTCGTGACTATTTGTTTAATATGAAATAAAAATATTTTGAGTGTTTTTAAAACTTCACAATGAAATAAATAGCGCCAGATATGTTTATTGTAGATAAACATATATTTAAGATACAAGTGATAATGAACTATTGAATGATAATTGTGTGCCTGACTGCCTTCATTGATAATAATTTTTTTTATTATTATGTTATTTACTTCTTTATGTACGATTGCTACTTCGTCAAAATTGGACGTCAAAATCTATAGAGTAAGTGTTTGATTTGAATTTATTAGTTTCTTCCTCAATTATTAAGACTTTTTATGTGGAGGAAATGAGAAGATTTTAATCTAAATCTCTTTATTTCTAATTCCTATTATAGACACCGTATTGGATGGCACCAGAATTAGTTCTCTGTGAGACTTTTCGCGATAATCCTTATGACTACAAAGTAGATATTTGGTCATTAGGTATCACACTGATTGAATTTGCTCAAATGGAACCTCCAAATAGTGAAATGTCACCAATGCGTGTATTATTAAAGATACAGAAGAGTGAACCACCGAAACTAGACCAGCCATCGAGATGGACGAAGGAATTTAATGAATTTTTAGCTAAAGTGCTCATTAAAGATCCAAATCAGCGTCCTGACACTGATGTTTTATTGACATTACCATTTATAAATAGAAACCTTGATCCTAAGCCAATACGTGATTTATTACTTGAATATAATGCTGATGTTGTTGAAGAGGAGGTGGTTGATGAAGAAGCTGAGGTTTGTAACATATTTTATTTATTCATAATCATCTGCTATGATGATAATATGCTGCATTGACTAACATTTTACATTCAGGGTGTGCCAATGGATCATAATTAACCTCATAAATATGTCTTTAATTTATGCAAAAGTTGAATGAGGAAATTGTTGACATGGAAATTCGATCATTATTCAAATAACTCAATTAATTTGATTTGTTTGAGAAATGTTGGTTTTGAAAAATGTTCAGTAATCCATAATTTCAAAAGTTCAATTTAGTTCAGTTCACTTTAATTTTAAAAGTCAGCTAAAGTTTGAATTTCTAAAATCCGTTATAATTCAAATTTTTCTGAATCCTTTAATTCTTAAAATTCAAAGTTAATTTATATTGGCGCACTCTGAATGATTACATTAAAAATTTATAAACTCATCTCCGTCTTTTTCTCGTCTCTCTACTTTAAAACTAATATTCTTTTACATGCCTCAATGGATTTTACTTCTTTTTTGTTTATAATAAAATTATAATGATTATAATTAGAAAGCAAAGCGTCAAGCAAAAAGGCGCTCACTTTATCAGAGGGTTGGTAAGTTGTCAGACTAGGCGCGAATGTAAATTATTGAGAGAAGATTCAAAAAAATAAAGTTCGCGAATCTGTTGCGTAAAAAGTCTTTTTTATGGAATTTTTCCGTTCGCGAATAAAATGTCAAAAATATATTTTTTTGTGAAGCTTTTAGTCGATTGAATTGAGTAAATTGATAAAACATGTAACTTAGTCTGACATTCATTCATAAAAATATGATATAATCGATTGGTGTATTTTTTTTCATCAGTTTTGTTTCTATTTCGGTTTTTTTGCTTCTTATTATTTTCATACATTTTTTTTATTTCATTTTTTTTTCGTACTGTATTTAAAAAAAGTTTTTTGATTTATTCAATTCCTTATTCTTTTTATGCTTTCGTTTCGGGTAGAAAAAAAGTTTATGTCTGAGAACTTTTTATTAATAAATTCTTTGTAATATCTTATAGGAGCCCCGCACCCCTGCAATTCCACTCGACTTGGATGATGACTCTGTTTCCGTGCAGTCTCAAGAAACAGATAAACAACCCGACACTCCATCATCCCTCTCGAAATCGTCCAATGATAGCAAAGAGTCAACACCACAACCAACGGATGATGTCAAGAAAGACTCGAAAGAGAATAGTGTTGAAAAGGAAATCCCTGAACAAGAAAAGAAGGTAATTTATTTAAATTCGTTGAGAAAACGTTCAGGAATCAGTGATTTCAAAAAAGTTCAACTTAGTTCAGTTCATTTGAAATCTAAAACATCGTTGAACTTTAGATGTTTCTCAAAAATTTCAACTCAGTTCAGTTCATTTGAAATCCAAAAACCCACTAAAATTTAAATCTGAAAAAACCGTTAAATTATTTTTAATTACTAATTGAATTATTTTTCAATTATCAAGGTTGTTAAACGAGAAAAAGGCCCTGCACCACTTCCTCCACCACTTGCACAGCAGCAGCAACAGCAACAAGCGAAAGAATCCCCAATAGCAAAATCACCAACATCAGTTCCAGAAGAAAAGAAAATACAGCAAGAAGAAGCACCACCAACTCCAATTATTGAAACTCCAGTTACAAATCTAAAAATAATTGAGCAAGGCGATGAGGAATCAATAACAGACGAGACAGTAAAGGATGGAATAGATAGTAATAAATCATCGCCAGTTAAAAGCTCGTCAAGTGAAATTTTACCTCCTCCACCTCCACAATTCGCAAATGAAACCACATTGGCAACAGAGTCAAAGGTACGAGATGAGAAATTAAGTCGTGAATCGTCAAGAGAATCAATGAAGTCGATTAAGGATGATAATAATGATGAAATAGCGAAGAAAGTACAAGAAGAGAATAAGAATGAGCATAATAATAATAAGAATGTACGTTCAATGGTCCATCAAGACGTTCGTCGCAGTATGTCTGATCAGTCGACGTCATCAGCCACAACTACAATTCTGCCAACATCAAATCTTAATACATCAACAATTACAATTAATCAGCTACAAGATTCATCGAATAGTCTCGCCAGTAATAATGGAACTCAAGTAACAATTGTGACAAGTCATCCTCCAACAATTTATGATAATACAACCACGGTGACATCAAGTGGTGGAAATAATAAACGATTAAGTAAATCACTGTCTTATGATACGTCATCGATAAGTAATGAGGTGATAATTGTATCGAATGACACAAATAAGACGAGACATATTCAAGAATCATTAACTGACGATGACTATCAATCATATGATAGTCTCGAAAGCTCACCGAAATTCAATAATAGTAGTAATAATAATAATAATAATGTAATTATGAGTGGAAATAAGCCTCGCCCAAGGAAATTAGACGAGAGTGAAGTATTGATTGTGAGTGCTGAAGGAATATTTGAGGAAGATCTCGTCGAAATAACCAATTGTAGTGTTATTGATGACGTCAATAATAAACAGAATCAATTGGACACTAGTCACGTATCAGTAGTAACTGTTGGCGATGAGCAAGTGAAAGTTAAAGATTCAAGTCACTTGCTGATTGACTCAAATAGTGATTTATCGAATGCACACAGTGAATTAAGCGATGGAATCGATTTCGTTACACCTCATTCGAAAACGAATGGACAGATAATTTATAACAGTAAACGAAGCAGTAGTTCACGTGAAGATGATGTAAATATTATTGTACGAAGTGGTTCTGGTGGTGCGAATATCATGAAAAAACGAATATCGCCTGATAGCTCTGTGGATTGTTCTTCATCTATAACAGATTCTCCAACACGTGCTCAAAGTGAAAATGGCTCAATGAGATCATCAAATCATGAGAGATCAAAGCATACTGGCATTGCAATAAATAGTAGTAATAATAATAAGCATCCACATCAGCAGCATTCTCATCATCAAAATAATAACGATCGAAGTGATGCTGAAAGCATTTCAACTACAACTAGTCACGATAGTCGCGAACCGGAAGATATGGAAGGCGTTCAATTGCGACGAAAGGAACCACAAGATATTGTCATTGTACCGCCATCACCAAAAAAAGCGACACCACGAACAAAAGAGGAAATTTTGATTGCAAACTTAAAGAAAAAGACTCGAAAACGTACACGAAAGTTTGAAATTGATGGGGTTCAAGTGACAACAACTACCAGTAAAGTGATCTATGGTGATGAGGAGAATGGACGTCTTTATGATGATCATATATTCCGTAAACAAGAATTGCGTGAATTAAAGTTGCTTCAGAAACAAGAAAAGAAACAATTTTATGATTTACAAACGAAAGAACAAATTGCCAAGGATCAACAAGATAAGAAATTTGAACAAGAACGACTGGCTTTAGAGCGAACGTACGAGGCTGATATGGATGTTCTGGCTAGACAACATAAACAGACTGTCGAGAAATATGAGCAGCAACAAGAAAATGAACTCAGGAATACATCGAAAAAGATTCGTATGGAGCAGGAAAGGGAATTGAAATTGGTGAGTCACTATCCATATGCTTTATGCTGTATTTTTTTGAAATTTGAAGGATTTTATTCCTTGGATTAAAATTAAATCTCACGATTAAATTTAAATCCTAGGATTAATCAAAGTTGGGGGTTCCAAAATCAAATCTTTTCGTGGACGTCATATTTAAATGACATTATTTCCATGTCTAAACTAGAAATCCTCTATAAGTCGTTCCAAACATACCCTAACACAAAAAATGCTGTTATTTCCTTTTTTCAGTTCCGCGACGCATTGAAGCAAGAGTTAAGATTACTAAAACAAGAAATTGACTTATTGCCAAAAGATCGTCGCAAAGACGAGTTTAGAAAGCGAAAGACAAGTATGGAAGTTGAGCATGAAGACCGTGAAAAACAGTTCCTAGCAAATCTATCAGAGCAACATGAAATTGCATTGAGAAGAATCAGCGAAATTTATCGTGAAAAGATGGCAGCAACTGAAAAGAGCTATTTGCAACAGAGACAGACTGTAAGTATATTTATTTTTTGGAGGAGATGAATAGAGCATTAATTTATATTGCGAATAAATTATGATAAATTGCTTTATAAATTCTCCCTTTTTCTATACAATTTAAGGCAATGAGGACGCGTGAAGCAATGTTGTGGGAATTAGAAGAGAAGCATATTCACGAGAAGCATCAACTATCAAAGAGACATGTTAAGGAATTGTGCTTTATGCAACGTCATCAGATGATTATTAGACATGAAAAAGAGCTCGATCAAATTAAAAAGTATGATGATAAAATTCTTTACATTCTTCTCTCTTCATTAATTTATTTTTGCGGCTTGTTGCTAAAGAGCTATTGTGCATTATAGATTCTTTTTACCAAGATTATATACAGTTAAATTTGAATTTCGAGTCGTTCAGTAAACCAGGTTCAATTCAGTTCAGTTCATTTGAAATATAAAAGACCGTTAATTGATATGAATTCTAAACTGCCGTTAAACTCTAAAAAGAAAATATTTTATAAAACCAACAATCTGCTTGAATAATGCTGATTGATTGGAAAATCAACAACTCACTTAGCACCATGCCGACCTGTTTACACTCACCTTTCATTCTCCCGTATCATTAAATAACAATAAATTCTAAAATATTGTACATATTTATGTCCAAACAACAGAATGCTACAACGTAAAGAAGAAGAGCTCATAAAGCGTCAGACAATAGAGAAACGTGCCCTGCCGAAAAGAATTCGAGCCGAGAGGAAAGCTCGCGATATGATGTTCCGCGAATCTCTACGAATATCAATTCATCATGATCCAAAGGCTGAAGAAGATAAAATTAAAAAGGTAATCCACATTTTTTCAAGAAATAATTTTTTTTAAAAAAAAAATCTCATCAAATTAATCAAAATAATTGCAAAACATCTAATTTTTGTGCTGTTTCTAATTTGCTTAAACAGTTCCAAGAACAAGAAAAGAAGCGGTATACGCAAGAGCAACAACGCTTTGAAACGAAGCACATGAAGCAACTAGAAGAACTGCGAGCAAACTGTGATTCAACAATAAGGTATATAATATTTATTTTCATCTATGCCAATTAATTCGTCAATTTATTAACCATTTTTGCTAATTTATATTTTTTTTTTGGTACACAGAGAATTGGAGCAGATGCAAAATGAAAAGCGAAAAGCATTACTCGAACATGAAAGTGCCAAATTAAAAGAATGCGATGAAGCGCTCCAAAGAGAAATGCGCGAATGGAAAGCCATGCTTGTACCTAGAAAACAGGTGGGATTAATGTAAAATATTGTAAACCTCATGCCGAAAAAAAAAATCAACATTCATTCATATTGCTTATTATTATTGCTTGTTTAGAATGTGATGCTTGAAAGGGTGATGGAAAGATTTTGCTTGAAAACCATTAACAAATTTTTATTTTATTATTTCTCGTTCAAAAAACATGATTAGTCATACATGAAGTAATTGAAATTACACAATTTTTTTAAATTTAATTTATTATGCACCTCCTATGGTTTCATCTTGAGGATTTATATAGTATGTTTTTTTGTCAATATACTGAGCATATTTATTGAATGGTTTTGTTGACTAATGGAGAAACTATGTGGGAAATGGAGTGACTATTTTGAACTTCTTTTTGTAACTCTTATTGAGATTTAGAGAAGTTTGAAAGGTTATGAGTGGATTTACTAAGACCTGTCATATGTTTCAACATTTTTTGAGTATCTGATAGATATTTAGCATGTGGCTATTCAAATTTCATTGGTTCTTAATAATTTTTGTATTATAAATTATGTAACGGTTAAAAAATACTTAAAAAGGTTGAACAAAAGTGTTTCGTCGTTCTGTAAAATTTCACTTTAATTCAGTTCAGTTTAATTTAAATTTTTGAGAATATTTGAATTTTTGAAAGCGGTTAAAATTTGAATTTATTAAAACCGTTTAATTTTGAATTTATCTATAAAATCAAATTTTATGCATTTCTCAAATAAATCCTTTCAAAACAAAGTCACTGCTTTCCTACAAAATTATAAAAACCTATGCAAATTATGTTGAAGTTTGGGAACTTAATTCACCAATGGTAATGGTCAATGATTCATTTCACAGCTTACAATCCCAGCTACATAAGTTTTTAAATGTCTTCAAACTGCGATGAAACCAAAAATTTACTTTATTATTATTTTCAAAAAAAAAAGATCATCAAATTATTTATTATTAATCATGCAATCAATCAATCAATTCAGATAATCTGTAAATCATTAAGACATTTCTTCGCATGAGTATGTATTGTGTGACGTGAGTGTCTCGTATTTTATTATTATTGTTTGTATCGCTCATCTTTTTAATGTCTAAATTGATATGAACTAACATGAAAAAAATATGTTAACAAAAAATAATTTTCTACTTCCATTTTTAACCAAAATGCTTTCCCCAAAAAATTACAAAAAAATATTAATTAATCGTGTGGATAATGTAGCGAGTATTGGATGAAATATCACGACAAATTGATGATTATGAATTTAAATATGGACCGTGCGATCGATCAGACTTTGATGGAGAATTTTTCGTACCAGTTGAAGTAAGAAATCGAGTCAATAGCTCAAAAGGCTCATTACGTATACATGGTGGTTTATTGACAATTTCACGTTCGCGTACATTCTTGACATTATCAAATAATAGCAAGACATCAATACATAATTCTACGCCCGACTTGACACGTTCAGTTCCAAATACGCCAGGATCAAGTCATAAATTATCATTGACATCGTCATATGACTCAGTTTTAGAAGAGAATGAGGATGAAGGTGTAATAATTATCAAGAAAGGAAAAGAAAAGAAAAAGAATGGAAAAATGTATCATAATTCTGTTCAGCATATCTTTGATAATGTTCCAATAAGACGAAAATCTGAAGATTTTCTTGATTCACGCTCAACAAGTAGTAGCAATAGTAATCATATGGAAGCTGTTCAACGACAGCAACAGCATGTAAGACAAAGCTCCGATCAAGCGTATCGCTTAATTCCGAGAGTTAAAAAGCCAATGGCTGAAATATTGGCAAATCGTTCGACATATGAAATTAAAGAGTCGTCAAATTTCACAGCTTCAACATCGAAATCGTCAGCATCATTAAGTTCGGAGGGTGCTGTAAATTATACTCGATGGGGTCACGTAAGAGGTTCAAATTCATTTGCTGCCGACCTTAATGCATCGAATTTATCGACTTACACAATTCCAAGAGTCACATTGACTCATCAAAGAGCTCAATCGAGTGATCCGTCTTATAAAGCTGGTACATCGAGGAAATCACTTCCGGAAAATCGAGTTTCGTCCACATTCGTCATGAAACATGATATTAAGGATTCAACAGCTTGAAAGAATTAATAATTAATAAAGTAGACATTCCAAAGACCTTTTTCATCAATCCACATTATATAAATAGTTGTTGCCATGTTTTAGTTTATATTTATTATTGAATTTAGTTACCAATAGTGCATCACTAGCTGATGACTATACAATTAAACTATGAAATATGTTATAATTTAATTTAATTAATTCTGCTTCTTTATTAATTCAATTTATTTCGAATTAACCGATATTATTATGTAGCTATGCATTTATTATGAGTTTTGTAAGCATAAAAAAAACGTGGTATTGTGGACATACACGAAGTTATTTTTATTTTATTTCTTGCACTTTTATTTGAATGCAAAATTTGCAAGGTTTTAAGTTTGTTTGGATTATGATTAGTTCCTAATTTTTAAAAAATATTATATTGCTTTGCTTTATTTTTTTAGTTCTTTCAAGGTTTTGGTTGATTCATTTGGGTATTTTTTGGTGGGTTGTTCAATCTTTTGAAGCATTCTTGTGCAAAACTGATCTAATTTGGTCTATATTGAGGTTGAGAATGTAATAGGACTCAAACAATGCTTTTAAGCACACTAAGGTTCCATCAGAACATGTCAGGTGGTTTCATGAGACATTAAAGATGGTCCACAACTAGTTTAAGCCATTTTTTGCAATAAGGATTGAATTTTTGAGCATTTTTATCCTTAAAATTATCCTATTTTATCTATCATACTTCTATAAAGACTATTTAGTAGACTAGCCACGAACCAAGACTGTTCTAACAGAAAAAATATGACTAACATCCCAATAACTAATGCATCATAGTCAATATGTTAACATTCTTTGTCCTGTTCTGGTTGCATTTATTTATTTAAAACAAAAAATTCAGATCAATCCGTACTAAATTGATTCTAGTCCACAAGATCATGATGCTTAAAGCCATTTGTGATCGGTGTTGTATTATGTCAAGTGCTCTAGAACAGGTGCTAGTTGAAAGAATGTTTATGTGCATTAAACCACATTTTATCAAATAAATGAGCTTGGATTCTTGGGGTTTAATTCGTATCTTATTTAATGATGTCAATCAGATAAAAGTCTACAACGACAACTTTCTATCTCGGGTAGCCAGTTGTGTGAGCTTGATTCCAGCAAATCTAATTATAATGATCTGGAATTGATGATAAACATCAGAAAAAAACGAATAACAGCTCAGATTATATCGAAACCTCAAACTGTCTTGGCTCCCCAAGCAAGGTCGAATCCAAGTGAATACTTCGGGTTCACAATACTCCAGATATTCCAGAAACCAAGCTCAGTTAAAGTCAAAATTTTTACATACCATAAACAAAGGGCGTAGCTTAGTCCTTATAATTTTTTAAAATCTCAACATATTCACTTCTAACACCAAGCTTCAATCCTTTCAGTTATTCGACTTATTAAAATTCTGAACCACAACAATCCAGCTGCACTAGCTTGTAATAATCTGCATGACAGTAACGACAAAAGATTGAACACAACCAAATCAATATAAAGCTATGAATCAACCAAAACCGTAGCCTAATTAGTAGATTAGTAGAATAAAAACCCTTATTGAGCTTCCTTAAAGAACAAAATCCTAAAAATAAAAAAAAAAAATTGCCATTCCTACTTCCTCCTTTCTAATCTATAAAAACTACTAAAAAATCTATTTCTAATGAAAACCTTTTTTTTTTATAAAAGAATGAAAAAGTAATTAAAAACTATATTTAATTAAGCTATGGAGAGAAAAACAAAAAAAAAAATATTTTTAATAAATCAAATCTGCTTATTCCTATGCTACTTCCACTACTAAAGAAATTAAATGAATGATAAAAATAAATAAATCCCGCATCTAAAAGCAACATTTGTACTAGAAATACACACAAAAATGCTCTTTCACAAAATAACCATGCAAAAAAAAACTATATTTATACTGGTGATCTGTTCTGATGTTGACTATCGTAAAGGTTGGTGTCATTTAAAGTGAGAAATTAAAGTAAAAAAAATTAATAATCTTAAGAATATACTTCAAAATTCATGCCATGAATTTATATTTTTTTTTGGTCGATTTTGGAAGATGGTCCTGAGCTACGGATGAAGGCAGTGATGTTTAAACCTTCAAAAACAAAATAAGCTTAAACTGTTCAGACTTTAAGATCTAAAGCTGCTTGTTACAAGTCAAATGATAGTTTAACGAGTGTGAGTTTGCTGGAACTACCACTCAAACCTAGACCAACCGATTACAACCGAACCACTTCCTTGATGACATTTCTGCCTTTTAAGGCTGTCAGCCTTATTTCCAGTACACATGATTCGAAAAAGAACACGCGAAAAATTTCCCATGACAAGTCTCGAACCCATGATCGCTGAATCGGCATTGCAAAAATTGAACTTCGAAGTATTAAACCATTCAGCCACCGAGCCACTTTAGCTCACTTTAAATTAAAGCTTATTCATCATTAAATTGGATCTACTTTAAAGACTTACTTCTGGAACTTTCTAACACATCATAGCTTCTGGATAATATTTTTAATCTCCATCAAATCACTTTTAGAGGGGGTGAGGTTTGAGATTTTCTCAAAGTTCAAATTTTGTGACAACAAAAGTCTTTACTTTGTTAAAAGTTAATGGTTTTTCGCATGTCCTTTGTATGTCTGGGATGTGAATTATAGTCAGAATCCTAATACTCGAGGTTCTTGATGTTTGATAGAATTCTAATCCTTGGGAAGTTAAAGTCCAACATATCTAACCTGGAATCTTAAATCTTAAAAATAGAACAATAAGTCCATTGTAGTTCAAGCCTGCTTAATTAACATTACTGAATTCAATAATCTCAGCAAAATCGACCCAAAAAAAAGGAATTCCAAACCATGCATGACAAAACTACTTTCAGATTGCAAAGTATGTTATGTAAAAAGAAAGAAGTTCATGTCTTAATATTTCTTCATCCCTACAATCACATCAAATTTTTGTAATTCTCAAAGTTTCATCCACTAATTAGCTATTTTTGAATTTTCTTCCTGAAAACTTAGGTTTTAGAAGATTCTTTCGCTCAGCAAATGGATGAAATGGATAGCAGGTACAACACAATGCAATCGACATCATCAATAAGGAGTAGCTTTTCATCATATTCTGATACATAAGCTGAAATTACATTTTATGTAGACGACAATTTTTTTTAAAATTCAATTCGGACTAAATTAAAAAATCAGACATTTATTACAAAAACAAATTTATTCAAGTATAAAGAAAATAGTTAATGAGAAATTGATGTCAAGGTTTGGGAACTTTTGAAGATTTTGCGAAGCTAATGTTGTAAATTTTGATGTTATAAACCCAATTAAGGCTCAAATTTTGCTATTTGTTGAAATGTTGAACGTAAAAAGTAACAATCAGTTGCTAATTGACTGCTAGATATATGCTTATCCTTGTATCCTGTTATATTATTAATGCTAGCATGGTTAAGCTCGTAATTTAGTTAAATTATCGTCAAATTTTGCAAGAAAAACTTTTACAGCATCAAAAGTTCACATTCTTTGGCATTAAAATAACGAAAAATGAGATAAATTGTATGCTAACTTATATGGCAACTTGTAGATAGTTTCGTATGAAAGGGACGAAAAAAACAGACAGCTTTTCACAGCTTTGTTGTGGAAAGTCGTGAAATTTTCTTATGATGAAAATTGTATATCAAATATTAGATCGATGAGACTTGCTGAAAAAAAAAACAAAAATAAATCTTTTGTTAATTATTTTACTTCATTCTTTGAAAATTTATTGATTATTATATTAAACAAAAAAAAAAACAATGATTAGAAATTAAAATGAAAAAAATTTCTTAATTTAATTGAAAAACATAAAAAAATGATGAATAAAAGTTTAAAAAATTAACTTATTTAAATTGTGTTTTATTTTGTAAGCCGCATGGCTGATACTCACCACTAGACTACCGAGGAATTTATATGTTGCCAGGTCACTAAGTTGGTCTGAACGACAAAATCTTGAGATTGGTGTAACTTGACTTTGCTCTGTTTACCATTTCTCATGGCTATCATGAAGCTTCCACTGCAGTGTCATCGTCTCGTAAACTTGGCTGCAGTTAAAATAAAATAACAGCTATGTTGACGGATAAATAACAAAGCAGCATTTCAGCACCGTCTCATCAACTAAAACCTCATTGTTGTTTTCGTTGATCTTCTATCAATCCTTCTAATCACCTTAGCGTGTTTTGCAGGCACTATATTGACATTTAGTCGATATGGCATAGCTAGAATTTGAAATAAGGTTGATTTTTCTCTAAATCACTATTCTGGCTACTTTACTCGCCTATTCATTTATAATATGGTGTGGTGCCAATAGAAACGTTTCAATGCATTACATCGTTGAGGTTGGTTTTGTTTCGGTAAGGTTCTCAAAATAAAAATTTCTCAATTTTGAAGAAATTTAAGAATTAAAGGTAACAAGGAGGAAATCACAACACATTCCACTGGCAAGATTTTGAAGTATTTTGGTTGATTAAATCATTCTAAACGACATTAATGCTTGAAACATTTAAATCTCTTATGTTTTTCGTTTCGCTTTAAATCGTAAAATTTCGTAACGTTCATCAAAAATTCAAACTGATTCTTCAAGTTTCCTATTCAAAAAGCTTTCGTTTTAAAAAGCTCTGCCTGATCATGCTTAATCTAATCTACAAAATGTGGATTTATAATTAAGTAAAGTCGATCTTTAGATTTCATTAATCCAAGATTAAAATTTCTGATTTGATTTTAGTTAAATCCAAACACCTTTCAAAGACATTTGAATAATTTAAATTTTTTTTTGCTTCTTCAAACAAAAAATTATGCAAATTATTATCTAATATTTATTTTAAAGATTCACATTCAATGAGCATCGTAGATGACATACAAATTAAATGCACCATATTAATTAATCAAGTTTTCACTAATCTACAGTCGACCTCAATTGATTTACTCTCAATTAGTTAATATCAAGGTGGTTTTGCTCTCTTGCAGAAAAAAATTGATCCTTTAGCGCCAATTAGCAATTCTTTTTTTTCTGTGACTGTTCGAATGTTGTGAAATATTGTGTGTGATGTGAAAAAAAATAGAAATAAAAGGAAAGTTCAATGTCACGATTTTCTCTCTCTTTCTCTTTCGTTTATGCTTGTTTGATTTGTATGGATGTGTTGTGTGACTTACATTGCTAGTCTTGTGAAGAAGAAGTTAAAGAGGTAAAGTTTTGAAGGCTTTACAATCATGAACTTGAAATAATTTATTTGACATAAATTTTATTTTTTTTTGGCTCATTTGGATAATGACTTGGTATCAAGTTTTTGATATTGAAATTAGGAATGAGTAGATATGGAATTGAGTGATAGTGCAGAGTGTTTTAAAAGAGCAGAATCCGTCACTTATCTGCTCATTGCACTTAATATCAATGTGCTGAGCATATTCCAAATGAGAAAAATTAAAAAGCCGTCAGTCGACGCACATCTCGTCATTATGAAGATTTGGCGCCAAACTAGATTTTCCAAATGTTATTTTTAAAACCCAATTTTCATTGATAAATTATCTCAGGTTTGTCTTAAGAGCTTTTAAGCATTCTAAACCCGTAGAAGTTTGGGGTTTAATCAGAGTTGCGATATCTCACAGGCAATCACCTGTCACTTACCTGGTAACAGGCAAAGATTATATCTACCTATCACAGGCAATATCTGTGACATATCTGTTACCTGTACCTGTGATAAGCGACCTGTTTCGCAACTCTGGTTTTGATCCCATAAAACTACTGGCTGTGATTTTAAGCTCCATTAGATTGCACTTAGATGCTTAAGTGTGGAATATTAATATGATGACCCGGAGCCTAGACACTAACAGCAGCACACAGTTTCAGAACAAATGCTCCACATTGAACCTAAGAATACTATAGCTTAATTTATCAGACACTGCCATTCTCCAAAAAAACCCACCAGAAAAAAATTAATAAATGCTGCAACACAATTTTTTTGCACAAGCCATCTCAATTCATTCACCTTGAAAGACATTAAAAAAAAACCCTCGGAAAAAAAATCTCACGGCCGCCCTACTTAACTGTCTTAAATCTCAAAAATCTCCCCTGACAATGCACATCAAGTATTGCATTAATGATCACATTGAACCCTAAAGCAGCATGCTTCATTATATTGTTGAAAGTGAATTAAAAAAATCATGCAAAATTTCATTTGAAATTATTTTTTCTCCATTCAACAAGCTCAAGCGCAACATGCTTGACATTCAAATAGAAAAGATCAAGATCTAACGATATTGCAAAGCATAAAGTTTTATATTTCTAATGAAAGAAGAGAAGAAAATAGAGAATTTTTTTTTTATTTTTTACCTCTCACAAGATGAGATCAGGCGCGAATAAAGGTAAGAGAGAAAGAGACGAAGCGAATAAAATTGTGCAAACAACTTTCCATTTCCAATTTCAAATTTTTCATGATCCAAATTTTTTTCTAGCAAAAAAAAATTATTTTCTTATTTTGAAATCAAATTTTTGATAGAAAGTGAAAATTAATGCTCGATTGATGACTAAAGCTTGACGTCATGACGAATAAATTAATTCCGTTTGCATTAAAGCATCAATAACCTTGCTATCAAGAACTTGTTTCTCATCTCAACTGCTTTATGGACTTAATAACCGTTTTTTTTTTGTTGACAATAGCTTTTTGTGTTTGCGATTTGATAATCCGATAGTTATAGATGTGTAAATTTTTACGTGAATGACTAGTTATGCGAGTGGGTGATTTTTTTTCGCTAGTGAAATTCAAGGCGTCATTATGTCATTCCAGGGCTGGCAAACAATGCTCTTGCTAGTAAATTTAACAAACATTTATTCCCAATACATCTAGACAAATTCGTTATTTGAATTAGTTCTAAAATAAGAACCATTAGAACTCCTTATTTTAGAACTTGATATCCGTTAAAATTTTAAGAATAAATTGATGTTTTTGCACTTTTTACTTGGTAAAGCTACTTTGTATACTACTTAATATACAAAAATTAAATAAGTCAAAAGACGTAATTTTATAAAATAGTGGAAATAGTAATTTTTCCAAAGCTTAAATTTTGTAAACAAAAATTTTAAACTTAAACATTGATGAAAATTAACTTAATATCATTATTATTAAATCTTATTATAATTTATTCTTTGTTCAGAATATGATTGCAAGCTTAATTAGGCTTTATTCATTGTAATTGAGTGTTCTGGATGCATTTGGATTGTTTCTGGATTGTTTCTGAACACAAAAATAAGAACCATTCGCCACTTGTGGGAACTATTCATTTGTTTTTCAGTGGTTCTCAAACTGTGTGCCACGAAATAATTTGAAACCTTAAATTGACACTCTATTTTCATGTATTGTGACCTAAAAAAGCTCTTTAGAATCCTTTAATCTGCCGCTAATATTTTTCATTAATAAAATGTGCCGTTTAGCAAAAAAGTTTCCGAAACAATATGCTAAGTTTTGGTTTTATTTACTTTTCTAGAGTTTGTAGTGAAATTTAAGAAGTTTCCTGACTTCCAGAAGTTTCCTGAGCATATACGCTTTACAAAGTAATTAAAACAAGTTTTTGATTTATAAATTTTATTTAAATTTTCGAAGATTTATTAATTATATTACATGTAAGAAATAATAAATTCGGTTAAAAGATCACACTTTTCTTCAAAATTTTCAAAGTTTTTCACAAAATCTCTCGTCTTAGTTAAAAAAATTTTAAAATTATTTAAATTTTCATCAAAAATATAATTTTGCATGAAGATGAGAATCGATTCAATAGGTTCTTTTTCATAATATTTTAAAATAAATGGTAGTAAAATGTCTGAATTTGTTATCAAGTTTTGAATTTCTGTCATATTAAAATAGTTTTTGTAAAAATTAAGCATTTTTTCATATCTGTAACTAATGAATGCTATTTGTAGAATATTAAGAGGTGGAAATAAAAGGCATATAATATCAGAAGTACTAACAAATGCTATTTGTCTTAACTTAAATTCATCTGTGCATTCAATTTCTACTTCTTGACTCAAAATTAGCTTTTGTTCATTTTTTGTTGTATGATATGTAAAAAAATCCCAAATCATATCAAAATTTTTATATTTAAAGTTATAATATAATGTTATTTGAAGAATTTGATTGTCTTGAAAAACTTTAAAAATTTCTGAATTTGAGAATATTTTAGTGATTTTTGTCAAAAACATTTCTGGAAAAATTTTGTTTTCAGTTAGGAGAACAGTTGGAAGTGCATCTATAAGCCACTCCTTTTGTTCTTGAATTGTCAACTTTTCATAAATTATTTTCAACATTTTTTGATCCAAAATGTAAATTTCCTTAGTAAGAACGTTAACTGGTTTCAAAATAGTTCTTGAAAGAAGAAGTTCCTTATATTCATTAATTGTTAAGTTTTTCACAATAGCTTCAAATACTAAATTTGGATTTTTACTTTTTAAAAGGTTCTTTTCTAAATTATAAGGAGTTTTTTTTAAAATCCTGCTTCCAGAGTTCTCGTTTTTATGAAAACAATACAAACTGAACAACATTATTCCTTTCTGATTAGTTCCATAAAGAAACTTTTGCATTTCTGTTTCATTTAAATAAGGTTTTGTGGAATATTTAATGAATTCAAGATCTACTTCATAATAATACAATCTATAATTAGGATCATAACGAGCATAGTTAAATAATTCTGTATAAAAAGTTTTATCCTGATTGATCTTAAGTATATCAATGAGAAGTTCGTGATCTTTTGAGAAGAAATTTAATAAAATTGGCATAAGTTGCATTCTGTTAACCTCAAAAAGATTTTCTAATAATCTTCGATATTTTGTTTTTATAAGTTTTGATAGTTTTGAATTGAATTTTCCCGCCTTTTGTTTCCTTTGAAGGTAAGAGTCAATGAAATAAAATATTTGCTCATTTTCAAATGATCCACAAAATATTCTCAGCCTTAAATCTAATTCCTCAATTGTCGAATTATCCAGTTCATTAAGATTATAGATTTTATCAATTGTTAATTTAGCAACAAGGAATTCCGCAAATAAATTGTTGATAAATTTTCTTTCATTGTTTAATATTCCTATACTTAAAAAGTCATCGATTGTATGATTTCTAGGAGCATTAGGAAACCTACTTTTCCTTTTAATATATTTTTCTTTGTTCATGACAAAAGTGAATGACTTCGATAATTTGTTTAGTGCGTTTTCCTGCAAAGTATTAATCAAGATGTTTGTCCAATTTTTAAACTGCATCCTTTCAAAGTCTGACTTTATCCATAGATCAATTTTCATTGTTAAAAAACTTTCATAAATCTCATAGACAGTTTCTATTTCGACATTGCTTTTCCCATTTGACATTAATTCAGCAATCATTTTTATTAATGATGCTTTGTCATGATCCTCGACCATGTTAATGACATTCTTTAAATTACGATTTTTTTCTATAAAAGAAACTGCCGATTTATTTGAGTCAAAGTTTTGTAATAATATTTCATTACTAAATTCTAATGGAACGAATATGTAAGTTTTTGATGAGAACATATTACCATATTTGTTTGAATTATCCAGATAATTATCATCATTCCCGACAGACAAAAATTGGATGTTTCCAGTTTTGAGCCATATTTTTTTAAGTACATTATCAACTGTCTGAATGCGTTCTAAGGGGGAATGTTCCTTGATGCCATCCCACAACAGAATTGTCTTATTGGAAGTGAATAGATTATTAAAAAGTTTTCTTTCAAATTCATTGTTTGAGCTTAGATTTAAATTTTTTTCAAGAAATCGAATAACATCTTCCAAGCTTTCATGTTCTTTGTCTCCATCCTTAAGATTATTAAAGTTTATAAGCGAAACCCAAAATGTTGGAAATCTTTCTTTGATTTTTGTTGTAAATTTTTGAAATGTTACAGTTTTTCCAGCTCCTGATTTAGCTGATAAGATGAAGAATCTAGTTTTTAAAGTTTCTTCCAATAGTTTATTGAAATCTAATTTATGATCCAGCAATTTGTCAACAACTTTGGATTTTCGAATGTCCTTTAATTTAAAACCAGAAGATTTACATTTACGAAATTCAGTTCTATCTGTAATATCCAATATCATTTCATCATAGTCACCTTCAATATCATCATAGTTTGAATAATTTTGATAAAAATCTTCAAAAGTCATGTTCTTCTTCATTGAGTAGTTACATCTTTTGTCCACTTCACCATCGTTCACATACACCATAAATTTAAAGTAAATTTCATAAATCATTTCATCAAAAAAATTCCTTTCAATGTAAAATTTTGTGTCAAATGTTGGCATTTTCTGCACGACAAGTGCTTTGTTGTCTAATACATCAACGATTTGTTGAGATGAAAGTGACTCCAAAACTACTTGACTAACATCTCCAAACTTAATAGTTTGATTTTGAAATGTAAAATTTGAATTTAAAACTTTTTGCTTTAAATTTTCTGATAAGATTTTCCAGTTGTGATAAATAAAATTATGGAAATAAAAAGCACTAGAATCGCTTAAATTTAGTGGCTTGTTCCCCTTTAGCATGTTTGAAATATGATCAGATGTTAACTTTTCATAAACTTTTGAACTTTTTGGAAATAAATCATAAAACTCTAGTCTTACATTTTTATAGTCAATCGGTGCTGTTGCAATTTTGAGCTTATCAGAATTAGACAAAGTTGAGAACTTATAAGTTGGCTTGTAAAATATCGATCGAGTGATAAAGAATCCAGAAATTATTATAATTATCGCTAATAATCCTCCAATAATTGAAATCAACTTCAAATTCCTGATTTTCCTATTCTTAGTTTGCACTTCAAATTCAGCTTTTGTTTCTATATTTGGCAGCGCTTCCTTCATGTCTGGTATGACTTTTTGTTCAAAAACTTCAAATAATTTGATAAAAATCTTTCGAACTTCTTCAAATTTATTCTGATCATTAAAATACAGCATTATTAAATGAGGAACGCGAACGATGAGCTCTGCATGCTGCATATTATGTGGATAACAATTAAAGACCAGCTCAATAATTTCCTCTTCACTACAACTTCCTTTACATAATGTTAAAATATTCTCAAATTCAATTTTTGCTTCATCATCTCCAAGACTGTAAGGCTTAGCCAAGTTCTTATAAACCAAATTTACAGCATAGTGACACATTTCATGGGCTAATGTCCCAAGTGCATCATATTTTGTGCTTTCATTCAGCAGCTTCTTGACTGCAACATAAATTCTGCCAGTTGAATAAAATAATCCTCTTGTTGTCTCATTAGCTGTTGGATCCATAACCTCAACTGAGTCACAATTAAAATCAAAGATAATTCGGAAGTTCCTTGATGCTGCAACAATCATCAAAATCACTTGAATTAATGGATTCTCATTTAGAACTTCAAATGCTTTTTGGATGATTTCGTATTTCTTTTCAGTTTCTATTGTGCCATGTCCAAGACGAGAATTTGACAACAAGACATGCATGTGATTTTCAGGTAAGAACTTTGATTCTTTATAATGAATTTCCCGTAATTGCTCTTTGTCACTTTGTCTCATTGAGTCTTTAATCTCACTGAACTTTTCATGTGGACCAAACTTGATATTTTCGGATATAAGAAGTCTATAGATATCAAATAATTTGTTCCTTAATGCAAATGCTAGTGCTGATTCATTTTCTAGATTGTAAAAATGCTTCATCTTTCGATTATTGGACACAATTTCAAGCACCCTTTCAGTATTCCTCAATATCATTGCTTCATTTAGTTCATGACTGATTTGTGCAAATTCCTTAATGCTATCTGGACACTCCTCAATGTTAATTGAATCTGGAAATTTATGATTTGACTTAAGAAGTTCGAAAACAATTTCAAAATGTCGTCCATTCCAAGCCAAAGTTTGAGCATTCATGTCATTTACTTCTGTGCTAATTCCACCGTCCAAAATGAAATTTGCTACATAAGCATTTCCCATCTCTGCAGCAATAAGTAGTAAGTTGTAGTTTCGATGATCAGCTAATAGATGCAATTCATATGAATTAGATTCTGGATGGATTTGTACTTGATTGTGAAGTCCTATGAATATTAAGTGATAAATTAGTATAGAATTATTATTTATGGAAGTCTAGACTTACCCAAATGTCCGCTTCGCAATGAATTTCCAAGAAAAGTTGCAATAAATTCAAACAGTTGGAGATTATTCATAAAGTCATATCCTTTGTATATTTTGAATATCAGAAAATGTTGAATTTTGTTGGATTTCCAGTACAGATAAAATCTTGTTTCATTTTCTGTGGACAGCAATATAACAACAGAATTGATAACGAATTTATTTGCCAGTTTGCATAATTCTGCTGAATTTAATGCTTCCTTTACTTGTAGCTTGAATAGATAAACTTTATCATTGACTTTTAGCAGGTTTGATAACTTTGGTGATTCAAAATAGTTGAAAATGTTGTCGATGCTTTCACAATTGTCAACTGTAGTTAATTCTGATGACAATCCAGCGTCAAAGTTTGAATTGGATAAACAAACTAGTTCTAGATCATCTGAAATTTTCAGTTATAAAGTAGTTGTAGTTTAAAAGGGATATGCAAACAAATATTTTTTGGTAGCTTAGAACATTTTTGATTAAGCTCAGGCTAACTCAGTATCTTCGGAACTTATTGCTAAAGTTTTATTTTTAAATTTTGTAGAAAAACAAAACAATTTTGTAGTTTTTATCCTAAGTTCAATTATTTCTTGCTACGATTTTAAGACAACTGATTAATCTATTTCATCGATTAGCATTTTACTATGATACTTGCTATTTATGATACTTACTTGTTTTAACAATTTTGTCATTATCAAATAAACGAAAATATTGAAAATCTGAAAACCAACTTAGAAAATTCCTCAAATCCATATCAGCTTGTATTAGATTTTATTTTATTTTTTTAGAACAACCATATGCTTAACATACGACAGCTACTGAAGAACTGAAAATCATTCTAAATTCGCATAATGTTTACATAAACAAAAAAAAAATATGTTTTGATAACACACACATAGAATTTAATTGTTTTATAAAAGAATTTATCAATTTGAAAACCAAAAAATTTTTAACATCCGGCAAACTTTAATTTTATATATATCTAATTTAGCATGTATCAAATTGTTTCTTGGTCCATAAGACTTGAATTGCTACATTGAAAAATAATATAATGTTAAAGGACTTTAATTTCATGCGTAATAAAAATACAACAATAATTAAATTAATGTCCTAATATGAAGCTCTTAATCGACCCATTTAGCTAGGTCATCACCTTGCCTACACATGCATGTCTCAGACCTTGATCTAATAGATGAATAGGACACGATTACCACAGTCAAAACTTATCAAGGAACAATAATCAAATCAATTTTTAATTTACTCAATAGCTCCTCACGTCATGGATTTATTTTTGCATAGAAATTACCTTGAAACTATTTTGTCTTTTTTTTTCTTCGTTTAATATTATTCGTGTTATAAGAAACTGAAAAAAATTTATACAATGTTAAGTTTGCCGAAAAAAATCAGCGACCTTCACGAAAATAGACGCCATAAAGTAATAAAGTTGACAAGCTCATAGTTAGAGTTGTGATAGAATATGATGATTATTATGATTGATCACAACCATTGCAGTTATTTCTTAATGAGTCATTTTTCTTTGCAAAGACTCACGGATTTGCAATTTTTTGTGGGCTTTAAAAATGATGATTTTTTGTGGCAGTTGTTCTGAAGTTGTGGGTCACGGTATAATAATCCGAATAGCATTGTGATTCTGGCATAGTGCTGAACTTGAATCGGATCCAGCACCATGTCAGAGTTAAGCCAGCTTGGTGCTGTATTTCTAATTTCTGAATTAAGCAGGTTAAACACGTTTTTATGGCATTTAATCATATAGTCAAATAACCCTAGCTAGCCCAGTAGTAGGCGCATGATGCTGACAATCATAGAACGTGGGTTCGAGTCCTACGTAAAATCCTTTATGTACTAGAATGTTTAATATTGTAATTTATTGTCCTATCCGAAAAAGTGCTTGACAACCTTATCCACGCTACTCATGACTACCTTAAGTCACGAAAAAGACAACCAAGATTCTCACAAATGCCTCTCTCGTGCCTTCACATGTAATAGAAATCGTCAAAATTTACACTTCACACTTTATTTTGTACATCATATTATGACAATCATTTGCTTATTGATTATGATGAAACCCGTTAAAGTAAAAAATGATCATCACGCAATGTAAAATGGCAATAAATGCTGGTAATCAACACCACATCATCTCATCTATCCACTCATTTAAGTCTCAAAGTCAAAACAGTTGCCAAAAAAATAGCAAAAAATGTCAATGTGTGTGTCTGTATGCGACGAAACGACTATGCCATTTAAGAAGAAGTTTTATTTAATGGGCAAAAACTATTCAGAAAAAGATTGCAATTCAAGCGAGCAAGGCAGCAACCAGGAAACATAAAAAAGCCATCATTTGTATATTTGCATTAAAGGCATTGAGCGCATTATTAAAATTTCGTGGATATAAATAAATACTATTTATAAACAAAAATTTTGGGGGTGCCTGAATGGATTTAGAGTGACTTGTAGATTGGCTGTAGTAAGAATTTGAATCTTAACCGTGAAACACGATTTTTAATTTTTTTCTCTCTATGATGACGACTTGTGCAGCTCAATCTTTTCGTTTTTATTTCTAACATGAGCGCACTACACAAAATGTGTATGACCTCGAAAGTTACGAGTCTAAATGGATTTTCATTGCCAAATTTTTTGATAACATAACCATATGTAATAGTGTGACTGTATATATGACTTTTTATGTAGCATGTGTATGTACAGTGTTTATCACTTTTTCCTATTACTCTTTGTAGCTATGACAAATCATTTTAAAGCCTGTTTCTATGCAGTCTGTGTTAATTTGTCTGTATTATGTTTGACATAATTTATTAAGTATCTAGTTACTCGTGCTTTCGGGATATTGATTAATTATTGCTTATTAGCTGTGATCTGATCGTTTCTGTTGTAATTAATCAAATCTGGAAGCAATTAGCATATTTTAAATTTGAGGTTTTGTTTTTTTGGTTTGGGATGAAAAATGCATCTGTGGATTAAAGACTGTCAACTTTTTATGGAACCAAGTTCTCAAAATTTTATCATCAGTGTTCATGTCTTAATGCAAACTTCAACTTGACTTTGAAAACAGCCATGCAGATTTTATCTTAAACAATAAACCTCAAAAGAAAGAGCAAAGCCTTCAAACTAGACATGGTCATGTAAATTTTTGCACCAAACTCTTTTAACATAAAAGGTTAAATTTGGAAATGAATTTTCGCCACATAGAACCTTGCGCTTGAAAGATTTATTGTGTTGGTCAGCTTGTGATAGCCTTTTTCTTAAGTTGTGGCATAAAAATCAAGGATTCAATTGTCAGGGGTCGAGTTGATGTGCTTATTCAAAGCTGATTAACTTTAGGAATATTAGGATTTAGAATTGGGAAGTGCATGAACGTTTCAGGCTTAGAAGCAAAACCAAAAATGAGTTGGATATTAGAAAATCTATGAGAAGCATTCTTTTTGAGTTGTGAGTCCTGAATTAATCATTCCCTGACGAATTCTAGACTATTCAACAAGCCACAACCTTCATATATTCAAAAATTCTTGATTCAAGCTTTATTCTAGCTAATGCACTTCCGATTCTCCTACAATATTTCAAACTTGTTCAATTACATTGCATAAAACCTTTTTTTGTGTCGTTTACAAATTTTTCAATCTTCTGACTAGAGATAGGGGAGAAACTTATAACGATGATGATTGAGGAACCCACATTTTATAGAAAATTAAAGTCTTGCCACCATGATTGCTATTACTAAACTTATGTGACATTGAAAAGTAAATTATGTACATAGGCTGATAAGGGAGAGACTTTTACATTTACACGAACACAAGCATTAGAAGTGAACATGAAAATTTCATTTATTTTGGAACATCCATTTCAACATCAATTGTCCTTGATCTTTAATCCTCGAAACAAATCTTTTTTCAAAGCCTAGACTTTATCGTCCATTTTTTTTAATTGAAATTCACCTTCAAATGTCTTGGTCGTTGATAATAAAATGAACTTGAAAGTATTTACACAACATTAACTTGCGGCTTCTTTCTAATTTTAGTTGTCAGGCTATTTTCATCTCCAATAATTAATAAAAAATATGAAAAATTATCAAAAAACATTTGTCAACCACGTGTGTTTTGATATTTTTCATTACCGCATGTGCTACAAACAAGTGTTTTAAATTTGTAGCAATTGACGTTATTTAGATCTTTGAACAGCTTTGAATTCCACGGTACTTGAATGAATTTCGTCATGTTTATTATTTTAAACAGAGCTTCAAGTCGACTTGAGGGGACTTAGAATTTGGATTAACTTAAGCATAGAGTCGACTAAGACTCGACCTAACCTAGGCGAATAAGAACTTTGGAACCAGTTTCAAAGGTTAAATGGAGAACCTTACCATAGTCACAGTCACAATTAATTTAGATTTAGAAGTGAAGAACATTTAATTCTGATTATAAGTTAAGGAACCCCGAAAATCACTAAAAACAGGCTCTCCTTTTAGATGCAGATTAATAACTTGATAAATGTGACAATTTCAAGATTATATTTGTGTAAATTTTAACAAAAAGTCCTTGTATTGATTTGCATAACTTGTTATTTGGAAGATTTGGCTATTATGCATTTTTGACTAAAGTTTGTTTTGGGGTTTTTTGCTCATTTCCTTAATGCCATTTTAGCAGCTTAATTGTAATGTCAACTTATACCAGTTCTGCATAATTTGTTGTTGTAGAATATTGTTGACTAAGGAGTGCGAGTGAATGAGCTCGCCAAACCTATGCAATTCTAGACTATCAAGCTACTTGGGTTTTTAAAAAATCTCTTTTTTGAAAGCATCAATTTCTCCTTTTTTTTTTCAGATGACCTGAATTCACCTGTTTACATCATGTAAACTTCACTCCTTAGCGAATTAAGCCACAAATAATTGGTTTAAATTCTGTTTAAACTTTAATTGCCGAAATAAATTTCTTTCCATTTCAAAACTTCCATCAATCGATTAACACACAATTTTTTTTTCAAGTATCCTTGAAGTCATTAATACCGTTTCAGTGCAGTAAATCTAATTTAATCGATTACGGAAGTTCAGATTATGAATGTTTTTATCCTAGCTTATAATTGATCTTAATTTCACAGCAATTCCGAAACAATAATTTAAGATAATTAATAAAATTGTTATACTTTTAAGTAAGTGCATAACTTGTGTTACTTAAAGTAATGTTCATAAAGATTAATTAATTTTGATATTTTCATAAGAATTCTCTCATGAAAATTCAGTAAGGAGTTGTGCGTTAGTGACGTTTTGGAGATAACTGAATAGAGGAGATAACAGAACATCCTCAAACAGTCGATTTTTAAACATCATAAGTTAAAGTTCCCAAAAGTTCAAATGCTCAAAATATAATTCGACTTCCATCAAAACTCAAAACAATTTATGAAGAAGCAAATCATAATGCACGTACAAACATGTTTTTGGCAATTGATTTTGAAGTTCGACAGCTGAACAACAAGGAAATGACGGTTTAATAAAATCATAATAAGGCTCGTTAAAGACTGAAAATGTTTCGTGCTAATACTCAATTAAGCTTTACTAGAAAAGGAACTGCAAGTGTGTAATTAAACTGGTTTTGGTATTTGAGCAATATTAATCTGTTCCATCCAATTTACTGAATTAAAAGTTGATCAATTGTTTCAGTCAAGATTAGAGCTTAAATGCTCTTTGGCTTGATATTTAGGAGCAGCTTGTATGGAATGATAAATGATCGAGACTTAATCTATATCCTGTACTATTAGCTGATGATCTGAAGATAACAATACAGCTGCAATAATAGCTTTGACCCTATAAAGTTTTCCGATTCATCTACTCAGCCTAATGTTACTAAATCAATCAAAATAGTTTTGTGCCATTTATTTCTGTTGAGTCACAACTGTTTTAATGAAATTAGCAAATTCGTGATTTTGCTTTCTTTCTATTTCAATGGTTAAAAAATTGTGTCAAATTCGATTAAAATAATTGTTTTAGAATCATGAATTTTGTTAAGTTTTAAAGGCAAGACATCAATAAAGAATTTAGTTTTCGTTGTCAACAAGCACATTGAGTGATAATGTAAAGGCAATGACATTTGAGACTTTGCTACGGATTCAAACTACTTAAAAACTTTCATACTAAAGTCATCTAAATAGATAAAGGACGTAGATAATAACATGAATACTAATTTTGGTACAACAATTAGATCTCAAGTCTTTAGAACCAATAAAAAATTTGCTGCATGTCAAGATTAGCAGTTTGCAAACATTAGCGATCCGGATGCTTAAAAATTTTTATTTTAAAACTTGATAAGTTTTTATTAAAAATATATAAATTATGTATGTTATCAGAACTTATGTTTGTGTCCACGCGTATAGCATAAAAATATTTTGCAATTGTACAATTAACTTCAGTTCTTTAATTGCTTCAATCCAATCAGTATATGGTCAGTAAAGAGATAAAATTAATTGAATATTTTAAAGACTACCATGGAAACGATTAGTTGTCTAAATTGGTTTAAGAATTTTGAAAATTTTCGTCTTTTTAGTGATGATAAAAAAGTTAAATCTAGTAAGTATTAAATTGTCGAAAACCTTGCTGAATTACGGTATTAGTTATTTTAAAATTTCAGATGATCTAGAAGTAGTTTGTTTATCCAATTCAAACTTTGACGCTGGATTGTCATCAGAATTAACTACAGTTGACAATTGTGAAAGCATCGACAACATATTCAACTATTTTGAATCACCAAAGTTATCAAACCTGCTAAAAGTCAATGATAAAGTTTATCTATTCAAGCTACAAGTAAAAGAAGCATTAAATTCAGCAGAATTATGCAAACTGGCAAATAAATTCGTTATCAATTCTGTTGTTATATTGCTGTCCACAGAGAAAGAAACAAGATTTTATCTGTACTGGAAATCCAACAAAATTCAACATTTTCTGATATTCAAAATATACAAAGGATATGACTTTATGAATAATCTCCAACTGTTTGAATTTATTGCAACTTTTCTTGGAAATTCATTGCGAAGCGGACATTTGGGTAAGTCTAGACTTCCATAAATAATAACTCTATACTAATTTATCACTTAATATTCACAGGACTTCACAATCAAGTACAAATCCATCCAGAATCTAATTCATATGAATTGCATCTATTAGCTGATCATCGAAACTACAACTTACTACTTATTGCTGCAGAGATGGGAAATGCTTATGTAGCAAATTTCATTTTGGACGGTGGAATTAGCACAGAAGTAAATGACATGAATGCTCAAACTTTGGCTTGGAATGGACGACATTTTGAAATTATTTTCGAACTTCTTAAGTCAAATCATAAATTTCCAGATTCAATTAACATTGAGGAGTGTCCAGATAGCATTAAGGAATTTGCACAAATCAGTCATGAACTAAATGAAGCAATGATATTGAGGAATACTGAAAGGATGTTTGAAATTGTGTCCAATAATCGAAAGATGAAGCATTTCTATAATTTAGAAAATGAATCAGCACTTGCATTTGCATTAAGGAACAAATTATTTGATATCTATGGACTTCTTTTATCCGAAAATATCAAGTTTGGTCCACATGAAAAGTTCAGTGAGATTAAAGACTCAATGAGACAAAGTGACAAAGAGCAATTACGGGAAATTCATTATAAAGAATCAAAGTTCTTACCTGAAAATCACATGCATGTCTTGTTGTCAAATTCTCGTCTTGGACATGGCACAATAGAAACTGAAAAGAAATACGAAATCATCCAAAAAGCATTTGAAGTTCTAAATGAGAATCCATTAATTCAAGTGATATTGATGATTGTTGCAGCATCAAGGAACTTCCGAATTATCTTTGATTTTAATTGTGACTCAGTTGAGGTTATGGATCCAACAGCTAATGAGACAACAAGAGGATTATTTTATTCAACTGGCAGGATTTATGTTGCAGTCAAGAAGCTGCTGAATGAAAGCACAAAATATGATGCACTTGGGACATTAGCCCATGAAATGTGTCACTATGCTGTAAATTTGGTTTATAAGAACTTGGCTAAGCCTTACAGTCTTGGAGATGATGAAGCAAAAATTGAATTTGAGAATATTTTAACATTATGTAAAGAAAGTTGTAGTGAAGAGGAAATTATTGAGCTGGTCTTTAATTGTTATCCACATAATATGCAGCATGCAGAGCTCATCGTTCGCGTTCCTCATTTAATAATGCTGTATTTTAATGATCAGAATAAATTTGAAGAAGTTCGAAAGATTTTTATCAAATTATTTGAAGTTTTTGAACAAAGAGTCATACCAGACATGAAGGAAGCACTGCCAAATATAGAAACAAAAGCTGAATTTGAAGTGCAAACTAAGAATAGGAAAATCAGGAATTTGAAGTTTATTTCAATTATTGGAGGATTATTAGCAATAATTATAATAATTTCTGGATTCTTCATCACTCGATCGATATTTTACAAGCCAACTTATAAGTTCTCTACTTTGTCTAATTCTGATAAGCTCAAAATTGCAACAGCACCGATTGACTATAAAAATGTAAGACTAGAGTTTTATGATTTATTTCCAAAAAGTTCAAAAGTTTATGAAAAGTTAACATCTGATCATATTTCAAACATGCTAAAGGGGAACAAGCCACTAAATTTAAGCGATTCTAGTGCTTTTTATTTCCATAATTTTATTTATCACAACTGGAAAATCTTATCAGAAAATTTAAAGCAAAAAGTTTTAAATTCAAATTTTACATTTCAAAATCAAAGTATTAAGTTTGAAGATGTTAATCAAGGAATTTTGGAGTCACTTACGTCTGAACAAATCATTGACATATTAGAAAATAAAACGTATGTGGTTCGTGGATATGCAATTGATAGAACAAACACGTTCATTGAAAGGAAATTTTTTGATTTGTTTATGTATGAAATTTACTTCAAATACATGATTTATGTTAATGGTGAACAAATGAGGAATGACATGAATTACTCAATGATAAAAAATGATACATTTGAAGATTTTTATGAAAAATTTTCTCGAAAAACTTTTAGCAATCAAATTAAAGAACTTGATGTTATTATTGATAATGAAGCATTCTTAGAGTCTAAAAAGTCTGATTTCAAACTTACCGACGTACATAATTCGTCAATAGTTGTTGACACTTTGTTTAGCCATAAATCTTTACAATTGAACTTTGATGAAGTTTTTAAAGAAGCCAAAGAGAAAAGAATTTTCATTTTAATAGCTGAAGAAGGTGAAGGAAAGACGACAACATTTGAACAATTTTCATTAAGAATAAAAAGTCAAAATCCAACTTGGTGGGTTACTTACATTGATTTGATTGATCTAGAAGAACAATATCTAACATATAAGACTCATGAAGACATTGTCCAATTTTTTGAAGAAAATATTATCAATGAAAGTATTCTAGATGAATTTGAACGGAAAGTTTTTAATGAATCTGTAAAATCTGGAAATACTGTATTATTGTGGGATGGTCTTGACGATATATCAAGTGAATTTCGTTTCCATTTTTTATTGACTATTGAAAAAAATTGGATAGAAACTAAAACCATTCAATTTATATCAATTAGACCAGAAAGATTAGGTTCTTTAATGTTTGATGATTCAATGAGATGTTACATATTCGTTCCTCTCGATTTGACTGAGCAAGAAAACATTTTGAGACAATTTATAACACATTTCAATGATGAAAAAATCACAAACAATCAAAAAATTGTTCACTCGATAAACAATGACTATGTCTCCAATATGTTAATATTAAGAATGGTTGGTGAGTTAATGTCGAAAGAAATTGAAATTCTAGGCACAGAAACTTTGTATGAAATTTATGACAAATTTTTAAAGATGAAGATTGATTTAGTTATTGAATCTAAATTTAATGAAACTAGCTGCAGCGTCAAGGCAGAAGATTTGAAAAAATTCTATCAAAAAATTGCATTAAAAATTATTTCTAAATCATTTACATTTAATTTAAATTCCAAAAAACTTAATATCATGCAACAAGATGTTCCTAATCCAATAACAAACAGTGAAAAGCACGAGATTTTAAATATCAAATCATTAGGTAATAACTCAAATAAGTTCACATTTGTTAATAAATTATCTACTGAATTTTTCATAGCTCAATACTTAATTGAAAATATTTATGAATTGGATGAGTCGGATGATTCATCAATAGAAGAATTAGGTTTAAGATTGCGAGTCTTTCGTAGATCTTTAGAATATTCAAAAGTCATAGAATTTATCGAATCTTATCTTAATTCACAAAATCAAGAGGTAGAAGTACAAAAGTTTAACTCCAGAATCTCTAAACTTTTAAGGACAAAATTTAAAAGGATTTTTGTCAGTTTCTTAAATGAAAATAAAACGGAACTAATGCCTTTTTTGATGAATTTCTTCTCTAAAGATCACGATTTACTTATTGACTTGCTTCAGATCAATCAAAACAAAACTTTTTATACAGAATTATTTAACTTTGCTCATTCCAAGCCTTACCAAAGTTTTTATTATTTTGAAATGAATCTTGAAGAAATAAGAAGCTCAGCAAGAAGTCATTTAAATGATTCTGAATATGAAAAATTCATTCATGGACATAATCAAAAAGGAATCATGTTGTTTAGTTTGTATTGTTATTACATGAAAGAAAGTAGCTTGCTGGAACACGATCCTAATGGGGATGCTGCTCTGATAAATACTGACTATTCATTAGAGAAGAAATATTTAAAGAGTCATAAGCCACATAAAGTTTTTAAGTCAATAGCTAAGAACTTGACAGATGATGAATATAAAGAGCTTATAACATCAAAAACCATTTTAAGACCAATATTAGTGAAAAATAAAAAGATTAAAATTTTCGATCAAAACATGATGAGTAAAATTGAAGAAATACTCACAATTCAGGAACAAAAACAATGGCTTGAAGATGTTATTGAAATCATTTCTCTTACTTCTGACAAAACTTTAAAAGAAATTTTCTTAAATAAATTCCAAGACATTTTCTCAGATTCGGAAATTGCAAAAATCTTTCAAGATCACAACATATTACAAATAACAGCTTACTATGATTTGAGAGATAAAAACTTTAATGTTTTTTGGAATTTTTATGTTAATCATACTACAAAAGAGGAACAAATATTGATTTTAAAACAAAATGTTGAAGTTCAATGCACAGACTATTTTTCATTTAAAAATAACATAGATATCGAATATGCAAAAGATGAATGTTTATTTTTTCTTCGATTGAATGTCTTTCAATATGCTTTACTGACTACAAAATATGATAAAGTTGAGAATGTTTATTTTGATTATTTTAATTCAACAGAAATTCAAGACATAATCACGAGTTCTGATGATTTTTTGCCATATATGTTGAAAATGAATAACTTAAAAAGTATAGATAACTTTAAATTTTTTCAGAATCTTAGAAATTACTTTACAAAGAATGAAAATTATCTGAAAAAATACTTGATAAAAAGTAGAGAAATTTTGAGTGAATTTAAGGACAATGAAGACCAAATAGAACATTTGTCCATAATTATTGACAATATGAATCTATATAATCAGATCTTAAACACTTTTTACATTCCTTAATTATTCTCATAATGTTCATTTTAAAAAAAATCTTCGAAATATTTATTTTCGTCTGAGACACAAAGCATCATCAACAACTTAGCGGTTCTAAATACCTCACAAATTGCAACAACAACAAAAAAAGAATTCTTTTATGTTAGCAGCAAAAATGCGAGAAAGAGACAGAAAAGAAGAACAGATCTGTGAAGATGAAGTAATGCATGAAAAGAATAAAAAAAAGTTATAAAAAATGATTCCTATATTTAATTTTAGTTGGGATAGGTTAAGGTATGTTCACGTTTTAGAGGCTTTGTATAATTTTATTTTCTTCTTTGTCTGCTCATTCTTTGCGATTACATTTCGCGCTTTTTCTTCGTTATCAGTTTCAAAATAAGTGCTTACATTTTGCAATCGTTTGTTTTGGTTTTGCGGAGAAATTGTTTTACTAAGGATGAAGAACTCGACACTGTTTTGACTTGGTTGTTTGGAACTGTAAGTTATATTAAGATTGGAAATGAATTGAGCAGACCAATGAGCACCTTAGATGCACTAAGTCATTTATGGTAGATATAGTCAATAGGATAATGGTTTTCCAAAGCTTAACGCATAGATCCTTAAAGAATTACTTTTACTTTTTGTTTTTTTTTTAAGATCAGTAAAGCTTCCTTTATGACTAAGACCGTTTCATTGTTGTCGGAATGTCCTAATCAAAAAGAATTTCAAAGATTTTAAGCAAGGTGCACCAACTACGTTCAAATTTGCTCAAAATCATACTAAGATCGCAGAAAAAAGGACTCGCATAACGAAAGAATGAAAAATCGAAATAAATGTCCAATTTAGGGAGGTTTACAGCATTTGAAATGATATTTCCATTTTATGAAATCATTCAAAATTCCCTTAATTTTAGAAGATTTTTGACTTTTTTGATTGAAATTTCATTGTGAGAATCATTTTTTTTTCTGTGATTTCAGTGTGCTTTTCTGCGTGTTTAAACGAAGCTGATGCACCTTGATTTTAAGTTGATTTTGGTCCTTTGGGGATCTGCTTTTGTACATCATGCTCCAAATAGTTCAAAATCCTTAACCAAAAAGTTAAATCTTAAAATCATGATCTGTCTATGGAAACAGTGTTTCACTTGGAATCAGAAACTGGCAAACAATCACCAGCGAAAGAGCTTGTTTTAGGAAGAGATTACATTTGAACTGTCAGGCTAGCGATATAATCAAGTAAGTAAAATCATGATCATTAATTAGTTCTGCAACTGACTGTTGGAAACTTTCACTCCTCCCTCTCATAAAAAAATAAACGTTAGCATTCAGATCTTAAGATCTATAGCTGTCCTTTATGTGGGTTACAAGGCTAATGATAGTTTAACGAGAGAGAGTTTGCCAGACCTCCCGCTCAAACCTAGACCTACAATTTATAGTGGGATATGAAATTTTTCATGCCGAGTCTCGAACCCATGATCGCTGTGTTGGCATTGCAATAATGGGGTACCGAAGTATTAAACCAATCCGCAATCGAGCCACTTCAGCTCCCTCTTATACGTCACATAAATTCTTCTTAAAAACCTAGAAAATAAAACAAATATAAAACTCAAAAAATTCACCATTAAATTCCCGTTAACAGTTTTTAGCCCTGAATTCTGCTTTTTCTTGCTGAACCTTTAAATGCTCAATTTTCAAGCAACAAAAAGAACTGAGAATATTATTTTTATGTTCTTGCAAAATCAATAGAACGTGGTTAATATGCACATAAATGTTCACATACACAGAGCTCAAACTTAGTAGAAAGAGAGCGAAGCAAGACAACAAGAGAGCCTTTCATCCATGTCTAAAGTTTCTCATTTAATCTCGTTAGAGCAACAAAGAATCCCTTTTTTCTTCAATAGTCACTTTAAAGTGAACATTTTCATACAATCATGTATGAAAGCAGCACGTTTTTATGTTTTCGTGCTCATCGGCTTTTTCGTGTACATATTTTGTTATTGTTGTTGTTGTTGCCTTCTTCCTCTCTTTTACATTTCTTCTTCAATTTTAAACGATTGCATAATATGGTGCATGCATATGGAATGCACTCGCGCGAGTGCTATGAGTTCAATGATTTTTTTGGCGTTTTTGTTTTTATATATTTTTTTTTTTTCATTTTATTATCGTTCATTTTCCTTCCATACCTTGTGCCTCGCCTTATTAAATGTTGAATGAACTTTTCAGCAACAACAATGAATTTGTGAGCGAGTGAAAGAGAAGCTTTTTTGGATTCGAAATGAAAGTAATTGTTTAATTTTTTTTTTTGGTGTGCATGTAATTAAGTTATAGCGATTATTGTGGATTATAAAAATAATTTTCACTAATCATTTGAGGCTGAAAATGAAAACTTAATTGAATTGTTCACAATTACTTGCACTTAAATGGGGGAAAATTGCTGCTTGAAGATTGCATTGAACTTGAAAAATGGTTGTGTGCAATGCACTTGGGTTTGCTTCGTGGAACTTGAAAAAATTAACCGCATTGAGATTTTTTTGAAATTAAAAAGTGAATTTGAAAAAGTAAAACTTATTAAATAATAATAATGATGATTTTTGGATAGGCGTAAGCTGGTGTAGGATTCTTCAACATCAAGCTTAATTATTAGCCATTTAAATGAAATTCTTGTTATCAGTGTATAGGGAAATCTGTCAGTGAGAGAGTTAAGCTTTTGTGGCGCAAGTGGTTAGGAAACAGACCTGGATATTTAAAACTCTGTATTGTGAGGACGTGTATTCGATTCCCACCAGATATCGAACTCTCAATCATTATATATAATATTGTTGATATGACAATCAGTCAGCTCTAGTTACGTGCTGTATGATTCATTTTGTATCCAAAATTCCTGATACCTCTCGATTAAATTCAGGTACAGAAATCAGTCATAAAACTTAAAAATATTATTAAAGTCATCATGCAAACACAACAAACCATCTGAAATTCACTGCAATTTAATTCTTAAAAACAGGTTGGAAGCCGCCACAATCATTTTCACTAATTTTAGCTTTTTAACGTCATTAAATCATGAATATATTAAAGACATCATCGTAAACAACAAACAGCGTCACGAACAGCAATTAAATTTAAATCACATTAAGCATTTATAGTTTTTAAAAAATTGATTCCTCACTTTATTGATGGATAGAAGTTATAGATGCCATTAGATCACGTTTATCAGCCACACAACATTATGTCTAGCAAGACATTCTCGAAGAAATTTCGAGAAAAAAATGAAATTAAAAATTCAGAGCATGAAATTCCAAACCTGCCATACATGAAATATAAGCAGCCCAAAACGAAATATTCTAATGAGAAGGATCGTCTATCATCAACAATTCAAGTAAAAATAAAATGTAAGTCACATGTAATATAAATTAAGTATAAATAACGACAAAACGAAAATCGCGACAGACAGTAAACTTTGGGTTAATAATTTCAATGGCCATAAATGCAAGGCACCTTCTTTATAATATATTTATATTTTTTTTCGTGTTACTTGATGCATTTGTTCCACGAGAAAAAATAAAATATAAGCAAGAGGTTCAATGAACGAGTAACCTAACACATACAAGCAAAACGGGAGGTTGCATTAAACTGCAATTGCATATTACCATCTTTTTTTTTCTCTTCATTTATTTTTACTCTGCCTTTGCTTGTTGACTGGCCTGGGATGGATGCACAATTTTGTGTATACAAGAATGAAAATAATTTAAGAATTTTTGCTTTTTGGACATTCGAATGTTTGTTGTTGCATGCATAAAAATGGAAATTATGTTCTCAAACTTGAGACACATACACAAGACGACGACAACAACGACGATACGAATGAAAAGAAAAGAAATTGCATCCCGAAAGTGCATTGCATTTAATAAATTTCTTTTGCTCTTTTTGCAATAATTTTTTTTCCTCTTTTTTTTTCTTTCTTTCTTTTCGTTTTCTTTCTCAATTGCGCTTGTTTTCATGTTTTTGAAGAAAATTTCACTCTTCTTTCTCTTCTTTTTTCCCATTTCTTTTCACTACTTAAAAAATCGCTGCGCGCAGCAACCGATCGATGGTAACAAACAGCATTTGGTAAAGCAATAGGCTTGTTCTGTCTACAATGCAGGGTTGGTGTGGTGGGATGTTCTATGACGTTCTCTCTATTTTTGATCGTGGAATTGTAATTGAATCCACTTCACTTCTATTAATCATGAACAGAGGAGAATTACCAATTTTTGTGCCATGGAAAATCTTGGTGGTAATCCATGACATACGGTTCGTAAGATTTCACGAAATTTTTCTCATCACACTAGTCTGCTGCTGCTGCATAGTTTGGTGATCACTGTTCTAGAATATGGATTTTACAAATTTCACTAGCCAATTGTTTACCATGCTGATCATTCCTGAATTAGATTATTTTGCCTCCAGTCTTGCTGGGTCATGTCAAATAAGGTAGGATTCTAATTGATGGGTTATGAAAGAGATTTAGCTTAAAGAAAAGTTTAATTAATTCACAAACCTAAGTTAGAATGAGTTTTCTTAGTAATTGCAACATAACGAAGCAGTTGTGTAGCCAGGGCTAGGTTCAAAGGGGTCTTGTTTCTAATTTCTTGTCTTGGACTATAGTAGACCGTCTCATCATATGTCCCATTAATCACATAGACAGGTCACTGCATTTAAATCAAGATCTAGAGTTTTCAGTGAGAATCGAACTACTCCGTTGATAGCATTTTTATTTAAATTCTAAAATAGGATACTAAAGCATTACATTACCAAGTCTAGAGCACACAATTATGTTACACTTAACAGAAATTAGATATCGAAAGAGGATCACTCAGAACACTCAGGTTATCAAATTCAAATGAGACTTGATATAATTATTAGATCATTAATATTTCTCTCTTATTAAGAGGGGAAGGGGGGGGGGGTTAAAATTTAATAAGAGTTCATTAATTATTCAATTCATTGCGGGAAAGAGCTATGTAAATTGCAACAAAACTTTGAAGCTTTTCGAAAAAGAAATAGCTATAGACAATGACCTACGACAAACTAGAGAACACACAACATTCATCGTCAACTCTGCACAGCCCAACTTTGTTAATCTTTCTCATAAAATCATTCAAAGTAAATGGTTAAAAGAAAGAAACATAGCTTTTAGTCTCTTTTGGCATGTCCACATGCATGTTATTTTAAGCATATAATATCAAAGATAAGAGAAGGAAAATTCAAATAAAATTGTTGCAACAAA